ATTGGAGCATATTGGTGTCACCGATGCAATCATCAATATACTTCCTGTAGAGCTCGGGGAGTCTACCAGTTTGTGCATGACATATCTGATACTTGAGGTAGCCCATAAAGAGGCATTGATAGCTAGGTCCTCTCTTGGTGCCCACTGCGACGCCTGTGCTCTTGTTGAAATAGTGGCCATTAAACTCAAAAGAGTTGAGTGTAAGCACTAACTAGGCCAGATCAGGGGTCAGTGGCTATAGCAGGGCTGACTCTATGATCTAGAAAGAACCACAAAGCCTGGAGGCCATCAGAATAAGAAATAGACGTGTAGGGAGAGGTAACATCCAAGGTGAAGATGTGGTACCTGAAAGAAGAGGTGAACCGGATCGACTGAAAGACACGGATTGCATGGTTGATGTATTTAAGACGGGAAACCAACCACACCATCAAACTAAATTAACAAACCAACCACACCAACAAACTAAACAAATAAACCAATGAAACAACAAGACCAACAAATCAGTCAGCAAAACTCACAAACCAACAAGCAAAACTCACAAACCAACAAACTCATCGGGTAGCAGGACCTTTGCAGAATGTCGCTCCCATACAGCCCACCTAAAACACAGCCTCTCGCTATATCTCCTGCCTCCAGCATCTTCCTACCCAAGATGTCATTTATATCTGTGCCCACCTTTATGGTGGTTGGCCCCTGCCCCTCTTTCCTGGCACCAATCGATAAACTAATCAATTTTAAAAAAGACTAACCAAAACCAACAATCCAATCAACAACATCAACAAATGAATCAACAAATGAAAAAATCAACCAGCCAGCCCACCAACAAAACCAAACATTTTAACAAATATTGAAACCAACTAATTATTACATTTGAGAAACAGAAGACCAAATGGTTTGGTTATTTAGTACAAATGCAGCCAGAACAACTATCAACCCAGGCACTACTCAAGAACAGATCTGAAGTGAAAGCAAATGGCCACCCTAGGAGAATATGGACTGATGACGTTAAAGAGCTTCTACACGGGATTGGAATGACAATAGCCATTGTTGTCCATCAAGCAATGGATCACAAATTGTTCCTCCCCACAATGCTTAACAGCAGAAATGGAAACTGATGATGATGCTGATGAATTATTTAGCTAACTTGACAACTAACCTTTTCTTTTTCTGCCTCTTATTCCCCAAAAGAGCATACACATAAAATCAGTGAGACTTACTTCCGGTTTAGAAATGGCAGCGTGAGGACGTGTTTGCGGCGACACACGATTTTATTCTAAAATTTTCACTTAATCAGTGTTTTTCTCTTGATAACAGAGTGCGATTATTACTAATTCATTGACGATGGATATTTTCTTGTTCGTGGATACAAGCATTATGTGGTTTAGGGATGTTATAACGGAATTATTTCCACAAAATAGCCACGGGGGCGGCCGTGTCCTAATTCCGATAATGTAACCGCGTAGGAGCCATGCTCCCATTATAAACATGGGAGTCCACGGGTAAGACCCCAGTCTACTCTAGCATAACAAGGTGCTGAAGTCGGAGGCAACCAGCCAGGAGGCGCACCACAGCAATCAGGATGCCACGCACAAACGCAACAGGGAATATTTCTATATCTGCTAATCAGTTTGATTTCCACCATGAGACCCACTCACGTACACGTGGTTCAATTTACCGGCCTACGACAAGAAGAAAGAGTCCAGCTTCAAATACTCGAAGCCTCCCCTTCATGCCCCGTAGAACCAGAAAAGCAGAAAATACAGCTAGCTTTAAAATAATGCACTGGAACGCGGAGGGAGTACATACCAAGAAATTAGAATTAGAAAACGTCTTGAACGAAGAGAAGATACATGTATGCTGCCTACAAGAGACGTATCTCAAACAAGATATGGCCTTTAAGATCAGAGGCTACCAGTGTTTCCGATCTGACCGCAAAGACAGGAGAAAAGGTGGAATTCTTACCCTGGTCAAAAATAACATCCTTGCGGGCCGGATTGAAACATATATGGAAGGTGCTGAGTATCAAACTCTTGAGCTCAAGTTAGAAAATACAGATTTACATCTGACCAACTATTACTGTCCGAGCGACCGCACTCAGGCACTGGATACTGTACTAATTAATGAAAAAATGATCATTTATGGGGATTTTAATAGCCATTCCCAAAGTTGGGGCTACAATCATATGGACCAGAGAGGAGAGAAACTAGAGGACTGGCAGGATGAGAATAGGTTCATCCTCGTAAATAAGCCAACCGACCCACCAACCTTCTACTCTAGAGCATGGCATACCACCTCGACACCAGACCTAGCCTTTCACTCAGCAGACATGGAACTGAATGTTACCAGAACTGTTGGGAAGCAACTAGGAGGCAGTGACCACCGGCCAGTCTTTCTAACTATCGAAAGCCAGTCTGTAAGAGAGAGCAGCACACTGCCAAGGTGGAATTTTAAGAAGGCAGACTGGAAGTTATATCAGCTTCGCACAAATGTTCTGCTGGAAAATCTTAACACAGATAATGACGTAGAAAAAGTAGTCCAAGAGTTGAGCAAACACATACTGCAGGCAGCCCTAGAAGCAGTTCCAAGAGGTGCGCGTAAACAATACAAACCGTACTGGAATTGCGATCTGGAGCAACTGCACAACAATATGGAAACAGAAAGAAAACAGGCTGAGACCAGACCTTGTCAAGAGCAGTTTAACAACTACCAACATTCAAAGGCCAAATTTCAAAGAGCCAAAACTGCAGGCTAGACGGAGAAGCTGGCAGGAAAAAACAAAGTCCCTAAACTTTGAAAGAGACACAAGGAAGTTGTGGAGGTTAATTAAGCAAATTAATGATGAGAATACAGGGAGAAAATGGTTATATTGCACTGTGCAAAGAGGGAGCCATCCTAACAAGAAAACAGGCAGCTGACCACTTTGCAGATTCCTTTGCAGAAGACAGCAACATTAATGTCAGCCCAGAGAAACAGCGAGAGGTTCAAGAAAACAAACAACATACAAGACAAAAAGATATAATTCCTGAGGCACTGGTGGCAGCATTTACATCCAGCGAGTTAGAATTAGCAATATCAAAGCTGAGAATGGGAAAATCACCTGGAATTGATGGTATCACCAACGAAATGATCAAGAACCTTGGAACAACTGCCAAAATAAAGCTGCTACAGATCTTTAATCATTGTTGGACCAGTGGCAAAGTTCCTCAAATATGGAGAGAAGCAATCACAATACCTCTGCTTAAACCAGGAAAGGACAGTTCTGATGCCTCCAGCTATAGACCGATCAGTCTTACCAGCTGCCTCTGTAAAACAATGGAACGTATTGTCAACCTTAGACTCCAATGGTACTTGGAAAGTGAAAACATTTTCACGCCACAGCAGGATTTAGACAGTGCTACTCCACAGAAGACCAGACAACTTACCTTTCACAAGAAATTGAGGATGCCTTCCAGGAAAAGAAGCTAGTGCTAACGGCATCTGAAGAAAGCCTTTGACAAGGTCTGGAAAGAAGGTCTACTGAAGAAACTGAGAGACTGCAGGGTGAATGGGAGTATGTACAAATGGGTCAAAGCATACTTGTATAACAGAAGATCCCGAGTACAGATAGATGGACTTAAGAGCAAGAAAGTTTTGCTGCGCCATGGCGTCCCACAAGGAGGTGTCCTGTCCCCCACACTCTTCCTAGTCTATATCAACGACCTGCTTTCTGAACTACCCCATGGAATTAAAGCTGCAATGTATGCTGTTGACTTGGTACTCTGGTGTACAAATGAAAATGCGACAGTGGCCACCAGACTGCTACAAAGAGCAATAGATGCAATGGCTGATTGGGCCGACAAATGGTGTGTCAGCATCAACATAGGCAAATGCAGCACCACTCTCTTTACCCTTTCTCCTGAACAAAAATCAGGCGCCATGCACATAAATGGAGTACCCCTGAGAGAGGATAAGGAGCCTACATACCTCGGCGTAACGTTTGATGATAGATTAACATGGAGAAAACACATCAACAAGGCAGCAACCAAAGCCAGAAGGAGGGTAGCCATTCTGAGAAAACTAAGTGGAACCACATGGGGTGCTAGCGGGAAAATACTTAGAAAAGTTTACCAACAAAGTGTTCGACCACATCTTGAATACGGATCAACAGCATGGAGTTCGGCATCAAAAACCACATTGCAAGAATTAGACAAAGTGCAAAATCAAGCACTCAGAGTTACCACAGGCAGTATGAAATCAACACCTATAGCTGTGATGGAGAAAATGGGGATGACCCAAGCACTAAGTGAACGCAGAGACACCAAGATGCTTTTACAAGCAGAAAAAGTTTCTTAGTATGCCCAGTCACCCTATGAATGAAAAGATTCAAAAATTTAGCTTTGGGACGACTAAAGAGAAGTAGTTTTTATCCACCAGGCCAAACGGCTCGGCAGACAAACCACTGATTTACCTGCAACTGATAGATCCTTAAATGCTGTCCCAGAACGGACCCCCTGGAGAGAGGAGTATAAGTTTTTCAATACACATCAAGACTGAAGTGAAAGGGGTATTTGACAAGGAAGAACAAAACAGTGTGCAGCGCAAAACAGCCACCCTCAGTTTACTTGATGATGAATACCCGCAGAACCTTTGGGTCCGTGTTTACACAGATGGGTCTGCAGAAAGCGCAGTCAGAAACGGAGGTGCGGGAGTGTACATTGAGTATCCTAATAATACCAGGGATACAGCCAAATTACCAACGGGAAAGCACTGTCACAACTATGATGCAGAAGTTCAAGCCATCAAGATAGCGGTAGAGAAACTACTAAATACAGGGTATTTTTCACAACCAGTGGTATTCCTGACAGATGCAAAAGCAGTACTTCAGTCACTCCAGTCTGGAAAATTACCAAGCATACGGACACTATTATCCGAACTAGGCAACCGCTGTAAATTAGTAATGCAGTGGATACCTTCCCACTGTGGAGTTCCCGGAAACGAAAAAAGCTGATAAACTAGCTAAGGAAGGTGCAACTGAAGAACAACCTGACATACCAGTCTCTTATCAACAGAAGAAGAGAATGATCAAATCAATCAGAATGCCACCGAAACTGGCACAAGATGATTACCATATTATGGACAGACCAGAGGAAGTTATTATCCTTCGCCTTAGAACAGGGCACAATAGACTTCGCTCCCACATGTACAACAAATTTAAGATTGGCCAATCGGCCATGTGTACTTGTGGACTGGCACCTGAAACAACAGATCACATCCTTCAAGACTGTCCCATATTCAACGCTTTCAGGCAAAACATTTGGCCAAAAGAGACACTTGTGGAAGTCAAACTGTACGGGCCGCTTAGTGAATTACAAAAGACAGTGAAATTCATACAAGAGACGGCTTTGCAGATATAGACAATTTATTTCATGCGAACGAAAGAAGAAGAAGAAGATAAAATCAGTTATCGTTATCATCATCCACCCCATGCCATCTCGTCCTAGCCATTGCAATCATATGCTCATCCCATGTCCTTCCCATCTTTCTAACTCCACTCTCTAGTTCTAGACTGACTTTCTACCCCACCAGGACATCACACAAGCGATAAACACCCGATGACACAATGTGTCACCATGTGGATAAGGATCACCGTGGAGAGGTCCCAGAAACCGCGTTCAGCTATTAGACCATATTTATGGTCTGGCTATATTGCGGCCCCTGGCAAGAGCCAGGGTGGGGCTTCAAATAACGAAAAATGTCATCCTAAAAAGGACGGCAAGTACTGCTTTGTGTAAATACTATAGGCCCTCTAGTTTTTGTTTCAGCGTTTTTTTTAATATGCCTTTATTTTATTGCCCCTGTGGGTTCCAGTGTAAAGTCCATCTAGTTACATTGTTGTTAGGTTTTCTCAATGTGTGTCCTATCAAACATGAGCCTCTTTTCTTCCCCTCTCAATTCATTAGAACTTGTTTAGTACTCTCTCAAAGCTCCACATTTGTGATTGAATCATATAATTACTTCTATTCTGAACAAGCATCATTAAATAATAAATTAATTAAATAATCTAACAACCAATAGGCCAAATAAAGGGCCAGGGTGGATTGGATAAAACATCAGTGGAAGACCTAGCAACAGGAAATAAAAGCAGGAGCTGAACAACATGAAGATGGGCACATAATATAACAGATACCTTGGGCAGAAAGTACACAAGGCAGGAGACTGAGTTTCTTTCAGGCAAGCTGTGATGATAGCAATATTCTGTAAAATGTCTGCAACATAATGATGAATCCAAAAACCCTATCAACTATAACCACAAACTAGACAACCAGTCAAATGAACAATATAACCTACAAACCAACTAGCACACTAACCAACCAAACTAACTAATCAGTCAGCCAACCTACCAGACAAAAGAAACAGACAAAACAAACAATGCCAGACAATCAGTTATTTTCTGTATGTCAATTATAGACAATCAGTCAATGCTTTCATGTTGATTTTAAACAATAAATTAATCATTCATGTACAAGAACTGCCAAACATGCACTCAATAATTCCAGTCTGACTTCTGCTGAAATAAGTCCAACATTTACCACAAAACTTTGGTTTATCATTCCAAACTACAGTATTCTAATCAATACATGATTCATGGCAAACTTTAGGTTTATAAACATTTTAATTTTGTATTAAATAAATAACTTCAATTACATATAAAGTATAACCTCTTGCAATAGGACAATAACAATATTTAAGTAACCTTAATGAGTAAAAGTAAAGGACCCTATTCCACACCCTCAGGCGTATTGGGCATAAAGTACTAGACTTATATTTTACAGACCAACTGGCACTCGGTCGGTGATGTGGTCAACATCATGCTGGCCGTCTTTACTTCCAAAGACTTCACCTGGTGCCCATTTAAGGGTGGGTTGCCGGGGAGGCATAGTTATTTTTGAAGAAAGAAAAAACGTCCGGCTACATTCGAATGTGAACCTCCTTACCCTCGAATCTGCAAGGTGAATGACTAGCTGCTACACCACGGCAGCTCTCTAAGCTTAAAGTTAAAAAAGTGCAGAACCAAACCCCAGCATTTTTTGGTTGTTGTGGTTTTCTAGGCAAATTTAGGTCCAGTAGTTTGTCATTGCTTTCTGGACGGTAACTTCTCTATACCAATGTTGAAACCAATGCAAGGCCCGCCACAGCTGGGATCGAATCCGGCACCCCAGCATTACGAAGCACATTCACAATGCCTAAGATACAGATGCTGACAAGCCCAAAGTAAGTATCTCAAAATATCCTGGAAGGTAAATGTGACTAGTGTACTGCTGACAACACATCACCCATCAAGTGCTGGCTGCCCTATATAAATATGGGTCAAGCACTTATACGTTATGTGACAGCAACATCAACTGTATGTCTCCGTTTGTTAGGTGGCACTAGGTATTGCATGCGTATTCGCAACTTCGAAACAAAATGGAGACTGTACTTACGGAGTGTACCCTCAAAGAACAACATGTTATTGTGTGGGTGTTTTTTTTTGGGGGGGGGGGGGGGGGGGACTTTGCAAAGAACATTCATAAGGAAATGCTTCCTGTTTATGCTGACAAGTGTTTATTCCGTAAAGCAGTACATAGCTGGGTAAAATAAAAACCACCTAGGCAGGAAAGATTTCGCGAATGACGAAGAAGTTGAATGTGAAGTGAAAGTGTTCTTAAGAAAACAGAGCACACAATTCTATGCAGCAGGTTTGGGAGGACTAATAGAACGATAGGACAAGTGCATCAATGCTGAGAAATAAAGAGACAGTGTATGTGTAAAAAAAAACCGGTTTTCAAGTTGTTATTGTCTAAAGTTTTTTTTTTCTTTTTAAATTTAAACAACCATTTGTGGCTTACTTATTGACTTCCCCTTGTACCATGACTGTCATCTCTCATTAGTGAAACCAAATCTTAGAAATAATTTCTTTTATCTCTCATCAGTGACAAGAAATAAAAAATGAGAATACTGCTTTCATCTCTCTATAGCAAATCCAAATTTTAGAAACTATTCCTTTTCTCTCTCATCAGTAAAAACAAATAAAAGAAACTATTCTTTTCATCAAACCAAATAAAATAAACTATTGCTTTAATCTCTAATCGATGAAACTAAATCTGGCAAAGGCAAGATGGACATACAATCAGACAATTACTGGTTCCATTGAAATTGGAACTCTTCGCTTGGTAGTGAAGATGGAGACTATGCATTTATGGGAGTGTCCAGTTCAACATTCAACTTCCTTCATCTGTGTTATCAAGGTACCAAGATACTTGACCACACTGATTTGTTTCAGACATCCTCTTTGATTTGTGCATTCTGGAAGACATTTCTTTGCAATTACAATTACTTCAATGTCTATACTGTTCTAAGACTTTTGTTTAGACTTTCCTCCACACTATATCAATTTTAACCCTTTCGCTGCTATGAACGTCTTTTCCCGATTTCCCGTACGCTGCTACGCCCGTCTTTGGACGTTATTTTTTTTCTTCACCCCCAGTGCTATGGACGTCTTAAGCCATTTTTGGACTTTTCTTACAGATTTCTGTTATCTCGTATTTTATTGGCTGAAGAGCAATATACATTAGCTATATTTAGATTAAACTGACCCATTTACATATGATTAAAAGCACTGGCACGTGCTTTTAGTTGTGTTTAATGTGTGTTTACTGCATTTTGCGTTATCCCGTTGCTTTGTTTACCATGACAGCGTGGTCGGTGATCTGTGTATTTTGTGCCCTGATATATATTTGTGCTTTTGGATTATTCTACACTTAGTACAAAATGGCAAGAAAACTTGTTAAAGTTGATGAAGTCAAAAGTGATAGCGACGATGACTTTGAAATGTGTACTTCTGACAGTGAACAAGAAGATTTGACTAGGCCATCAGTATCGACTGCTGAAACCGGCGTGTCCAAAAAAAGCTGTTTGCCCATCCAACGTCCTCATCGTCGGAATCAGAGAGCAGCGACAATGAAGCGCCATCAAAACGGCAATAAATTGATCAGTTATCTTGATGAACCGATGATTTGAAACCAGTAGTGCATGATTTTGATGACTCCAGCTCTATCTGTATTTCTGCTACTGTAAATTCAAACAGTTAAGTCACTAAAATTTCTCGTCTTTCCCGATGGACAGACACAGATTCGGACGAACAAATTTTTTTTTCTGTCTGTCTGCTAATGCTTAGAACAAAGAAACTCAAAATAGAGTACTTGAGCAAAGACTGTTTGCTAAAAACTCCCGTAAAATAATGTCGAGGGACATATTTTTACTATTGTTGAGAATCTCAAACATTTCTTAGACAACAGTGCTCATGCAGGCGGCGATAGACTGCAAGCTTAGACACGTTATTGATAGTCTGTGCACATCATTCATTGCGTCAAGCGGTAGCATAGTGCAGTTGGTATCACGTTCGCCTTAGAATCGGAGGGTCGTGTGTTCAACCCCCGAAGTTTTTTAATTTTTTTTTTATTAATTGTAAATTTTCCTTTGAGTTCCTGCTACTTTTCAGCAACGGACGACTTGAGTATTATTATAAATATTTTTTTATTTTGGTATGTAATAACATGGTGACTACAAGTAAATATGATTAAAGTGGCAGCCGTGGTAGGTTCGTCAATCAAATTTTGGGATACGGACTGGGAACAGTTCCTTCCATTAATCCTCCCCCTGAAGGGTGATAGCTCCGTTAGTCAAGTTTGTGGGTCACCATCGTGCCTCTGACTTGTCACCACTCGGACCAACCACACAACTCCCCAGGGTAAAATTTGTTAGGTGTACAAAACATAGCCCTCACCGCGGACGCATCTTTTGCGTTTAGAGGATAGAAAAGTATTGCGCACAGCAGAGACTTTTTTTTTCACATTGCTTAGCACAGGGAGGACAACTATTTCAGGGAATGTAGCAGCGAAAGGGTTAAAGTGATGAATATATACACAAAATTGTAAATCTTAGTCAACTAGTTTTTGGCACTTGGGTGGTTAGCAATAACAGCATTTTAATTGTGCAGTCCCTGAAAGTCATGCTAAGAATCTGTTAGCTGTATAAAGATCCAAATGGCAATGATACACTTTGTCGTTGTAAAGTTCTCAAAACTTCCAGGATAGAGTCTAATTCAGCACGAAAAACTTGCAGCTGAAAAAAAAAATGTTTTTTTTTTGAGGTGAAGATCATTATTAACAACACAGCAGTAATATCTTAAAGTAACAAAATTTCAATAATTACTCGTCTAAAAAATACAGTAATATCATTAACTATCTTTGTTTTCTTCTTATAGTCAACGCCATGTGGCACTAGTAGTTATGTACTTTCAATCAGTTCTGAAATATGATCTCCCATGCTATGATGTTAAACTGCTCAGCATCTCTCTGTCCCCCTCTAATCTGCTCTTCCAGGCAGACCCTGCCTAAAATGTGTACTAGGAGATGTCCTGGAAAGTCAAGGTGGCCAGCATGGTAATGACCATGACACCCACTGAGTGCAGATTGGCCTATAAAAATACGGGGATGGAACCACATGCCCAATAAATCTTTGGCCTGAAAAAGGTCCAACTCATCATCATCACATGTTGTGTATGAAGCAAGAAGGAACATTAAATCAGTCATTACCAATCATCAGTTTCCACTTCTGCCCTCAAGCAATGTGGGAAGGAACAGTTTGCGGTCACATTGCTTGATGGGCAGCAATGGCTATTATCATTCCACGTTGACGAAGCTCTTTAATGTCATCAATCCATCTTCTCCCAGGCTGACCTCTTGCTTTTGCATCAGATCTTTTCATGTGTAACACCTGCGTTAGTAGCTGTTCTGGGCGCATTCATACTACATGACAAGGCCATTTGATCTTCTTTTTCTCAATGCATTTGCTGCATAGTGTTGTTTCCACAGTCTGGGTGATAATTTCTGAAGAAATGGTCTTCAATTCTCTTTCAAGGAGAAGGAACATTATTAGTTTAAATCCTGGGCTTCTTCTACACTGACAGATGAAGGTCAAGGATGAAAGACTCAGCAAAAGTGAAGACAGCATTCAGTGACCCAGTTCAACCTAGGTTCCATGAACCAAAGCTCAACAAGCCACTACTTTTTCTTACTCTTTGTATTCACCAGCTGAAAACTCCTGGGTAAAGTTCTGGCTCTTCATCCACTTCTGGACTCTAGTTCTATTCCAGAACATGTGTTGTGTGCACACCCATTTTACAGGTCTAACTCATTTGTATGCAGATGGTTGGTTTCTTGCCTCTCAGGCAGATAGATGTGCTCAGATTTTGAAGGAAGCTCCCAATTGGTGGACTCTTCTGGGTAGGCAGTGAGTCTATTCTTGTTTTCTCTATAATAGGGTCCCAGAAACCATAAGGGTAGCCAATACTACTATTAATCCATCAGGTTCTGTTCCTGAAAACTTTTTTGCAATATGGCCAAAAGAGTAGCAAGGAAGAAAGAAGCCATGCCTGATTATAAAACATGCAGAGTTCAAGCTGAACAGCTAAAAAACTTAAGAATTGAGCTTTTCTGCAAAGGACACAACAAAACCAGTATTCTTCTCTAAATAACTGAAGACAGAACCACAAACCTGCTGATTTTTGGCATCCACAACCCGCTTCCACTTCTCCACCTCTTCATCAACTGCAGACTGAGATATCTGCTGATTCTGCTTAACAACCAGATCCAGCTCAGTTTCTCGTTTACGCTGCCTCTGAACTAAATCTGTCAGTTTCTCTTCTAAAGATTCAAAGTGCCGCATTCCCTAAATGACCAGAAGTACATTTACATATCACTTGTTAGTTTAGTCTAATATAAATTTATGCTACACATATATGTAAGCTAGGTAATGGTTATTTCATAACACTTTCATAACCAATACCAGTCCAGATGCAATATTGAAATTATCTATTTAAATATGAGACGCCATGGTGGTGTTTTGGCTAGTTGCTCACCTACCAGCCTGAAGTTCTTGGGTGAAAAACCACACTGGTAGATTTGGAAGAAGAAAACAATGAACTTGGCTCCCAGGTCATCCAGCATAAAATAAAAACCAGTCAATTTCATGTGAAGTTAATATGGCTGGTGTGAAGGTGACTCCACTGGTCTATTTAAACCAAAAAAATAGTCTAGCACCATAAGCAGGATGAGCACACTGGCGTAAAAAAGGCTTTTTTTGCTTTCTAAAACTTTACTATATTTAACTATACGTTGTTGAATCAAGAATTGACATCACTGCACTAGGGGCATTTCCATATGTGCTCCATCTCCATCTCCAGCAGCCAGCACAGAGTTCCGGGCATAGTCTGGTTTTATGTCTGTCTCGCCTTTTCTCTGAGTGTAGAGTGCCAGCCAGGCCCTCTGGTCACACCCTAGTGCATCATTTTCTCTAGACCATAATAATCTAGTTTCTCTTCTGACTTTGTTACTTGTTTCCAAAGGGCCTTGACCACATCTGTCTTGCCATGTATCAATTCATCACCCAGTGGTGCAGATCCAGCCAATCTGTCTGCCTGTTCATTCCCTACCACGCCAGATAAAAGATCCAAAGTATGCCCACTATCCATGACCTTGCAAGTGAAGCTTGCCACTCTGCTCAAAGCATCCCTGTCTTCACCTTTCTTAGCATGATTCAGAGTCTGTTACAATTACGACATGTGTTTGCATCTTGTTCTCTAGCCACCAGAAGGCTGCAGTGACCGCCTCCACCTCCATTCTCATGCTAAATGTTGTATATCATATTCTAGGCTGTCCAGCTCTAAATCATAACTATTTAACATTTAACTATATTAGAGGCAGCAGTGATAGCATAGTGGCCATCTTTAATAGGTTTAAATCTCCATCGAAGTATATTTAAAAAAATGATTTGGACTACCTGGCCAATTCAGCAAAAAATGGGTGCCAAAAAAGTTGCGGGAGTAAAAATGGCCTGTGTGATACTGACCATATCATATATGTCTTACTGACTGTCTATGAAAACAGTGAACTAGAATCAAAGCTCAAGGCATTGAACAGTTTCTATGTGTGGTAAATAAATGTTGAGATTAGCTGAAGCTTTAACTTTACTTTACTTTACTTAGTCGCTCCTCTTCTACCTTGGGGTGTAGAGGTTTGCCAGAGAGATCGCCAGACGTCTCTATCAGCAGTTTTCTTTCTGGCTTTGTTCCATTCCAGTCCTCTGTCAGTCAGGGACTGTCGGATGTTGTCTTCCCAGCGCACCCTGGGTCGTCCCGGAGGTCTGGTTCCCTGGTTCTTAGCCTCCCATGCTTGCCATGGTGGCCGATTTTCTCCCATTCTGCACACATGTCCAAACCATCGTAACTGTGACTGATCCACTCGGGTTAGTAAGGGCTGGGTATCAAGATCTTGACGTATTGTCTGATTGCGGACTTTGTCCCTTCTTGTCACTTGGACCACCTTTCTCAGGTATCTCATTTCCGAGGCCTGCAGCTGGCTTCTGTGAGCTGTTGTCATTGCCCATGACTCACACCCATAGGTCAGGACTGGTACATAGGTAGAGCGGTAAACAGCCATTTTCGTCCTCTTGCCAATTTCTGAAGCTTTAACAATAATAATAATATTTAAAACAACCTGCCACACTCTCCTTATGTGAACACAAGAAATTCATTATAAATCTGAGGTACCCTGATAAGTCAGACAACTGTCATAAACTTCCAGCGATTAGACGAACAATGTATTGAGAGAGAACAATTTTATTTCAGTAGACTCAATTCAGTTTTTCTCCCTCTTTATATGTTGAGGTAATTCAAGCTAATGTGCCTGACGATATACAATGAAATATGCCTGGCAATAAATTGTGCAATGTATTGTTTCACATAAACAAACTAAAAAAAAAAAAAAGAAAAGAAAACATTTTCATACTTTAACTTTCAACTAAATTACAACTCAAAATCGAGCACTTTACCAAATGGGCGTTCATGCATCTCTACAATCTTGGTCTTTGGTGTTCTGGATCAATTCCACTGATTGTATTCCTCCATGCTACTGTCTTAAGCCATCCACCATCATTTCTCTTGGTCTGCCTCTGCTACAAGTGATCTTTCCAGTCATCACAATATTTTCCAATCACATGACCAAAGAATGTCTCCTTCTCATTGTTGTATATAATGGTCTACTTTCATTAGCCATTTCCAGGCAAACCTCTTGCATGACGAATAAAAGAATCTGTTGTTATATAATGTCACAACAAATTATTATTTGCCACCATTCTGTCTTCCCAGTGTTACAGTGTACTATAGAGAGGCATGGAAATCGCAGTCGATGGCAATACTGAGTTTGAGGTTTGAGATTAGAACAACAGATCAACATCATGGCACACGGGTAGCAACCCAAAAATCCCAGCCTTTACTGGGGATTGAATCCAGAACCTCAAGCACTTGAGGCGGACACCATGCCTCGAGACCACACAGCCAATACTGAGTGTGGCTAGCTATACCCACCTGCTTTAAGAAAAGCTACTGCACAAAGTTTCAGGACTGCAGAAACCATGTGCTGGTTGCCCATGCAACATGATCCTTCCTCTGGCCTGCCTAGTTGACCCTAAAGGAGAGAATGTGTGTCGAACAACGAATGCTTCTGGAGCTGCTCTGATGCCCTCTCTGTCTGATACACTATACACCATCATTAACCACTTCTGCCATTAAGCATCATGAGAGGAACAGTCTGTGATCCAGTGCTGCTGACTGGCACTGACTATTGCCATGCCATGAAGGCATCAAGTATCTTTAATTTGATGTTGTTGACCCATATTTTCGTGGCCATCCTCTTGCTCTGTAGCTGAGATGCAGTGCTTGTGATGGTATCTGATGATGCTGCATTATAGAGAGACGGCCAAACCACTTGAATTGCTTCTTGTAGTGAACCCATTTTCTCCTAGATAAATTATGTCCCAGACGGAATGGCGTCAGCTAATAAATGTGAGTGTAATATTTGAGTGTAACTAGGACAGCACGTGAATTACAGAGAAATGCTGACCGAATGAACTTCATGCGAATCACAAAGAATTGCTGGCCAAATGAAACACGCGGATCACAGAGAAAATGCTGGCCAAATGGAATCTGTGTAAATCTGAGAACACGGAGAAGTCGTAAACACAAGGAGGGCATTAGAAGGTTATATAATGCCTTAGAAAGGGCTGGTCGGCAGTCTCGTCTGGGCCAAGGAACGAAGTGCGTGAACAACGGAGGAATGTGTTTGTGGATCCAGAATGTAATTTAGTATGAATGTAACTTCAACACCCAACCTGGCCAACAGCAAGGACAGACGGGAAGTCGTCTGCCAGCTGCGTTAGTCACCGTCAGAAAAGCAATTGTTTTCTTTCATCGTGATTGTGTAAGGACAATTATAATTTCGGCTAAAAGGTAAAGTTATCAGTATTATAGAGTGTTTGAGTTGCCATGTATGCCCTAGACCTTGTTTCTATTTCATGTTTCGGCTGAGGAAAAGCGAATGGAAGAATAAAGTGCAGAAACAGTTTTGTGTTGTTTTGCAGTCGTCCATTTTCTGCTCGTTGTGTTGATGTGGGTGTGCGAAATAGGAGTCTGCAATGACTGGAGCCAGATAGAGAGAAAGAACAGTGAGTCATTGCACTATTTTTCTATGAATCTAGTACAGGGTGTCATTCCCGCAATCTGTCTGACAGTATCATTATTCACTGAATCTCGGATGGTTAGATTAGCAGCATTTCTCCTGAGATACACTATACAAGCAAGATTAATTCAAAGATGATGACATCACATAGATAAAACACTTGACGAAACCTGATGACAACATTAATATACCCTTGCAATGTAACCTACAGGGTTAAAGAGATAAAGACAGACCATAGAAAAGGCAGAAGAAGAGAATGAGGTGAAAGCTTAGGAAGGAAACAAGGTGAATTGCATGTGATGGCAAAATTTAAGATGACTTAGCACCTTTCTGACCATCACAGCATACTCCGTTTTATCCTGCTCATGACATGACTGAAGATTATGCCTCCTTGTGACATGGCTAATCAGTTCTCTTTGACAGCCTGTGTCTTTCAAGATATCTTCCTTATTCTTTTGTATCTATTTAGCTAACAGTACATCAGATCTAAGTCGATTTTAATACTCAAATGATACTTTAAAAAAATATTTTGAATGAATACTTACCGGTGCTTGCACCATTTTTGCTTCCCTGAGCTTTTGCTGCAGTTCTTCAATCTGTTTCTGGAGCTGAAGTTCTTTTGCTTTGACATGAGACAATTGTTCTACCTCATTCATGTATTTTTTCAGCTGAGCTTGTAGATGACGAATCATCACCTGAGACAAATACAGTAAAACCTCGTTAACACAAATCCCAAGGGACTGAAAAATCAACAGCCCATGTTAAAATTTTTTTGTGATAACTGGTGACTAATAATACATGTAATACTGTTCATCCCTGATAGGAGAAAAAATGTTGTTCAAGTTAACTGAGTGTTCATCTTAATATTTTTAGTATAGTCTAACATAAACGTTATGCTATGTCTTAAGATTATTAGTTTAGCCTAATATAAATGTTATTTTATGTCTCAAGATTGTTAGTTTAGTTTAATATAAATATGCTACGTCTAAAGATTCGTTAGTGTAGTCTAATATAATTGTTATGCCACGTCTTAAGATTGTTAGTGTAATCTAAAATAAATGTTGTGGTACATCTTAAGATTGTTAGTTTAGCCTAAAATAAATGTTATTCTACGTCTTAAGATTGTCAGTTTAGCCTAATATAAATGTTTTGCTACGTCTTAAGATTGTCAGTTTAGCCTAATATAAATGTTTTGCTACGTCTTAAGATTGTCAGTTTAGCCTAATATAAATGTTTTGCTACGTCTTAAGATTGCTAGTTTTAGTCTAATATAAACGTTCGACTACACATATGTAAAGTAGGTAATTTTTAATTCATAATATTTTCATAAATCACATCAGTCCAGATGCAACATTAAAATTTTCTATTTAAATATGGGAAGCCATGGGGGTGTAGTGGCTAGATGCTCACCAACCAACCTAAAAGTCTAAGTTAAAAAAAAAAAAAAAAAAATTTTAAACAACACTGGCAGATTTGGAATTACAAAATTATTTTGTTTTCCAGTTGACCCAGCACAAAATTCCACTCAATGTCCTGTAAAGTTAAGGTTGCCAGCTTGATGTTGACTCCATTCATGTTATCAAAGTTTGATTGTAAAAACCCATATACATAGGCTGCTAGCACATATTTTTATACAACTTCTTCTCCTCCTTTGTGTTCACCCCCTTGCAAACTCTGGCAAAAGTTCTGAATTTCTCTGTCCATTTCTGGACTTCAGTGTTGTTCCAGAACTAGAGTTTTGCTTGCACATCCATTTTACAGATCTGGCTTATTTGTATGTAGACTGCTGATTCTTCGACTGTCAGGCAGATGCACTCTGACTTCAAAGGAAACATCCCTAATTAGTAAACTTTTATAACATGTTTGTTGGAGGTTTGGGGAGGGGGGGGGGGGGCAATGAGTCTACCCCCTCCCCCCCCCCCTCCCCAATTGGGACAAATATTTGTAAAGAAACATGATTACCATGTTTACTTGTACCATCTGTTATTGCATATGATGATGATGCTACTGCTGTATGTTATTACAGTACAGCACTATCCAATGGAGGCTTTCGAATATAGAGTTGACTTTCGCGAACTTGCTATTTAAAAAAAAAAACTAACAAATTTGTAAGAGACACAATAAACAAATTTGTAAGAGACACAATAAACAAATTTGTAAGAGACACAATAAACAAATTTGTAAGAGACACAATAAACAAATTTGTAAGAGACACAATAAACAAATTTGTAAGAGACACAATAAACAAATTTGTAAGAGACACAATAAACAAATTTGCAGGACATCAGAAGCCTCTTTTGACAGTGGTGAAAAGTCATAAGATAGTTTGGTTCTGATACGTGGTGAGACATGACTCGATTACAAAGTCTATACTTTAAGGAACACTGGGGATGGGGAACAAAGAAGACAGGTACAAAGAAGGATCTTAAAGAAAACATTGACAGAAATGGACAGGATAAATTATTATTCACTTGTTAAAAAATCAGAAGACATAGAAAGATGGCAGGTTTTGTGTGTTTTTGTTTCCATCAATACCTCCATGACCCTAACAGGTCAAGGATTATGTTATATCCAAATCAATCACAAGGTCACAGAAATCAAGGCAGACCACACACCACACACACAAAACATGCAGAGAAGGGAAAATAGAGAGAGAAGTTAAAAAGATTAGAAGAATATGGGGTGGGTCATATTTGACATCAAAGTGTATAATGACTTAGGGTGACAAGGTTGAGGGCCTATGTTCCACTAAAGGATAAAGGGAAGAAGAAGAAGACTATCCAAATCATACCTCTTGAGTATCACATTTACTCTGCAATTCAGCCACCTTTGAAGATGACGAATGTAGAGCTTGTTCTGTTAAGAGTCGCTGTAGTTCCTTCTGGTGACTGCTTCTCAAAACTTCAATCTGAAAGAAATAGCCAAATAAATAACTGTCACAATCAAATTAGACAAAACACTTCCTTCAAGAAATATACTTAAAGTGAAAAAAAAAGATACAGATCTGCTTCACAGGCATTGTTCCCAATCAGGCATATAATGCTTCTTTTTTTCTTCACCTCCTCTCTTATCGCTTCAAGTTTTGAGGGAGACATAATGTTTTGCTTCTTTCTCTTCTGGCTGCCTCTACCGCACACACATTGTGCTGTTGTAGATTTTATCTGATGTTAGCTTTCCATTTTGTTCTAGATAGCTTTCCATCTTGTTCTAGGTCTACCTCGTGCTCTACATCATTCTCCTCTTTTGGTGTATGCCTTGTGTGGTACAGCATCACAAGGCATTCTAAGTGGGAAAACCATTTGATTTGATGTCTCTGTATGTAATTTAGAATTTTTCTCTTATGACCTCATTCCTCAGCCTATGTCAGGGCTATTCAACTGGCGGCCCATGGGTCAAATGTGGCCCGCTGAGGCCTAGCAAGTGGTCCATGGGTCAATGCCAGTTGTATTGTATTAATGATCTTTCTATGATTTGGATCGGGCCTCTGGTCCGCGACAATCCCCATTTTTAAAAATGCTGGCCCCCCGAGTAAACTTAGTCCTTCGTATTCTCCATATTTGTTAACTTCACTCTCTAATTTCCTTCTCTCTGTGTTATTTTGGTTTGCCTTTATTCCTCTCTCCATGTGGGTTCCAGTGCAAAGACATTCTAGTTATACTGTTATCAAGTTGTCTCAATATGTGTCTTCTACAACATCAGCATCTTTTTCTCATCTTCTGATTCACTAGAATTCGCATACTTCTTTCTGAAAGTTGGACTTAGGCTTGGCTGCCTTATCTTTTAAATACTTTAGCCACAAAACTCAGTCAACCAAACAAAGGCAATTAACTGTTTTATTTCAAAAATTTAGCCATAAAAACCAATAAATCAAAAAAAGACAATCAAATGATTTATTTCAAATTTATTTCAAAGATTTAGCCACAAAAATCAATGAACAAAAAAAAAAAAGAATCAATTGATTTATTTCAAAGATTCAGTCACAAAAACCAACAAACCAAAGCAAGACAATCAACTACTTATTTCAAAAAATTATCTACTGTAAAACTATCTACCATGAAACTATCTACTGTGAAACTATCCAATCTGAATCTATCCATTGTAAATTTATCCACTGTAAAACTATCCACTGTAAAACTATCCACTGTAAAACTATCTACTGTGACTCTACTGTGAAACTGTCCACTGTCAAACTATCCACTGTGAAACTATCCACTGTGAAACTATTTACGCTGGAACTATCTAGTGTGACTCTAATGTGAAACTGTCCACTGTCAAACTATCCACTGTGAAACTATTAACGGCGAAACTATCTAAAGTGACACTATCTACTGTGAAAGTATCTATGGTAATATTTTCTTCTGTAAAACTATCCACTATGAAACTATTTACTGTGAAACTATCTACAGTGACACTATCTACTGTGACTATCTACTGTGAAACTGCCCATTGTCAAACTATCCACTTTCAAACTATTTACGGTGAAACTATCTTCAATGACACTATCTACTGTGAAAGTATGTACAATGATATTTTCTACTGTAAAACTATTCACTGTGGAACTAGCCGCTGTAACACAGTGGCTTGACGCTTGGCCCAAAATTCAGGTTAAAATCCGTATCGAACCAGATTTTTGTTCAAAACTGACCTTGGCTCAACCCAACCTAACATGGGTATCAGGTAATGTCCTGGGAAGTAAAGGCAGCTTGCGTGATGTTAACAACCTCATCCTCAGACTGCTAGCTGGTCTATACAAACATAAATCTAACATCCTATTTCTGATACGTCACTGACGTAAAAAAGGTCCTTAACTGTTTTCTTTTTTACTGTGAAACTACCATTAATGGATGGATCTCTACCTCCAGGACTCTAAAGTCAAACATCACGCAGAACAGGATGAGTCTATGAGATACTGAAATCAGCTAATAATGTGTAAACATCATCTTCTATATCTCCAGAGGGTTAGTATTTTAACTCAGTATAGTAATTCTATTTATATTACAAATCCAAACAATAATAGTGATGACAGGAAAAATACAAAGATACAATTGAGAAATCTTATAACAAAAATTTTACAAATTAGATAGAAGCAATGACTAAACACATGTCAATAGTGGAGACACAGATGAAGTAGAGGATAGAAGACCAAAAATGTCCTTTCACTATTCCGGGTGAGGCCAGGAAATTAGATCTAGACTGTTCATTAACCAAATCTAATGGGCCATAAAAGCTATCTCATACCTGATGCTCAAGCTGTTCTCTGCTTTGTCTGGCTACAGATTCTGTTTCTGCCAAAGCCCGCCTCAAATCCACTCTCTGTTGGTCTAACTCTAATTGTAAGTGATCCACCTGAAGAAAATAATTGTGGCTGTAATCGTTAGTTTCATAAATTATTTTTTCCTGTCAGAATAATTCATGTTATTTTAGACTAATGTACAAATCTGGCCTCTCTGTTTAGCAGAGTTGACTTCTTTATTGCTGGATACAAATACAGACATTTTCATACATTAGCCAACAGCAAAATGGCTACCACAATTTCTGGAAGGTGAAGGTGGCCAGCATGATGTTGATCACATGATCTACTGAGTGCTGATTGGTTCATAAAACTACGTGGCTAGAACCGATTATCCCATACACTTCAAAGCACAGACAAGTTTTGTCAATTACTTATTTTACTTTCTTTAACCTAAAATTATAATATTTTAAACTAATAACTAAATGTTATTGCAGTTTCCAAAATAGCTGCTGGAAAAATTATACCTTGGAATACATATGCAGCTGATATTCTTTAAAAAAACCAACCAAATACAGAGGTTCTAGAAAGATATAATGAAAAAAAGAGTTGTTGAAAGAATTAAATAAGAGACAAGTTAAATATTTCTGTCACATTAAAAAACAAAACACACTTGAATAAAACAATTTTCTTCTTGTTCTCTTTCTTCAGTTATTTCATCAAAGTCTGAGGTTGAAATGTAAGCTTTTTCCAATGCATTGCACAAGGAGATTTTCATTTCTTTAAGGCTGGTCTTGGTGCTGTAGGTCCATTTTGAGTGGTCTTCCTCTCACTCTGTAGTGATTATATTTCTTCAGAGTGACTCTCCGTAACAGTTGGTACAATGGCATTCTCATCAGATGGCCAAACCATCTCATTTACAGATCTTTAATTAACTGTACAACTGGTTTCAGTCCCAGTCTAATAGTGTCTTCATTGTTGATTTAATCCTTTCTTATTACTCTGTCAGCTCTTTTAAGGCATACCATCTTTTGTTCAGCACCCTAAAGGAATCTAGAGCCTCAGCGTGATAAACTAACCCAGAAACCTATAACTTATAAAACTTTTGAATTTGTTAGGAAATGGAAAGAACTTTAAAGTGTTATTCTCAATTTTGGACATTCACTACTCTTGTGACTGCATAACCATGGTAAGTGAAGAATAATTTACAAAATGTTGTCTTTGTAAACATAACATATGCTGAATTATTTTTTTCTACTAACTATAACAGCACTAAACATTGACATATTATTCAAATTCAAAATGTACATTCATTTCTCTTTAAAAAATATATATACACATACTTGTGTAAGGATTAGAAATATATTACATTCTCTATTGCCTTTATTTTACATCGCCCCATTTGCCATTTTAATCAAGGGAAATTAATGCGGGCCAAGTCTGTCAAAATATATAGGTCTGAAAGAGTTAACTGACCTTCTTCACTATGTCCAATTATCTTATCTCTCCAGGGGCTTCATTTAGGGGGTAGAGGAGGAGACCTATTGCCCCCCCCCCCCCCCCCCCCCCCCCCCCCCCCCCCCCCCCCCCCCCCCCCCCCCCCCCCCCCCCCCCCCCCAAACAAGTATGGCGTAAAAGTTGACTTTTTAACTGTGTATCCTTCAAAGTTGGAGTGCAACTGCCTGACAAGAGGGGCTTTAAATAAGTCAGATCTGTAAAACAGATGCGCACAGAAAACTCAATTTCTGAAACAAGACCAAAGTCCAGAAGTGGGCAAACAGCCAGAACATTTCTGCCAGAGTTTACAGCTGGTAAGCACAAAGAAGAAGATCGTATCTAGGTACTTACTTTGTCCTTTAACTGTTGATTCTCTAGGATCAGTGTGGAGAGGTCACCATCTGCAAAAGCTCCGGGCTGATAATCTCTGCTAGTGGATGATGTGTGAGAGATGGGTGTTTTCTCAAATGTCACTATGCTGTTTTTAGAAGCATTCCCTCTTTTATCTGTGATGTTGGAAAGAATATTAGAAACACCCCAAAAATCATATTAATATAAGAAACACATAAGAAATAAAACTAGTATCAACAGTTATAAGACAGAGAAGATGGCACTATACTAGACACATTCTGAGAACAGATGAACAGAGAATCACCAAATAGGCACAGTTTGTTCATTTGTTCAATTTGAATCAACCACGATCAACCTCTGACTAGGAAGCTGGTCTCATCCTTGTCAATATTGGTTATTATTATGGCAATAAATTGTGTTGCTATTTCACTGCAAAATGTTTGGTGCTTTATTTTATGTCTTCTGTGTCTATCTGCTGACCAGGTCGTGTCCGTCTCACTGTGCAGGCTTGGATCTGATTAGGCCATGTATTCCTTATTGTGCTATACACTGGTTGTGTTACTGCCAATGATTGGGTTGTCTTCTGAGCTATTTATGGTGATAATGCTATACCAGTTCTTTGTATTGTTTTCGTAGCTGTTATCGCTGTTGTTCCATGAGAAACAGAGGAAATGAGGAAGTCCAAGAGAAACCTTAAGGTGAACATTGATGAGAGAAGCCAAAGGTGCTGGACTGAATTCCATTCATGAAATCAAAGTGATTGCACAGGACCTAACAAAACAGAGTAACATGCTGCAAACTCCATGTGACACATAATAGCACAACAGAACAGTGAATGAATATAAGTGGAAAACATTCTTCTATAAACACTAGAAAAACTAAAAGATTAGCTAGCAGCTGTTTGACTTATATTCTCATCTGCCCGCCAGCTGGTCTCCTGGATAGACAGCTGTATGCCACAACTCTTTAGTCTCTTCTTATAACATATATGGTAGAGCTTAGTTTTACTATACTTTGTTTCCCTTGTTGGTCCCAATACCACATCGGCAAGGGTTCTTTAATTTTGACATTTATTTGACAGGTTGATGACTTTTCTCAACTACTGTTTTATATCACATATAAAGTTTATACAACTGACTCTTCAATGTACCATTACAAATCTAAAAACAACAGTTACTGCTATTGAAATATGAAGTTTCAGACCTTTACATATTCTAATTCATTTCAAAATAAGGCAGAGTGGTCAATTCCCTTCCTCTCCTCTTTATTTTCCAAATAACTGTGATAAAAGGTAAAAAGGTAAAGCAGGGAGATGTGAACCAGCGTCATTGCACGCAATTATAAACCATAAGTGCTCTGCCACCAGTACGGACAGCTGATAAGAATTTTCGCCTGTGTCGCTGTCCACACTTAACTCTGTGGCTACAGCGACGCTCCTCTATTTACCCAAGAGTGTCAACTCTGGTACCCATTTCCTAGAGGCTGGGTGAGCCCCGGGAGCCACCCGGTTTCGAACACCGACCATGGCTGCAGCGAGTCGCAGCTGGATTTGAAAACTAGGCTATTATCAACTGCGCTAACGTGGCTCGCGCATGATGATGACTGTGATAATTATTTGAAACTCAGTGTTATTAGATTGCGTCAACATCAGACCCATACTTGCTGAAAAAAAATAATAATTACAGATCATTGGCTTTCGTTAGCAGACCAATGTCTTCCGTTCATAGACTAATGTCTTCTGCTACCAGACCAACGTCTTTCGCTACCAGACCAATGTCTTCCACTACCAGACCAATGTCTTCCTCTAATAGACCAATCTCCTCCACTACCAGACCAATGTCTTCCACTACCAGACCAATGTCTTCCACTACCAGACCAATGTCTTTCACTACCAGACCAATGTCTTCCACTAATAGACCAATCTCCTCCGCTACCAGACCAATGTCTTCCACTAATAGACCAATCTCCTCCACTACCAGACCAATGTCTTCTACTACCAGACCAACGTCTTCAACTACCAGACCAATGTCTTCCACTAATAGACCAATCTCTTCCACTACCAGACCAATCTCCTCCACAACCAGACCAATGTCTTCCACTAATAGACCAATCTCCTCCGCTACCAGACCAATGTCTTCCACTACCAGACCAATGTCTTCCACTACCAGACCAATGTCTTCCACTAATAGACCAATCTCCTCCGCTACCAGACCAATGTCTTCCACTACCAGACCAATGTCTTCCACTACCAGATCAATGTCTTCCACTACCAGATCAATGTCTTCCACTAAAAGACCAATCTCCTCCGCTACCAGACCAATATCTTCCACTGCCAGACCAATGTCTTCAACTATTAGATCAATGTCTTCCACTAAGATACCAATGTCTTCCTCTGCCAAACAAAAGTCTTCCACTAATAGACCAATATCTTCTGCTACCAGATCAATGTCTTCCGCTAATAGACCAATGTCTTCAGCTACCAATAATCCCGCTGAGCCGGTAATGCAGAGACTGGCCAGCAGGTGCCACGGAGGTGGAAATTCAGCAATTATTTCAAGATAATGCTCGCTCAGAGAATTTGATCATTTACACAGACGGTTCAGTGTCAAGAGGCAAATCACGTGCTTAGGCTTCTTAGCAAAAGTTAATGGTCGAGGTTTGGTGCAGGAGAGCCTAGCATATGGTACCACAACATCCAGCTTAAGAATGGAGGTGGAGGCGGTCACTGCAACTTTCCGCTGGCTAGAAAACATGACACACACACACACACACTGTGATTGTAACTGACTCAGAAAGCATGCTGAGGAAGATCAGAACAGGTATGCTTCGTGCAGAGTGGCATGCTTCGCTGCAGAGGACATGGGTGAGGAGTATTGTCTGGATTTTTTCACAGGGTACGCCGGTGTGTTAGGAAATGAACAGGTGGACAGACTGGCTGGCTCTGCACAACTTGGTGGAATACTGATACATGATAGGACAGACATGGTTAGTGCCTTGTTGGAGAGCGTGTACAGTTCGGGGGAGCACATGGATCAGCACAGTCTGGTGAGATTGATGTAGGGGGGGGGGGGGGGGTGACGAGAGGTTCTGGTAGATGCTCCAGGCTCAGTGGAAAGGCAACACGGATGTTTAATCAGAATGCTACTGGCACCATTAGTATCGGAACTCTTCGCTGGCTGTTGAAGATGGGGACGGAGTACTTATGGGAATGCCCCGAGTGTTGTGATGTCGGTTCTTGAATCAAATCAAATCAAATTCCGCTAACAAACCAAAGTCTTCCAATAATAGACCAATATCTTCCGCTACTAGACCAATTTCTGTTACCAGACTAAATTAACAGACTATGTATTAGAGATGCGATGTGAAGATGGATTGTCAGAGATTTTGTGTGATTACATGCTTACTTGATTTAGTTCTCATTCTCTCAATTGTACGCTGCAACATCTCTATGTCATGATTTCTGTCTTTCAGTTCATTCTGCAGGTTTAACACTCTTTGCTTCCATTCTGCCTCTGTTTGACCACTCTCATTTCTCATTTGGTCTGTAAAGAGGAAACGAGATTAAATAAAAGCATATTCAGTGATTCAAGTTCCCTGTGTGGGTTCCAGCGCCTAATTTTGTGTGGGGGGAAAAAAGAACTGGCCCACTACCCCCTACCAAGCATGTCATATCAGGTGACTAATAAAGGGGTTTTACTGAAACTGGAATCTAAGAGTTAATTTACTCACTGCATTTATAAAAGCTATTGCAGTTTGAATTTCTTCTTATTCTTCACTGGCTGTAAACTCTGGTGGAAAGTTCATGTTGCATGTCCATTTCTGGGGCCAGTGTGTGTATTCTAATTTTTACCACAATGAAGCCACGGAACCCACACGAAGTGTAGAACTCAACCTGGAACCAGTGTTAAAAAAATGCAAAGAGAAGAAGCAGGTTTTTCAATAATCAGCCCACTACAGGAACTATTTGCATTGATACAGTTCTGTCATCTGCAAGGAGAGAGTGAACATCGATAAGTTTATCATGTGTGCATACCATGTGATGGCCAATGCAGGGGTGCTCCAACAAGGCATTGTTTTTAAAAGGTGGATGGGTATTCCGACAGGCTTCATGAAAGCTAAGTCATTTTACATATTCCTTTAAGTAACTGTATCATTGTCCATCCTTATTTATACTAATGAATGAGCGAACTCTACTTTCAAAAGGTTAAGAAGTGGGCACACAGGCCTGCTTACATTCAGCCTTCTGGTCTCACTCCATGCATACATTATGCCACTCATATATTATTTTAGCAGATAACAGTAACAAACATCATCAACAACATCTAAATCTTAGCTACAAACCACCAGAATGTGCTCTAATAATACCTTAATTTTAAAACATTAATAATACTTAGTATAACAGATCTAGAGGAAATCAACAATATGCTTAGAATACTACTATTATTTAATGGGGCATGTAGTCTGTAATTGGATATTATTCAAATAGTTTCTGATTAAAAGTACGAGGGGTTGTTGATATTTTTGACTGGCTAAGAAAGTTGGTTCCACAGATGAGCTGTGGAACTTGTTTTGTTTAAGTTTATTCTAGTTTTAGGGATATGTAATATGTTTTAAAATGTGTTGTTTTCCATTATACTTATGCAATAGCCTAAAGTAATCTGGAGCATTTTTGGATAATATTTTTCTAAATAGATTTAACCTTAATAAAAAATTAGTCATTTATGGAGTGGTAATAACATAAGAACTTTATATATACTGAAACTGTCTCTTTCATGATTATTACTGACAAAGCGTACAGATCTTTGAAGTGCTTTCAGTGGTTTGATGTGTGAATTGGAACAGTCATCCCATATTGTGGAGCAGTAGTCTAGATGGAATAATCAAACACTTGAAGCAATAGGGCTTTCCAGCTGCAATGTTTATTTTGTCCTTCACACGTGTTTTATTAGAAATCTGACTAGTTCTACATCTTTTTTAGAATTATTATTTTCCTACCATGTGTGCAGTCACATTTTAGATTGTTTTTTCATATCATGTGTGCAGTGACAATGGTCCGTAGTAACAGTAACTCAACTGCCAACTTACTTTCTTGGTTTTTATTGACTTTTTTCAGTTCTGCTGTTACCCTGTCTACTTCTGCTTGCATTTCTGAGACCTGTTTCTTGCACCGATCTCGAACACTCTTCAGTTCTTTTTCTAGGGCCTGAACATGGCTAAATGGGTGTTCTATGAGGAAACCATCTTGGCCCAACTTCTGGTACTGAGACAGCTGTTTCTCCAGATCAGCAATTCTTTCTTCAAACTGAAGCTGAAATAGAAGTAAAAATAAAATCAGTGAAATAAACTGCCCAGGAAGTAGTAGGAGCATTGTAGAAAAAAAACCTATCATGAAACTGAGTAACTAACTGCTTGAGGATTCATACTGGAAGGAAAAGTAAGGCAAGACAAAGGTAAATAATGATACAAGTGGAAGGACAACACCAAGAGATGGATGAACAGCAGTCTGAGATGAGAAGTGTTAGGACTTTACATGTGTGGACATATGAGGTAAGTGGTCACTTCCTTTCCTAATCATTTTTCACTTTGAAGCCGTTCCTAGAAAATTCTGGAAGCTGTCTGGTGCCTATTTTATGAGGATCAAGTCAACAACCAGAGCCATGTTGGTCGGGAAAAAACTGGCCACCTCTGGTGACTGATCTAAGGTCACTACTGTCTCAGCAGTTGACAGCTAGATACTTCAGTCAACGAGTTCTCTCCAAGATCTCTGAATGCAGACTTACAGTTGGCGCTGGTGTGTTTATTATATGGTTTTTCATCAAAAAACCATGTCACCGGTGACTTCGACACACTGATGACCGCTCTCACTTCATCACACCACCTGCTTATGAGATCAAGTTCTGTCTGAAGGTCCTCAGCCACCTACCCCAGGTCTCTGCCTTGATGGTACATCAAAACATTGTCACCGTAGGACAGTGTCCTTCCCTATTTTCCAAGCCTGGAGAGGAGATGGAGAGCTCTGCATCAGTGTACCTGTGGAGACGTTGCATTTGATACTGGATGGAGATCAAAGACTCTATATCATCCTCACTCCAAGAGCTGCATGCCTTTCTCAGGGCCTATATGACACACAGACCAATGCTTCGGATTTTAGAGCTAAAACTCAGTCCTCCTGAGTATTTAACAAATGGCCCTTCTACCTCTTCTGTGTTCACTGGTTATGAACTCTGCCAAAAAGTTCTGGTTGGGACTTCAGTCTTTTTCCAGGACTTGAGTGTTGCATGCACATTCATTTTTTAGATCTGGCTTACTGTGTGGACTCTGGTTCCTCAACTTTGAAGGAAGTGTCAGGTCCCCAGTATGGAACTGGTTTCTAGGACAAGGATGATCAAAGACAGGTATAGAAGTCTTGCGCAGTATGAGTTCTGGCCCTGGTAAGCCCTTACAGGTAGCAACATCCTTCTGCATTGCACATCAGCTGACCAATAAACCTAAAAATCTTCAACTCACAAATGAATAGTTTACCTTAATATGATTGTATTTCTGTTCTAGTGCCCTCAGGTCTTGCCGAGAAAGTTCATCCTTTGACTCTAGTTCTTTTTCGAGCTTCTTCACCTGAGCTTCAAGCACCTGCACGGTGTGACCCTTGGCCTGGCTTCCATTAGTTACTGGATCTGGAAGACTGGCAGCCAGCATCATCATCGCTGGCAACGAGTTGGGATGGCGGCGATAAATTATCTGCTCCAACTCTTTCACCTTGAAGGGGAAAAAATTTAAGATTTAATTAGTGATCCAAATAAGTGAAAAAATCCTATATAATGTGGTCAATTAATTCCAATAAGTAAGACAAGTCTATAGTAAAGCCAAGGACTCTTTTCCACGTGATCAGGCATATAGGGCTAGACCTATATTTCATAGATCAATTGGCACTTGGTGGGTGATGTGGTCAGCATCATGCTGGAATCATTACCACTGTGGACGCCTCTGCCTAACAGTGTACAATTTGTTTATTGTTTATACACAACTGGCCACTCTTTCTTTATCAATTTTGCCTTTTCTGATTTAGAATCCTAGCTCAATATTTTAGTGCATCATAGTTGGACAAGTAAACTCCCCCCCCCCCCCCCCCCCACCCCCCCCCCCCCCCCCCCCCCCCCCCCCCCCCCCCCCCCCCCCCCCCCCCCCCCCCCCCCTAATCACTTAGTTTCCTCACCATAGTTGGACAAGTAAACCTTCCCCATCATTTAGTTTCCTCACCATAGTTAGACAATTAAACTCCCCCCCCCCCCCCAACCCTCCCCATCCCTTAAGTTTTCTCACCATAGTTGGACAAGTAAACTTCCCCCCATCACTTAGTTTCCTCACCATAGTTGGACAAGTAAACTTCCCCCCATCACTTAGTTTCCTCACCATAGTTGGACAAGTAAACTTCCCCCCATCACTTAGTTTCCTCACCATAGTTGGACAAGTAAACCCCTCCCCCAATCACTTAGTTTCCTCACCATAATTGGACAAGTAAACTTCCCCCCATCACTTAGTTTCCTCACCATTGTTGGACAAGTAACTTCCCCCCATCACTTTCTCACCATAGTTGGACAAGTAAACCCTTAGGTCCCCACAGACCACCAAATAGAGAATACTTGTCTCAGTTATGAGCTGGTTTATTTTCATGGCACTCTGGACTCATCCATGGCGGCTCAGATTGCCCCTCAACAATGCATCAGGGTCCCGTGGTTAACGATGCCAGTTCTATGCTGGTTAACAAGACTTCTCATAGGTCCGGTGAGCTTCTCATTTCTGGCTGTGCCCATTTTTACTCTCAATTTTCGTATTCTTAGAAGCAATGTGAACATGCAAGATCCTCCTAACGTCTTTTCTCTCAGTTATCAAAATAATGGTCTACATTATGTGGTGGGAAACACAAGTGGAAAAAAGTCTACAAACTATAAAAAAATTCTAATTGCTACCATGGTACAACAATTTTTACATCTGCAACTTTTGTCGGTACCAAGCAGATATTATTTAACATTATTTCCAAGAAAGATTTCACTTAAAATAATAAATATCTAGGTCAACATGAATTAAAATAATCACTTTTTCAGAGAGAAGGAGTTAAAGTAACAAGTGACCCACTGTGATTTAATGCAACAACTGAATGTGGCAAGAGCAGTCAAGACAAAATTTACAGTGTACCGTATTTTTAGAGTTATGTTTAACTCAACCCCTACTTTTTTTTTTAGCCCTAAATTAAGAAAAAAATATTTTAGACAGAATCCATGTATAAAATGACCCCCCCCCCCCCACCCCCACCCGCCCCTCCCCCCTTTTTTTAAATAGGAAACATTAATCATCTTTTACATGGAAAATATGGTAAGTAGGTTCTACAAATTTATGGTGAGTTGTTTAGAATCGAATGATTTAACATTCATGTCAAAGAGAAAACCACCAAATTTTAAATTTACAGGCCGTTCACTAAATTTGTTTTGTAAACCTGTCTTTCCAAATCCTGAATCTTCTTCGCATCCGCTGCTTTCTCTTTTGCTCTCAGCTTGTTTTCCTCCAGTTTCATTCCTGCCTAAATAGAAAACATGACAGTAGTCAGTAATGGCCATCTCACAATCTGATTACAATGTGAACAGTCATTAGAGGTCAGTTAGAGTTACTGGTGATAATGTGAGGTGATAATAACAATTCTTTTTTCTTAGTCCATGCTGTGTGGCCTTGGTGGTCATGTCTATCCACAAACTTCTGTCTCTCGTACTTTCTATTCATTCTGACACAGACGATCTTCCAGGCAATAATGTTAGACTGTCCAGCATCTTCTCTCTCAGTGTCCCTCTGCATCCCTTTTCCTTCAACTTTCCTATGATCATGATGTACTTCAGTTTTCTCCCTCTCATCACGTGACCAAAGAATGTTGATTGTCTCCTTTTGATGTGGGCAGTCAGCTCTCTTCATGAGCCAGTTTCCTACAAAACATCTTCATTACCCTTTTTATCTGTCCAAGGCATTCTAATTATTCAACTATATAAGCACAGCTCTGCAGCTTCCAAAAAATGTTTCACTATCATCCAACTGTCCATGATTCACTTCTGTATATCAGAATAGGATTGATATCTCTTAAGAATTCTCTCTCTTGTCTCAGCTGACAAATAAAGATTGCAAATAATATTCTTCATTTTGTAATTTGTTGCCTTTGTTTGAGCTATTCTATATTTAATGTTTAAAACATCTCACATTTGCTCCTATCAGGTACTCAAGTAATTAAACATATTAATTTGCTTGACGCTTGTTCCAATTACTTTCATGCTACATTTTGGAGAGTCCATTTCTGTTGTAATTATAATTACTTTTGTTTTTCTGCTGTTCAAACTAAGATCTTTGTTTTGACTTTCTGCTACAATTAAGTCCATAATTTCTTGCAATTGTGTTCCACTTTTAGCAATCAAAACTGTATTGTCAACAAATCACAAAATAATTACTGCATTACAGGTATGGCACATGCTGATGATGAATGGTCAGTCTACAGCAAATCTGATTTAAATATTGATGATAAATGGTCAAAGCAATTTTCCCCATTGTAAATTTGAATAAAGAAGACACAAACAATAGATTGCAAAATTTAATGCCTGGCAATTCGTTACCTCCGCCCTGAACTTTGTAAACAAAAAGACATGATTCAGACACTGCAGCTTCCTTGGTAAAACAGGCAGTTACGTCTGATTGTTGTTGAATTTTTACTTCAGCTATAAAGGATTCGCTTATTTGACACATTTTTGTAATTATTACCGTAGTATACTAAAATATGCCAGAGATAAATGGTCAGTTTACAATCTGATTTAAATATTAACAAATTCACCTCACAAAACAATAAAAACATGAACAGATTCACTAACAGTAACTCTACAATGAGATTAAAATCAAATAAAAAACTGTCAGCAGTTTTGGTAACAAATATATAGTGAGTTACTTAAAAAACAGTTGTATGGAGTTAAATACCAGTTGTGTCAGTTAAATCAAAAGCCAATCATCACTGAATGGCAGACTCTCCCACAGGTGTTCAGAACTGTTATGAGTATGTGATGGCTGATCACACTAGTTTAGTGTTGGTTCACAATTTTCCAGTGTTGGCATTTGTTCAAACCAAGACAGATTTGAGATCAACCTAGCATCATCAGATGTCTCTATAGTCAACCCAGCTTTATAAAATGGATACTACAAATTCAAAGCAATATTTCTGTGTTGTTTCACACAGTAAACAAGGACAATGCATTCTAATTCTGCACACTTCAAACCAACCACAGACATCTGTGATATATGAAAAGCCATTATGTTAAATAATTTCAGTCCAGAATTATGCAGACAGAAATAAATGCCTGTTCACCAGTGCTTGCCTTGGTGAAACAGGCAGTTACATTTGAATGAAGTTACAAGGATTAATTTATTTGCTTCGCTTTAATCAACTGTTACTGCAGTTAAACTATTACACACTAAAATATGCCAGGCAATAAACTGTGCAATCTATTATTTGTGTGTTCTTTGTTCAGATATAGCCCTATGGTAGCGAGTGAACATTGAGGAGGCGCATATGGATCCCTACGGTCTAAGGAGAATGGCACTGCGAGGAGTTACCAGGGGATCTGGCCGACACTCAACACTCAGGGAAAGCATAAGATGGATATACAATCAGACGGTTACTGGTACCATCAGAATTGGAACTCTTCACTTGCTGTTGAAGATGGGGACTGAGCACTTATGGGAGTGTCCTGAGTACTGTGATGTGGACTCTTAATTCAATATTGTACCATCAGAATTGGCAACTTTCACTTGCTGTTGAAGATGGGGACTGAGCACTTATGGGAGTCCCGAGTGCTGTGATGTCGATTCTTAATTAAACATTCAACACTGTTCAGAAATAGAAATGTCTCTGAGACCAATCCAGCCTCATAAAGTGAGACATAGAGGTTAGAGCTTTCTGCTTACAATGAGTATCAAATCAGTCTAATGGAAACAATTATTATATCTACAGAAGAAACTATTATATTGCACATACAATTTGCTCTTACCTCAGATTTCAAATCTTCCAGTCGCATCTTCAGTTTGTGAATCTCATCATCCTTAGCCCTTAGTTTTGCACTACTCTTGTCCAGTAATTCTTGATTCTCTGTATACCATTTAATTTTTTTCTTTAACTTGTCAAGTTCTTCATTATGTCTGGCTTCAAGTTCCTGAATAAGTTAAAAATAATTTGAGAGTTTAGCACCTTGTAAAAACATAATTTTAACTTTGGAATGCCTCTTTCAAAATTCTACATTTTGTAGTCAGTTTTGGATTTGATTTACATTTTGTCTTCACTCTTACTAAAGTATTTAAGGTATTTATTCTTAATAAAGTTTCAGCAAGTAAACAAAACAAAAAAAAAAAAAACCTTACTCACTGATGCTTCTCGTTTTAATTTACTTCAAATTTTTTAAAAACAGCCAAGGCAGCATAGTGTTTAATTGATTCTTCTATCTATGTGGGTTACAAGGCCCATTTCTGTTCAGACAGAAATGTCCTAGGAGGCAACTATGCTAGTGTTGTGTGTTGATTCGGGAGTATCAACATTGTTTATGTTAATTCTAGTACAGGCTTGGATGACCATACTGTTGACATGGACTGAGTCAATATTTAGATTCTGTGTTGACTGAGGACAGGAGGTGTCAGCATGGCCTGAGTCAATATTTTGACTTAGGACCCAGTTGACCAGTGAATTCACGAGGTGCCAACTGGCCTGGGTAAATATTCATACCTAGTTGGTGTCAGCAAGACTGGGGCACAAAGGTATGAGGGGAAAAGGTGGAAAACCTGCATGAATGTGGGCGCCTCAACTTTAATGGAGGACTGACAGAGAACGCACACATGTATATACTGGAGCACTTAAGAAGAGTCCAGCAGTTGAGAAGAGTCCAGCAGTTGAGAAGAGTCCAGCAGTTGAAAAGAGACCAGCAGTTGAGAAGAGTACAGCAGTTGAGAAGAGTACAGCAGTTGAGAAGATTCCAGCAGTTGAGAAGAGTCCAGCAGTTGAGAAGAGCTGAGCAGAAAAAGCTGTGTATTCATTCCTCTGTGGGGAAGCTTGGTTTGGGTGATGACGTGTGTGGCGGTCATTTCCACTAATTAAACAAACAATTCTATGTACGGGGAGTGACCCCTCGTAAATGTCGGCCATCCGCTGTGTGCTGATGGGACTCAGAATTTGGAGTCCTGCCGGTCCTCATAGAATTCCTCGACATAGCTGATTTGCTGTGTGCATATTGGGGAAACTTAAGTATTGTAGAGGTTCCCTGTCAGCCGATGTAAAAATGCCTGTTACTGAGTATAGCAACAGAGTTCAAGCTGTGTGAGTTAGATGGAGCCTTTTCATTCTTACTGCTAGCCCTGATGTGGTGGTTAGCCAGCGGCCGTGGCACTGAGGTGGTGAGCTCAAGAGTCTGTTTGAAAGCAAGTGTAGGCTGCATTATGGAGCGCCACCAGGACTGGGTTTAAGAATTCGAAGCTTGATGGGGTTATTTCCATGTTAGCCAGCGTATGGACATACGTGATGTTGCTTTCTTTTCATTCACTGTGTGCCGGCTGGTAGACCAGAACATTCTTGTGAATAAATATATGACGGACAACCGTTGTTGACTTTTCATGACTATGCGAGTGTGGCAGAGTTTGAGTGCAAATCATAACATAGACATTTGACTGTATGTACATAACCTTGGCTACTATGTCAACCCTGCCTTAAATTTTCAATAGTGACATGTTTTTGAGATGCATATTTAATACTATTGGTTATATTCACGCCTGTGCACACGTTCAGGAGGTCAGGATATAAATATTTTAACTGAAAATAACATGGTAGGATTTTTTTTTTTGGGGGGGGGGGGGGGGGGGGTGTCCTTTAAACCGAAAAGCTTTTCTTTTTAAAGCCAAGTTGACATAACATTTTTCTTTAAGCCTCAGTGAGAGACGTCACGAGGTCACGCATGGATCACCTGATACATATGCTTAGGCCCTGGAGGATATATTCCATTGAATTCTTCAACCTGATCATGTTTGTTGACTACTTCTTTTATATAATTTAGAAAAACCTTTCCATATATAGTTACAGTTTACAAGATTTATTATTGACATGCTTCCAAAAAAAAAAAATATTCAATTTTTTTTTTTAAAGGAATTTCCATGTGGTCCACTTGTAAGATTCCCCGTTGTGACAGGGTCAAAGTTCCAATAACAAACATACTACTGCACTGGAACCCACAGAGGATTAAAAATACAGACAGACTAAACAACACACAGAGAGGATTTAGGAAGAGTTGATTTCAACAGCAAAGAAAAGGATGACTTGGTGTAAGTCGGCTGAAGGCCTATGCTCCATTGGAAGGTTTTAAAAAAAAGGTGAAGAAGGAGGAAAAGAAGAATAATTGGATTATACAACACTCAAAATGACATAGTGGTCTAAATTTAACACTGACCTTGATTTGCTCTGGGTTTAAACAGTCTGCGAGCTGTCTCACAAGAGCATCTTTCTCCTTGCTCAGTGTTTCTATGTGTCTCTCCAGTTCAAACTTGTTGTGCTGCATTAGAGTTAACTCCCTGCTCTGATTCTCCTGAACCCTCTGACAATGAGACAGGTAAACTTACTTTCAAAATATGAAAAACTGCAAAATTTATCAACAGATATATTTCCTACACAATATTAGTCTGGATTCTTCTTCTTCTTCTTCATGTTCACCAGCTGTAAACTCCAGCGGAAAGTTCTGGTTGTTCAACCACTTCTGGACTGCAGTCCTGTTCCGGAACCTGAGTGTTGCACGTGCATACGTTTTACAGATCTGACTCATTTGTATGCACACTGCTGGTTCCTTATCTCTCAGGGCATTTTTTCAATCAATCATTACTTAACTCTTTGAGTCCCAAGGAATTAATCATGCGCTAACTGGCTACTATCCAGCCATCCAATTGATGCGTGACATGTACAGATTTTTAAATTTACCACTGAAACTGTAAAAACACAAACGGCGCAACTGAAACTTCATCTCCAGATCTTCGTGTTCAAAACAACGTGTGCTGACCATCAGGATCATTTGGAAACATGGTTAAAAGTTTAAAATAAAGTATGTTTGTGAGGTTTACCGGGTTACTAAGTGTATCGCCACCGAGTAGGATTCTACATGCATGCCAGTTTGATTTAGGGCTTTAGAAGTTTCAAATTTAAATAAAACACATGTTTATCAAATTTATCCAAAGTCAGATGGAGAAAAGAAGATGAAATGGTTTGGTCATCTTGTAAGAATGCAGCCAGAACTACTACCAGTGCAGGCGCTACATAGGAAAGGATCTGAAGTGAAAGCAAGAGGCCCAGGAGATGGATTGATGACATTAAAGAGCTTCTACAATGACAAAGAATGACAGTAGCCACTGCTGCCCACCAAGCAATGGATCACAAATTTTTCTTTCCCACAAGGCTTAATGGCAGAAGTGGAAACTGAAGATAATGATGAGATGAAGAAAGTTGTGAAGTAGACTTGTTTCAGTCATTTACAGTCAAACTTTGATGAGGGATAGCTCTAATATCTGCCTTGTGCAAAGCGTACAACGATAACAAAGTCAGATGGTGCAAAAAGAATAAATAGTGAAAAGGGCGATTTTCTTCAGCGTCAGTTCTAGTGCTATTCCCCTTATTATTTAGGAACATAGCTACACAACTGAGTGTTATATAAACTTTGTTTTGTGTGAAGATACTGTTTTGGGAAGTCAATTCTCTTTACCAAATAATGGTGTTCTGTTATGGTGCTCCAAAAGATTCTCTGGAACAATGTATAGACTAAGTTTATATTTTACTTATACACTACTAAGTGGTACAAGTTCATTTATGTTTCATTTTGGATACCTTTATTTGAGTTTTCCTTCAGCGCCATGGTGGTAAGTGGAAAAAATTTAATTTTTTTATTTTACAAATTTCTCCAAACACTACTCTGTTATATTTTAACCAATATTTAACTGCCAACAACTAGCACAATTATTTGTTGTAGATGTATTCTAATATTATTCTTCAACAATCCCTGGTAACTTTGACGTATAATATGTGTATGTTGCGTGGCAGCTGAATCAGTATGGTTTGTTTTAGAATGTTATACTTGTTAAATTAAAAAAAAAATTGCCTTACCATCCCTTAGGCCTCTGATGCTAAACCTCCTGGGACTAAAAGAGTTAAGGAGGTATTTTTTTTTCTGTCTGCATTTAATCTGCAGGCAAGAAGTCTTTTGCCCCCATCTTGTATTCAATACTTAATCAATAAACGAGCAAATTCTTGAGGCAGAGATGTGGTTTTACAAGAGAATCTTTAGAATTCCTTTTATAGCCATGAAGGAAAAACCAGATATTTTAAAAAGATGAGGGCTCGAAGACAGCTTATCATAAACATCCGAAAGAGACAATCATCATATTTGGTTATGTTATCAGAAGAAGGAAACCTGCATGTTGTGACCACTAGAAAGATCGGTGGAAAGAGGAAGACAACATGAGTTGATTCTTGACAGCCTTTTGGTATGGTATGGAGGGGTGTCAAAAAGATAAAGTGATACATGCTGTTAAAGATTGTAGATTGCATAAAGGCATGATCACCTACATCAGAAGGTAACGGCACTTGATGATGATGATGATGATGATGATTCAATACTTAGGAAAGAATTTTCTTCCATAGTGGATTTAACCCCCAGTTGCTCTACCTAGATCAGTGGCTCTCAACATTCCTAATGCCGCGACCCTTTAAAACAGTTCCGCATGTTGTGATGACCCCCAACCATAAAATTATTTTCATTACTACTTCATAACTTCAGTAAACTTGCGTTTTTCAATGGTCTTTTGTGACCCCTGTTAAAGGGTCATGATCCACAGGCTGAGAACTGCTGACCAAAGATAGAACAAATGAATTCACCTCTTTGCCAAATGGCACCCTAAGTCAGTGGTCTCCAACCTGGAGGGCGCTAGGAGGTTTCAAAGCAATTTCAATCAGTTTTGAAAGTGAATGCATTTGTACTTGTAATAATCTGTTAGACTAATATTTTGATTTAGTTTTATTATAGACACATTTTTTTGTTAAACTATTTGTTAAACAAAAGACATTTTTGTTTTCATGTACAAGTAGCGTTACAAATCTAATTAATATGATAACACATGCATTTAATTATAGATTAGGAACACATTGTGATCAAAGCATATCTCCACATTTTCTGTTTCCTTTGTTGTGGAATCTGCTGACCTCTATTTTAATCACATATTGTTATGGTGAATGGGGAGGGTGCGTGATGGTCTTGCCACATACTCATGGGGGGCATAAGGTTCTTGCAATATGTGAAACAAAAAAAAGGAGGGGGGTTGTGAGGGGACTTGCCCTATACTCAGGGGGGTGCCTGGTCTACATATACTAAAGGGCAGCATGGGGAGGGATCTTGCCTCATACACAAGGGGGCAGTGACGGTCTTGCCATATACTTAAGGTGGGCGTGACCTGAAAAATTTTGGAGACCACTGACCCAAGTGAAGGCAATGCCAACAAAAAAAAGAAGAGTACTACAGTGGATACTATCGACCCATGGCATATTCATAAACGAAAAAGAAGCTTTGTTAGCTAAAGAAAAAGCACATCAAGACCAAATGGAACAATCAATCCTTTTATGAGGAGAATTTATTTTATTTTTTCCAAGTTCATTAGAACCAACAATAAAACAACTATTATTGATTATTAATTTGAGAATCTACATCCCAGCATATCGAGTATGCCCATGGATAGTCCATCACCTGCAGAGAATACTGTAAGTATTATTATTATCTTGCCGAAGTAAAAATAGATGATCCACTTATGTATTAGGGCAGGAAACAATATACTAAGAATTGCACAAACTGTTGATCTCATTACTCCAGTGTATATTTTGACTGGTAAACAGACATTCAACATATCCATCAAGACTGAACACTGGTTAACAGTCAAAAGTCCAAAGAAAGTTTTATAGGTGTCCCAATGAACTCTCAGATACACCAACTTACATTCAAATAAACAGACTTCTTGTGTGAAGAGTACTAGAACAACAGTGAACAAGAAGAAGTAGAATAGATTTAGAACAGATAGTTAAAAACTTCAGATATATAAAGAGACCCTGCTAGAAGGTGTGGTTGAATTTAAAAAAAATGAAGGACAAGCTGACAAGATGGAAGTAAAATATGGCTTTTCCACTTTGCCAGAAAGATCCCACAATTGTGCATTATTCAACAGCAATGATAATTTCTTATCTTAAATGGTTTCTCTAACTATAAACAACCAATGATTTACCTTAGCTTCCGCAAGCTCTCCTTCTAAATGTGCGATACGATTGGTTGCTATCACAGTTTCTGCATTACCAGTTGCAATCTGCTGCTGAACTGTCATACTGGTGATGATTCCTTTGTTCTGAAGTTCTGCAGTCTTGAACTCCAGTTCTTGCCTGCACATTTCCCAGGATGTGTAAACCAAAAATAGTCATTTAAAATACACCTTGTATATATATTTACAGCCATTACTGTCAGTTCAGAAAGGTTGTAGCTGGTGTCTGTTAAGAAAAGGAATACTGCCCCATACACTGTGATCTACTGAAGCAATCCTGACCACCCCCCCCACCCACCAAATGATATTTCAGTTTATTATCCAACATATTACTCAACATTTACATTTTCTGTTGATCCTTTTTTCCATGGAAATGTGCCAATCTGACCTGTTGCCATTAATTTCCAAAGAGTAATCCTCCAAATGTCTCAAGTGTAAAATCTGGGTAAATTCTCAGACTGTTCAGCCCACCGAAGACAAGCCAGGCAATTTTTTAAAACTCTCCCATCAAGCATCATGACCACATATGCACTTATTTTAGGGAAATCAGTGCATTTTCAACTCCTTCCATTTGCATCCACATAAGAGATAAACATGCTAAGAGATTTACATCTATATAAACAAATATTTGGGGGCAGTTTTTCTCATTTTGGAATACTGACAGAGTATTCACTGTTGCCTAACAATATTTGACTGCTCAAGGATCTTTAACCCTACCAGACCGCTGGCCCGATTTTCCGGGAATTTTTTAATCTGACGCTATACCACTGGCCCCATTTTTCGGGAATTTGCGTAGTACGTGAAAAATATGCGTCACAGACTAAAAATAACCAGCCAATCACTATCAGACTTCGTTGTTAGTGATTGAGAATGACTTCCCACCTGTGTTGAGATTTCTTTGTGTGGTTTAATGTGAAAAAAATTTGGAAAATTCTCAATGAAACGAGCAGCTTCGACAAGAAAGTGACGTAGGTCTAGGCTTTTCATAGTCCAACAGGTGATCGATACTTTGGTTGATTCAGACTGAATACGTTCATGAAGAATGGGTTCCCAGTTGAAGTGACAGTCAGTGAGAGCTAGAGTGAGGAAGAGAATTATGAAAATTATAGATTTAAAACTAGATCAAAAGTAAGAGAAGGGGGTGTGTCCCTCAAACAGCAACATCTGGTGCTTACTTTGTGAAACAAGACTGATCCTACTAGGTGGATTAGCACACAAAGGTGGAAGATTGGCGCTAGATGAGAGGTAAACTTATTTTCTACAATGTCTCCAAGTTTTATCTTATTCTAACCACCTGTTTGCATGTAACTAATATTTTTGTACATCATGTTGTTTTTTTTCATGTTAATGCCCAGGAGCTCAGGTTATAGGGACAGTTAGGTTCAGAGCCTCAGGTCTGGTAGGGTTAATGTTTGCAGCACACACATAAGACCTCCAAATGTGTGGTCTTATCTGATGCAATGAGATGTGCAATTCGCTACCCAAGGATTAAGAAGTGGAGGATTGTCTGTTGTTCTTAATTTTGTAACGTTGTCACTGTATGGAAAGATCAAAGCTGGAAAACTTATGGATAAAGGTTGGTCCCAAACTGAATACGCCTCTATCTCTCATGTACTCACTTGACATTTGTTAGCTCTGTAACCAGCCTCTGATTTTCCTTGAACATGCTTGTTTCTGAAGCCTTCACTTGTCTCTGAAGTGCTTTGATCTCCTCATAAAGTCTCTTATTTTCTGCTTGGTACCCAGTTAGCAAGGTTTCCTGTTCTTGTATCTCCTGCCTGAGTCTGGATATGAGCCCTTCAGAAAGAAAAACAGTATGCTTTGCTCTGTTCTAAAGAATAATGTTTAATTCTATTTCGGTCTGCGACCTGACATAGTTCACTCTGCGGAGAAACGGCAGCTCATCCTGATTGAACTGACCGTCCCGTATGAGTCGCGTATGAATGAAAATCACACGTACAAGCTCGAGAAATACGGTGATTTAGCAGCCGGTCTGAGGAGATACGAGGCGTACGCAGTACGTGTCTTTGCCGTCGAAGTGGGAGTGAGAGGTCTCGTCTCCACTTCACTGTACAATGTGATTAAAGAACTAGGATTGCACAGTAATGAACGGAAACGAACACTTAAAAAACTGGGCGAGGCAGCCGAGAGGGCCTCGAGCTGGCTTTGGACGCAACGGAACAACGTAGGGGACGGGCCTCGGTGAGCTGGTCAGGGTTTCTAGTGGAAAAGGGTTTCTCACCCTTTGAAAGTCCATCGTGTCCGAATTGTCTGCCAGTGTCTCTCTGCCACCTGCTAACAAAAGTCCAACATGTGTCCGGTAAACCAATCGTAAGCTTGTCGCTCAGTCGTCCAGGTATGCTGACTGTTCTAATTAGGCTACCGCGGCGGCTTCTTATCTTACAGTAACTTCTGCAAAACCACCAAGTCGTCTTGTCCCTATCCGAAAGAAAAACATCATCCGGTAATTTCGTGCAGCAGGGTACCAGCCCTGAGCTTCATGAACTCAGGTGGGCCCACCTCTGAAAACGTCTAGGAGATCGTGGGCCGAAACGTTTGTCGACGAGGATAGCTTCTACTGATGACTGGTAGATCCCTGCTGTACTTTCTTCCTGTGAGTTTATTCCTATTGTTTCAATAACTTAATTAATGGCCACCTGGTTTTTTTAGTTCCTATTTAAGTGTATCATTGTATCTGTGCATCAAATGTTTACAGCTTGGGTTTCATCAAAACCATTCACTACTGTTTCATATGTCTCTAAGATTTATTTCGCCGAAAAGACTAAATAAAGTAATGAATAATAATCCATCTGGCATAAAGAGAGATAAAGGCAATGAATGTTGAAGGTCACAAATTAGAACAAGTCAATCATTTCAAATATTTAGGATCCATTTTAAGTGACCTAGGATCCAGATCAGAAATCACGTCTAGGATTGCCCAGACAACATCAGTCCTTGCCGAACAGCAAATATTATGGAGATCCGAAAACATTTCATTTAAAACTATGCTTTGACTAAGAAGAGCACTAGCAATTAGTACATGTACATATGGTGTGAAGCGTGGACCTTAACAGCTAAACTCAACAACAAAAAAGATACAAGCATTGGAAATGCAATCTTTCAGACAAATTCTTGGCATAGCAAAGACAACATCAAAAATGACAAGGTTTCCCGTATAATTATCCAGCATACTGGCACCTATGAAACTCTTTTAACTGCAGTGAAAAGGTGGGGAATGCAATACTACAGGGCGCAGTATAGGGGAAGAGGAGAAGAGTCAGACCAAGAAAGACTTGGATACAGAACTTGACCGACTGGACAGGCCTCATACAACTATGAAGTCCATTGCATCTGACCGTCAAAGGTGCTATAGATTATTTTCACTATTATTATATTTTCTAACATCACACACATTTATCTTCAAAATAATAATTAATTAAAAAAATTGTTGCAAATTAATAATACTGTAGTTTAATTTGTGTATAAACCTACTCGATAAACATAGTGAACACACACCGACCCCTCAGAGTTGCACAAAAACGGGAATTTCCTTTGACCTGGATAGCCTTATAAAAAGCTATGGTGGGCCGTGGATAGACATAGATACAATGAGAAGAGAGGCAGTTGAAAACACTGTGATGAGTTGAAATAACCTCAGCATAGGAGATTGACTTAGACAAATTATGAAGGACGACAGTGAGAAATATCACTTTAAAAACTGAACATTCCTCTGGTTCATCATGTTTTACACACTCCAAGCACAGTTTCTTGCAGTTGTCTGCTGTTTCTCAAGCTGAAAATGATGCTGAAAGAGGCCTGATTTATACCAAGGGAAAGATATGCAAAACAAGCTGTATTTCAACAGAGACCTTATCTAAATGCTTCCAGCAGTGGAAAGAGGTTGCAGTCTCAAGGAGACTGAAAGAGATTATTACTTAAGACCTCCTAGTGAGTAGCTGGGTTTTTCCTTCTGGTGATAGGGTGGATAATTTTTATTTTAAACAGGTCATTTTCTTCTTCTTCTTTGATCCTTCTCTTACAAAAACTAATATCAGGAGGTTTGTAGCCTTTACGAAAGCTATCATGCCGTCCATATTTCCCCATGTTCCATACAGCTTTGTTTTCATTGTGACTGGAACAGGCCAGATTGCGTCTCTGTTAGCAGCATACAGTTGACAGTGTTGCAGCAAATGCTCAGTATTTTCTGCTGCCAAACCGCAGGGATATGTTTTCTACATTGATAAGTTTAAACATATGTTGGCCATTCATCTGAGAAAGGCACTGCGAGGAATTACAAGAGGATCTGACCAATGCTCGACACTCAGGGGAAAGGCGAGACGGATATACAATCAGACAGTTACCGGTACCATTGGAATTTTAACTCTTCGCTTGCTGCTGAAGATCCGGACGGAGCGCTTATGCGGGTGTCCTGAGTGCTGTGATGTCGTTTCTTAATTCAACATTCATTTGTGTTTTCTCATGCAACAAACAATTATTCATACATGGTATCAGGTCTCCCTTATTTAGCCACAATGTCTCCCCTATACACGATCTGAATTCCAGTCAATCAGCCCTTTCACTTCTACATACACATATAGCCAATAAACAAAGGAACAATTACCCTCTTCACCACCATCTGCAGTTGCAGAAGCTGTTGCATTGTTCGACAGTTTGTTTTCTCCTCCAAACTCCTTCAGCTAAATAAACAAGAAGTGTTGTTGAGGAAAGTTGATCATAACATAATTCTTTCAATATTAATAATAAAACAATTACAACAGAGACAGAAATACACTTTTAAATGTGAAGGAAATACACAATGACAGTGTAATTAATTGCAAATATACAGGATTTTACAATATCATTTTCTGATTGGCTAGTATAAATAGATGGTTGCCAGTTAGGTCATTTATCCCAAATAGTTGGCTTTGTGAATTAATTCTTTCCAGTACATCATACAGGACTGGCAAGCCAAATTCATTCTGAAAATCAAAGCATCACTTTGCAAATCAAATTCATCTTTTTGAAAATAGAATTCACCTTTTTTTGCAAGTCAAGCAAATACACAGGGGACAGGAATGGATCGACACAAACATCACAACAGCAGTTACCATCAGGTCATTATCATGTTAGAAAGAGAATGTAGAGAGTGGTCTAATGGTATGGCAGAATTAGAGTTACAACAACTGTTAGATGGAAAGGCTGGACTAGATGATGCTGTAATGTACACCGATGGTTCTCTTCATCAGGATGTAAGATCTGGCTAGGGATTTTTGGCTAGAATAAAGGGAAAAATTGTGGCAGAACAAAACGGAGCTTTTTTATCTACAGCTGCAATCATGAGAATGGAAGTGGAGGCAGTCACTGCAGCTCTGAAGTGGATAGCAGAAAACAAAGTTACCAGAGGAATTATTATGTGTGATTCTCAGTCGGCATTGCAGAAGGTTCAAAATCAACTATTGTGGCATGAGTGGATACCATGCATCAGTGCGCCAACATTGCAGGGAATCATGGGAATATACTGTCCGGGATATGCAGGAGTGCGAGGGAATGAAAGAGCGAATTTTCTGGCTAGAAAAGCGAAAGGTACGGGAACACTGGTACTGGACAAGGGAGATATTTAGAAGACCTATATGAACAACTTTTGGCAGAAGACATGAGATTAGATGAAATAACATGGGCAAGAATGTGTGAACGAGGAATTAAGTGTGGATCCGGCAAGGAGGGACAAATGAGAGGAAGAGATCGGCGTGTGTATAATCAGTGTGCTACGAGAACAGTTAGCATCTACACCTTATGTCATTTGCTGCGGAAGACGGAGCATCAAAGGGTATGCCTAGTGTGCTATTATGTCTATTCTTAAATCAGTAATCAGTAAACAAATTCACCCTTTCACACTTCCAATTTTTCTTTAAAAAAATTAAAATAAAATAAAAAATAAAAAAATTCCCTAGATCTTAGTTTTAAACATAGTCAAGTTTTCAACTTCATAACAATTGGATTCCCCATACTTGGTTTGTACCTGTGCCAGTGAAAATCAAACCGATGAACAAACAATGAGTCTTGGAACAATCCAGAAATATGCGCACACACAGATCCCTAGATTTATTGATAGACTGTGTATTAAAGAAACATATATAACTTTATTGATTAAACTAAATATGATACCGCATGTTTGTAACAACAAGCACAAAATACTTAACCGAAGGTTTGGGCTTCAAATCTGCACTGGCTAGATTTAGCACAACAATAACACAACAAACAGGGCTCCCAGGTCCACCCAACCTTAAATAGTTAGCAGGAAATTTACTGTGAGGTAAAAAGGTGGTAGTGAGGTAAAGATGGTAGCATGGTAGTAGCCCCATTGAGTGCCCATTAGTGTTTTTTTGTGTGTGTTAACCTGAGTCTAGCGTGATATGCCACTGGCGTAAAAATAATCTTTTACATTTTATATTTACTTATTCATTTCATCATAGCTTTATTGACAATGAGGAGAGAAATTTCCTTTGCATTCGGAGTGCTTCTGCCTGAGAGGCATGGAACCAGCAGTCTGCGTACAAATGAGTCAGATCTGTAAAACGGATGCACACGCAACACTCAGGTTCTGGACTGCAGCCCAAAAGTGGATGAACAACCAGAACTTTCCACCAGAGTTTACAGCTGGTGAACGTGTGACAAAGAAGAAGAAGAAGGAGAGAAATAACAAAGTCTGCCTTGTCCAACCAACAAGATCATACACTTGTGGATTCTGTGGAAGCTTAAATTGTTCAAAACCAACCATGCTTCCTCCAGATTATCGCCATCCCATTTCTGCAGTAATCTCAAAATAAATTCACAAAAGAAAAAAGGAAGTAATTGTAGCATGTGCAAGCACTGAATCCCACACTATTTACATTGAAGAGTGGCTGGGCCCGGACAAATTCTGATGACATTTGTCAGACAAGTCCATTTCTGGACTTTGGTCTTGTTCTAGAACTTATGTTTTGCACAAACATCTATTTTATGGATCTAGCTTATTTGTATGCAGACTGTTGGTTCCTCACCTCTCGGGCAGATACACTCTGACTTCAAAGGAAACACTCTTAACTGGTCAGCTCATGTGACATGCTTGTTAGGAAGACAGTGGAATTTTTCATGTTTCTCCAAATCAGAGCCCTGGAACCCAGAGTTGTGCCACTGACACACAGAGCTTGCAGTTGATTCCTCCATTATGTTCTAACCTCTGCAATCTTTCAAATATTTTACATGGAATCCATGGCACAACTTCTCTTTGTCTTCAAAAGTTTCAATATAATAAATCATCTTCTTCATGTAGCAGGTCTTTTGCAGAACCTCACTCTCATCTAAGTTTGCCAGAAGAAAGAAACTCAGTCACTCATATCCAAGGAGTGACATATCATCTGCCTATCTTTGTGCTGGTTCGCCCCTGTCCCTCCTTTCTGGCATCATGCCTTCTGCCATAATATTGTTTCCAATCTGCCATAGCGCTTGGTACAGCCAAAATATGAGACAAGATGCTGTTTATTAGCCAATCTTCCTTGATGTTCAGATAATACATAAATGAAAATAGAAAATTGTTAAACAATATAACAGATACCTTTGCAGACAAGACAAAATTTTCTTGTTTAAGTGAATAAATTTCTTCTTCGTGCTGTTTTTTCAGGGAATTCAGCTCTTGTTTGTATTCATTTTCTTGGGATATTATTTCTTCTGTGAAATAAATACAAGCATACCAATATAAAAATTGTAACTTGATCTATGCAAAAAAAAATATAACAGCAAATAGAAGTAATAAATAAGCTTCTCATCATTCATTAACAAATGTTTTTATGCATTTACTGCATGTGCATGCTTCTGGAATTTGCTAGCAGCAATTTGTCTGTTAACTAATTTGGGACAGTGAAGTCTGAATGATTCTTATTGGCGCAGTAATGGAGGAGCAGTTGCGGATGGACCCATTTGCAATGAAGTTGAAACCTTTACTACCGACTTAAGCGGATACATTGACATAAATGTCAAAGAGGTGGTTTTAAAGATAGGGAAAGAAGTTAATGCTTTGAATGTGATGGCACCAGCGGACATGGAACAGAAAATGCTCTATACATACTACCATGATACAGCAATCGTGTGCATCGCTGTCCATATATGAAAGACACAAGCTGCTACAGTCAAAAATGTAACTTAAAGTCGCAATGAACAGGGAACACCGTCTGCATGGACCTTAGGAGATGGTAAGAGAAATCATCTGAAAAGAGATAGCTCTTAGATGGCACAAGCAGAAGCCACTATAAGAAATATTTGTACTAATGACAAAATAGTGCATGCTGAGGAATGGATCAGTATCGCCCGCCCAGCAAAACAGCCTTACATGGATTGATAGTTACTTTGGACCTAGGGGGCCAGGAATAGACTGCTGGCAAAACAGAGTCAGTGGTGCAAGAGCTGATCAATGACAATTCACACCCAGGTGAAATCATTATATACACAGATTAATCTGAAGGAGGTAAGAAGAGTGGGTGAGGTTTTATTGCACAGGTGAATGGACACTGTCTGAAAACAGAGAACCTTGCATACAAGGTCACAACATCAGGCTGCCACTGGTACTATTAGCATGTCGACTCTTTGTTGACGCTGAGGAAGGAGAGAGACAGAGCTTGTGGAAATGTTCTGAGTGCACTATTTTCAATTCTTGATTGAGTCATTCCTTATATCATTTATCCACTCATTCATTTATTCATTGACAAAAAAAAGACAGAAATACAAAAAATTATGTGAACTACTGCCAGGTGTGTTGTTGAAAGCTGAGTTATAAATTTACCTTGCCAGAGCAATCAAATACAACAAACAGGCCATGGTTTTTATTAGATCAATCTGTGGTAGAAGTCAGCAAACACTCTGTGTTCTGGCTAATGTGGCTCTGACAAAGAAGCATCTATTAGGATAAATGGTATCATAGAGTAGGGTACTTCATTCAACATGGCAACTTGAGAGGCTGCTCAAGCCTTGAATCTTCTTCTTCTTCTTCTTCTTCTGCTTCTTCTTCTTCTCATTCACCAGCTGTAAACTCTGGCGGAAAGTTCTGACTGTTCGTGCACTTCTGGACTGCAGTCCTGTTTTAGAACCTGAGAATTCCAGAGAAATTTGGCTAAAAAGCTCAACAAAATGGGGAAGCAGAAAAACGTGAACAAAACAACACAATGTAACGTTTCGGCTGGGCAGCCTTTTTTCAAACATAAGTGAACTACACAAATGTCACAACGAGGAGAGGAGAGTATGTAGATCTCTAAGGGGTGACGTGAGCAACTTTAAAAAAAATGTGATGTGGAAAAAATGAAATAAAATAAAATAAACGATGGTTAAAAATATAATCACAAAAAATAATAAACAGTAGTATTGTTAATATATAATATAATACTGGGAATAAAAGAAACACAAATGTTAATGATACATAAATGATACTGATAAGAAATAGAATAAAGTAATAATATGAAATAAAAGAAAATAAAATAAAAAATTAATATTTAAAATGTGATAAGAGTAGAACTATTTAGATGAAGGTATGTTGGATATTGATACCACCTGGACTAAGAACGCTAAGCTGTGGATAAGACGATTTTCCAAAGAGAGGCATGTAGTATGATCGCCAGAAAGTCAGAATCATTGTGCTCTGATGACAGCATTAAAATCTAGCTCTGGCGATCATACTACGTGCCTCGCTTTGGAAAATCGCCTCATCCACAGCTTAGGCGTTCTTAGTCCAGGTGGTATCAATATCCAACATACCTTATTCTAAATAGTTCTACTCTTATCACATTTTAAATGTTAATTATTTTCTTTTCTGTTATTTTTTTTCATATTATTACTTTATTCTTTTTCTTATCAGTATCATTTATGTATCATTAACATTTGTGTTTATTTTATTCGCAGTATTATATTAAATATTAACAATACTACTGTTTATTATTTTTTTGTGATATATTTTTAACCATCGTTTATTTTTTTTTTTTTCATTTATTCCACATCACAATTTTTTAAACGTTGCTCACATCACCCCTTAGAGATCTACATACTCTCCTCTCCTCATTGTGACGTTTGTGTAGTTCACTTATGTTTGAAAAAGCTGCCCGGCCGAAACGTTACGTTGTGTTGTTTAGTTCACGTTTTTCTGCTCCCCATTTTGTTGAGCTTTTTAGTCAAATTTCTCTGGAATTCCTTGTATAAGCTTGACTGCAGTCACCCCCATATTTTCACCATTTTCAGAACCTGAGAGCTGCGTGTGCATCCGTTTGACAGATCTAAACTCATTTGTGAGCAAACTGTTGGTTCCTTGCCTCTCAGGCAGATGCACTCCGACTTTGAAGAAAGCTCCCAATTAGTCGATTCTTACAACTTGGTTTTGGGTAGGCAGTGGGTCTATTCTTGTTTTCCCTAAAATAGGGCCCTGGAGCCCGCACGGGAAAGCCATGTATAACATGCAACTGAAGATGTATCAGAGATAAGGAACAGAATTATCATCATTATCCTGTCGTGCCACTGTATATCACATACGGCTCAATTCATACTAGAGACAGCATTGCAGATATGGATAATTTATTTCATGCGAACAAAAGAAGAAGAAGACATACAGCTCAGTCTATTCCTCCATTCCGTTCTATTCTGTGCAAACCCTTCAATATCATGGACAGAATCTTGTCTGGCACCTTTGGCTTCTCTCATCAGTGTTCAATTTAGGGTTTCTTTTGGACACCCTCACTTCTTCAATCCCTATATTTACCATTTCAGTGCCTGTCTGGTGATTCTCTGCTGGTTTCTTATCAAGGTGTGTCCAATAAACAGCCCTCTTCTTTGTCTTATAACTGTTGTCACCACTGGTTGCCCAGACATGTCTCTTATTTCTTCACCTCTCTTGAATGCATCCCATTTTATGTTGAACAGTTTCCTCAGGCATTTGTTTTCAAATGCATTTAACTTTTGTTCCATGTCTTTATTGGTTCTCCAACTTTCACTGGCATATGTTAAAAACTGAAACCACATTAGAATGAAACAGCATAAAGAACATATTAGGACTGGGTAAAACTAGATTATATTAAATGAACAGCATTTTTTGCAATAAATCTATGTCACTGGAGGTTAAAAAAAAAAATTCTCGCATACTATATAGGCTAGTTTTTACGTATGGCTGTGAATCCTGGACAATTAATAAATAAGTCAAATAATTTGTTGAGGCCTCAGAGATACAGTTTTACAGAAGAATCCTTAGAACTCCTTGGACAGCCAAAAAACAGCAACCCAGATGTTTTGAAAGAAGTCAGAGCTCAAAAGAGCTTATCTCAAACATCAGAAAAAGACAGTCATAATTTTTTGGTCTTACTATGAGAAGAAGGAAACTGGAACATGTTGTAACCAATGGAAAGATCTGTGGAAAAATGAGTCAGAGGAAGACAACGCATGATGATTCTTTACAGCCTTTTGTCATGGCATGAAGGGGTGTCAGCTTACGAAGTGATAAATACGTCTTGAAGATTGCAGAGTGAAAAGAGGCCTGATCGCCTAAGCCAATCGGCAAGGCTCTTGATGATCACGATGATGAAAGCCATGTGAAAATGGAAAGTAAGGGGAAGCTATCACATTATGCATCTCAAAAAACTCATCACAGATAGCAAAAGTTTTTTGGGGGAACTGGATCAATTTGGCCACATTAAACACTATAATCATTCAGAAAGCACTGTGAGTGGAAGGTGTGGTACCTGAGAGAGTAATCATGGGCCGACCAGCACAATGATGGACACAGGATATCAAAGACAACCTAGGCATGAACATTCATCAGGTGCAAAAGCTGCCGTGATGACAGTGGCATAAGGACCTGCTAAATGAAGGTGATGAGTGAAAGTAGATAAGTAAGTAAAGATTCCTTTTCCCGTCTTCAGGCGCACTGGGCAAATGGGAAGAGCCCCCATATTTTTACAGACCAATCGGCACTAGGTGGTTAATGTGGTCAGCATTACACCGGTTTATTTTACTTCCCCAGGACATACATCCTGGCACCCATTTAAGGCTGGGTCAACCTGCGATGCCCTATATAATAAAAATCGTGCAGCCAGCAGTGGGTTTCGATCACAATACGTTGGAATTATGAGTCGGACTCGCAATGCCTAAGCCATAGACGCTGCTGCGAAAGTAGATTTCTGTTATATGAAAACAACAAAAGTAGCAAAAAGTCCTTTAGATAAATAGCATGTCCAACCTTGCAACTTTGCTTTAAGTGCTCTTTCGGTGGTGAGTTGTTCTATAAGTTCCTTTATCTGCTCAAGCAATATTTGTTCTTTTTCTTGTTCCGAGCTTGTTGTCCACTCAGGTCTTGTCTGATGAACACTGCCATTTTGCTGTTCATGAAAGAATATTTAAAACAATATGGACTTTATTAACTCATTTAGTTCTTTAAAGTCTGTCTCTTTCTCTCACACCTGTACACATAATACATTTTTTTAAATTTAAAAAATCTTACAAAAGTAAACCACAACTGAAAAACATTTAAAAAAATTTTATGCTGTTGAAACATGGAGAACTGAAACATTGCCTAATAAACTATATATTCATTAACTGGTTTCTGTGCAGAAAAGATGGAAAAAAAGGGTTGATAGAATCACTAAAATGAAGCTTTGGGAAAGAAGTAAACAAAAGCCAGTGAATGGTGTGAAAAAGTTGCTGATGTTCCAGCAACGTACAGCTGGAACTGAACAAGGTCTTCAAAAGCCAGAGGGGCACACCGTAAACTCTAAGTGAACTTATCCCTCCAGTGATATATAAATTTACCTGATAACCGGCATTGCTTTTATCCGTCATTCGTCTAATACCTGCACTTGATTTTTCCTCTGAAAAACCATTTATGTGAACATATTACAGTCATGTAAATAATGCAAACACAAACACTACATTGCAATTTTACTGCCAGGCATATTTCCCTGTATCGTCAGGTGCATTTCTACAGTTACATCAACATAAAAAATGCACACACAAAAAGTGAATAGATTCTACTGAAAAACAAATGGTCTCTTGCGATCAGTTGCTCATCTAATCGCTGGACTACATGATGGGCACGTGACTTAACCTTGTGACTTAAAATTTATAATGAATTCCTTCTGTTTGCATAGAGGGAAATTGGTAATGCACTTTTATTGAACTAAAAATATTATGATTATTATCATAGAGCATTTGTACTGACCAGAAGCGCTTATATTGACCAGACAATGTAGAGGAGTGGAGTGCCAGAAGACTGGCTAAATAACCAACTGTGACCACTTCCTAAACCTAAGGGAGTCTTTATAACAAAGTGGTGTCTCATGCTCTGAAGGTACTGCATCTGTTTCATGGATTGTACTGTTCAGTTTATGAGTGCAAATTTTACAAAGCCCCTGAGGATTATCACTGGAGATACAGAGTTCATACTTTGTGTGACTTTTAGCAGGCAGCTAGTCATTCAGGTGGAGAAATACAGTTATATAGGATGAAACTTGGTGCAAAAAAGTGAGATTCTTAGACTTTGAATCTTTAAACTGCCTAAAGCTGCAAGTATTCCATGCTGGTAAATAATTATCTTCTTCTTCTTGGTGACCCCAGAGCCATCATCATCATCCTGTCATGCTGTATATGTCGCATAGGACTTGCAGTTTATTCTTCCATTCATTGCCAAACTGTGACATTCTTTCAATTTGAATGGAATCCAGTCCGGCACATTTGGCCTTGCTCAACAATGTGTGACTTAAGGATTTGTGTGTGTGTGTGTGTGGGGGGGGGGGGGGGGTACCCCTGAGCCCCCAGACACTACCTTGGCAGGCTGTGCAAATAACCACTGTGTAGCCAAGGCTTTTCACAGCATCTGGTAAATAAAACTGTCTTTACTAAATGATAGAAGAGTCTTGAACCTGACAATGTAAGGCCACATGGCTTTTGCAGTTGCCACAAACTGTGCAGGTTAGCTTTTTTTTTTGTCTGTCCCTTATAGAAATAATCAAAATTGGATGAAGAAATTACCATAAGATGCAGTCAAGCAAATCAAGTATTGGGACAGCTAGACCCCCCCCCCCCCCACCCCCACCCTCCTTTTATATAGCATTAGAAAATCCTGATTAGCACAAATACTCATATGAAGCATATTCATTCCCACTATATGCTACCAGTGCCAGACATGGTCACTCATACTAAATTAGAAGAAAAAAACAGTAACCATGGAAAAGAGATTTCTCAGACTGGCTGCAGGAGTGACCAGAAGAGATCAAAACAAGAATAAGGACATAAGAGAACAAGTCTGCACAGAACCAATTCTAAATTACATTTAGAGACAGCAAATCAAATAGTTTGCCAATCTAGAGAGAATGCCTTGAGATGCCATACTGTACAAGGTATACATTAAAGGAGAAGAAAGACATGGAGTCCATGGTAGACAAAGAATAAGATAAAAAGATAACATCAGAGAAACTCTACAACAGGCTGATGTGCCCATGGTCAAAGCAGCCAGAAGAGCAAAAAGCAGAACCTTATATCTCCCTCGACACCTGAAGTGGTAAAAGAGGAAGCAGAGAAGAAGAAGAAGACATAAAAAATCTCTATCAACTTACAAAGTTCCTAAATGGGAACCCAGCTTTTTAACAATTCAGGTTCTACTCCTGGCACAAATATTAGTATACCATTTGAACACTTATTTTTATATCATCATCAATATCTTACTTCGGGGAAGCTCTTTCCTGCCCAAATCTGGGGATGTCTTTAGATCTGTCACCTTGGGTGGTGATTTTCCTAAGGACTTAAACTGTTGTGATTTTCTAGACGATGGAGGGGATACAGATCGACCATATCCTGAACTCTGCACATGAGAAAAGCGGTCCTTACTTGAGACAGCTGAAAGGAGACAGTGTCAATTTAAATCTTTGTTCCATAAACTTTGTAAAAAACAAAATTTATATTGCTACCCTGTTCAAACTGTAAATACATGTGCACATATTAATTTTCTTGCAGATACGCCCCAAAGAGAGAAGGGGACAATATAGGAATACGAAGAACCATAGATAAAATTTTAAAAAATGATTACTTTTGTGGTTAGTTGGTTTGATCTGGTGATTGGCAATGTAACTGACTTGACATCTGGTATTTTGGTTGTCTATCCTCTAGAGGACTGTGTTTTAACTCTTTAATCCAATGTATTTACATAAAAGACAATTAAGCCCTGAAAAGGGCTTGCATCTATCAGGTTTAGGGTGGTGTAGAAACATGTCTCTCAATATGATAGTACAATACTATCTCCCACCCCTCTCTAAGTCCATAAAACAAAAGGAGGTATAGGACTGGTACAGTACTTCACATCTGAGGACAGCTATATTGGGATAATCATGTAGCAGGTCCTTTGCAGAACATCCCTCTCATCATGGTCCACCTGAAAGAAACAGACTCTCACCAGCTCTCCCGTACTTTCAAACCTAATGAGTCACTTACATCCTGTGCCCATCTTTATGGTGGTCAGCTCCTGACCCTTCTTCCTGGCACCATGCCTTATGCTTTTTTTTTCAATCTGCCATGGCACTTAACGGCCAATGTTTTTCAGCTTCCTAGATAAGGTGCTGTTTATTAGCCAATCTTTATTGATATTCAGATCTTTTTGGATGTCAGTATTTTTTTTCTTCTGTGATCATGGTATTCTGATAATTTTTCTATGGTAGTTCAGCACAAAAGCCCCCATTTTCTTCCTGAAAGATTGTGAGACAGTCAACGTCTCACATCTGTATGTATACTGGAATACAAGATATTAGTTCAGCATAACACCAACAGACTAGGGAGCCACGGTTATGTAGTGGCTAGATACTTGTTGACCAAAAGCGTTTTGGTGGAAATCCACATTGAAGCAGAAAAGCTTTTTTTTTTTTTTAACTGGCCATAGCTCCTAGGTTGACCTAGCCTCTAATGAGTAACAGGAAATGTCTTCAGACCACCGTGATGTTCATCACTCATCAAGTGCCAAATGGTATATGCAAATATGAGCCTAGCATAATATGCCAATGTGTTAAAACTAAAAATTTTAATGTTGAATTAAAAATCGACATCACAGCATTCTGGACACCCCCATAAGCTTTGCTAAAATACACAGCACTGCAAGTTTTTTTCCCTCTAGGATTGCAATCTAAAGGATTAACATCTCAAGAATCAAATAGATACCCCGTTCAACCATACAGCAGTTATACTGGGGCAAATCTGGTAATCTGGTAATCTGGTAATCCTAGTTTCAGCTTCATAGCAAACGGGTCACCCCACATATGCTCCGCTCCTGTGCCAACGAAAAACAAACGCAGCTCACAGTGTCACGCCATATACTCAACTCAGAAGCTGGGCGACGAAACTACATCCTTCCAGTCTACAAATGGAGCAAAAATGCAACGGCCACCGTCTGGAAAAAAAAAAAAATATTTGCCACGGCTTTAAAAAAAAAAAAAAAAGGTGGCCGTACCTAGCGTCCATTTTGACCGGAAGAATTATATGAGGGTTAATAAACGGTCACCCCAGCAGTACCCTCATATTTAGCTGGGGAAGGGACTTAGGACATTACATCCACCAGCAGGTGTCGCCCCTACAACGACCTGCCTGCCATCGTTAACGACTGTTCACCCAACAGCCATGCAGTTCTTTGGCACAAAGGAGACACCTTGAACTTGGGTTTCGTACTGCCGACTCCCTACTAAGTTGTTATTTTATGTTCTGTTATCACAATTAATGTCACTGCACATTGGGCATACCCATGCGTGATCAGTTCTCTGAAGCAGCAGCCACTCTAAAGTACTTCTACTAATTGTCCCAATGAGAAGCTGGTTATATTGTCTCCTTTCTCGGCCCTGAAGACGGCAAAGACGTGCATCACCATGCTTAACTCCCATGTCACGCAATCGTGCTAGTGTCAGGGATTCCTCATTCTCCACTAGCCCAGTTCGTACAGCGTTGACAATATCTGCTATGTCCATACTTTTTCCCTCAATCATTGGTGCAGTGCTTGCCAGCTGGTCCGCTAGCTCATTTCCCTTTACGCCCGCATGACCCAGGTGTAGATCCAGGTTACGGAGGTTAAGTGCGATTTCCTGATGCTTTCTATCCATTCAGAGCGCATACTGCCTGTTGCTATCTTCTGAAGCATATTCATTGAGTCTGAGACAATTACTGCCTGTGTGGCGGTTTGCTCGGATACCCATGCTAAAGCTCTAGAAGCAGTGGCTATTTCCATTGTCATGCTTGACGTGGTTGTCTGGTAAGCGCCGCTGTCCTCATGTATTGTTTTCCCCTTTCTTTGCGCTGTGTATGCCCATGCTGACCTTGATCCGCGCTTCACGGATCCATCTGTGTAGATGATGGTATCTTCTGGGTCTGAATGCTGATCTATCAGTTCCCTTACTTCTGTGTCTACCGCCGCAGAAATTTGATCCCTGCAGTACCTTCCGAGTGTGATGACAACCTTAGAGATGCCATGCATGTCTACTGGGGCACTGCAAAATGGTTACGAAGTAAACTCCCAGTAAACTGGAAGTAATCCAGTGTGGGTGGGTTACAGTGATAATGAGATCATTCTTGAAGCTAGCTACATTAACATAAGAATGTTTCTTACATCTGTCATTTTGCAAGGACGGCACAGAATATGTCTTTTCTTTGATGTCGGCTTTATTTTCCCCTTTTGATTTCTCTTTCACAGACTAGAGAGGAAAAAATTCAAATATTTATTCAAACAGTTTATAACTACAAACAGTACAATTTATAAAGTAGTGTGTGTATCTGTGCATTTGTTAATAGGTCTCATAAAAGTAAGGGACATTGTGATCGAAACCCACTGCGTGAATTTTTATCATGGTATGGGGCGTCGCAGGTCAACCCAGCCTAAAATTGGTACCAGGATGTATGTCCTGGGGAAGTAAAGACGGCCGGCGTAATGCTGCCCACATTACCCACCTAGTGCCGATTGGTCTGTAAAAATTTGGGTGTTCTTCCTATATGCCTGATGCACCTAAAGGCATGAAAAGGGATCTTTACTTACTTTATATATATGTCTATGGTTGAGATGGCCAGAAAAACAAGAAGCAGATCCTCATATCTTCTTTGACCCCTGAAGCAGTAGAAGAGGAAAAGAAGAAGAAGACATTCCCCTTCGTGTAATCAATTCCTGCCTCTTTTTCTAGAAACCTTCAATTACTGTTCTTTCTAAGCTGTGTCATTTAAAATGCGCAAGTAATTTCTGAGAGGTTGAATGTTGAATTAAGAATCGACCTCATAGCGCTCAGGGCACTCCCATAAGCCCACCGTCCGCAGCAGCAGATGAAGAGTTTCAATTCTGATGGCACCAGTAACTGCCTGACTGTATATTCATCTTACCTTTCCCTTTTTTCTGAGAGGTGATAAATACAACAAATGACAGACTCAGAAGTAAATTTAGAAATTAAAAAAAAAAAAAAAAGATGGGGGTGGACTGGACACGTCCTCAGAATGAAGAAAGAGAGACAGTCGAGGCAAGCAATGCAATAGACACCACAAGGACAGCAAGGAAGAGACAGGCCCAAAGGCACTTGGAGGCCAACCTTTGAGGCTGAACTCAAGGCTACGCGAAGGACAAAACTGGAGATAGAGAGAATGGCTCAGAATTGAACTGAGTGGCGACAGTTTGTCTCTGTCTGACCTGCCACTGGGTGCGACGAGGATTGATTGATAAATAAGAGAAATCTCTGGGTAATCACTAGTAACAACTGTTATAACAGAAAGAAGATGGCGCTATATTTGACACACTCTGAGATAAAACAAGCAAGAATCATCAAACAGGCAATAAAATGGGAAATAAATGGACTGAGGAAATGAGGACATCCAAAATAAACACTAAAATAAACACGGATTGGATTCCATCCATGATATTGAAGAGATCGCAGAGGATAGAACAAAATGGAGGAATAGACTGTGAGCCCTATGTGACATACAATGACAAAAATGGATAATGATGATGATGATGATGTCGAGACATGATGGTAATTCATGGACAGTTTTTTCCCCATGTTCAGATCTGGTAAAATGTCAGTTATTCTTGATGCACAGTGTTCTAAGAATTTGTCTGCAACATTTTAGTTTAAAAAAGGCAGTCTTTGATCTTCAGTGGTTGAGAAACAGTAAGCTTGGAAGTTTTCTTCTTCTGCATTCGCCCTCAAAAGGGCACTTGGCCTGTTATGTTGTGATTTACAGCAAGGTTGTGCTATCTACAGCTTACGGCACAACATATCCAATGTCAACAAGTCCTTAATCATTCAACTTTTAAGACATGTTTGTTAAAAGGTAGTGATTCTATTTATTGTTACCCCATCCTCCAAAACAGGATCAGGAACAAACATTGGGATAAAAAGAATGGGGAAAAAAAGAACACAATAAAAATGCAATAGAAGAATGTGAAAGTTAAGGAAACTAATAATCCATCAGTTGTAAGCATGTCAACATCAGAAAAAGTATGTATCATTGAATATTTTCTTGTATAGTGAAAATTGTTTGGACTTTTGCTAAAGTATACAAACTGAGAAGACATGCAGAAAGAAAGCTTGCAATCTGTGAGTGGTACAGTAATCTCTTAATGAAAACATTGATTACACTCATCAAACTATTTCATCTGATTTCCTATTGCTTGTGTCGCTATCACATAAACATAGAAACCCTGTGGACAACATTTTTTCCTTGTACCATGCCTTCTGCCATTATTTAGTACATGGTGCTAAAACAAACAATCATTTTATGGGGGGTGTGATCAACATCATGGTGGCTGTTTCTATTTCCCACATTTCCTGGTATCTATTTTAGGCTGGGACGACATATTAGCTCAGGTCATTTTACAGAAATCTGCCTCAATGCCGATGCAAACCAAAAACCCTTGGGCCTGCAGGCAAGTGTCCAGCCACTAAGCCACAGCAGCTCAACTGTAAATGAACTACTTTTAAAATTATTTGGAAAATAGAACTTTACTTATAACAAGTATGTGTATTACTTACCTGCCATCCGTCCTGATACAGTAAGCATGAAGTTGTAAATTAACAGTGAATTCATCACAGAAACAGCAATTTAACATAAAGCTAACAAATTATTAAACAGGCTTGAAAAAATTTAAGATGCAAGCATATTATCAATATATTTAAATATAAATGTGGAATTGCTGGTAATATTTCTTTCTATCTTTTCCTTTTTGTCATTCATTCCAAGTGGAGCACAAGCCCTTAACCAACTTATACTAAGCCATTATTTCACACAACAAAACCTCTAAATGCTAATTTTAGTCAATGTAGTTGTTCCTGGCCCTCCTAAAGTGTGGGCAGGTGCAAGCAATAAAGGTGCGGTACAAATAACGTTGTCCGGCCCAGACAGAATGTGACTGGTCGTTGATTCATTCTTCCTGACCTTTCACATGCGCTAGTCTAAGTTACGGGGAGTCACGTTGAGTTTTGTATATATTGCACGTCATGTGATTGGCAAGGTACAGTTGTCTTTTACTCATTGATCTGAGCGGCCAGCAACATTGCATATATTCTAGCCTTCTTGCACTTCAAGTACGACATGAATTCACTTAAGTTGTCAGCGCTAACGACCGACAAGGAGAGCCAACTGCAAAATGTTAACAGTTCTGAAACCACGGGATGTAGGCTGCAGTCTTTCATGGAACGTAGGCTGAAGCTGTGGGATGGAAGGGGGAGGGGTGTTAGGGTTATGGCCAGTTCTAAATCTTCTGAGGTCAATAAAAGTGGTCAGACTGTTTAATATAATAGAGCAGGAGGCATCATCGTCAGTGATACAACCTGACACCCCTCTAACAGATAGTCACATGTGTGAAAAGTCAGGAAGAATTAATAAACAGCCAATGATGGTGTGCCTGGGACAATGTTAGTTGTACCAACAGTGCTTTTAGCTATGTGTCTCGTAAACAGGCCACTACAGCCAAGTTGGAAAAATGACTCTCTCAGAGAACTGAACCCAACCAGAATTGTTGGTTTGTGGGTTTTGTTGAGGTGACAGGGTTAAATGAAAATCACTCATTACAGAGTCTGCTCAAAAAATGTATACGTAGTAAACACCCAGCAGTGACATGCATCGACACGTACGATAATTGCGGTCTTTGAATATATTACGCTAGCAATGTGTTGCATGGAGTTTTTAAAATATCAACCTGTATAAACATTTTGATATTAAATTTATTCAGACACAAAGAGATGCATATAAGTTACAAGTGATGCATGAAGTTACTATAGTTGCTCAAAGTGATTCCCCTATACTTTTTTTCATAACCTTCGAAAAAAAACATAGCTAAGGTAATTCGATCTAAATATGGCAGAAAATGTCACATAATGATGACGTTTTTAAAGAAATGGCCTCTATAAAATATTTATGCATTGCACTGCTGTGCATACACATTTTTTGGCGGACTCTGTATATAGGTTATTTTTCATCTTCTGAAATGCAGCTCCTGCTTAAATGCTTCTGCTCTTATTTACTGTCATGTATATTCGTTTTTAAATTAAACTTTATGAATTGGTTTCCTTTAATTATTATATTTTTTTTTTTTTGGGGTGTTGTCTTTAATAGTTACTATACAGTTAAAAAAAAAGTTGTCGTTAAAATACAAAAAGAATACCGTTATTCAATATACAATAAAGTCACTATAATATTACACAGTAAAGGACATGTAGAATGCAAACCAAAACAAATTAGGTTTTGCCAGAGACATACCACTGCTGTGATTGGTTGATATATCTCAGTGTTGTCAGTATGTGAGGAATCGAATCTGCTGAGATCATCATCTTTAGACTGTTTGTGACTTCGCCCTGGAAGATGAGGAAGAATGTTTCAAGTCTGATATCTTCTCTGCATTCAACAGCTGCAAACTCTGGTGGAAAAGTTATGGTTGTTCATCCACACATGAACTTTGGTCTTGTTTCAGAACATGAGCTTTGCATGCACAACCATTTCAAGATCTGACTTATGTGTATGCAGACTATTGGTTCCTCGCGTTTCAAGCAGATGCTTGCCAATTTCAAAGTATACGCCCCTAATTAGTTGACTTTTACAGCATGCTTGTTAAGGAGCTGTGGGTCTATCCCCCCCCCCCTCCCTTTCAAGGCCGACAAGGAAAGTTTGATTTAAAAACCTAGCACTAGTTTTTTTTTTTTTTTTTTATGCTGTACCATCTCCACAAAAGTCTTTCATTGTTACAACTAGCATGATACGTAAACATTTAATTTCTGTCACGACTATTTTTCTTCTGCCATCAGAAGACAATGTCCATGCCTGACACTGACAGCACAGGTTGGTAAGAATAGTGTGTTGACCAGTGCTCTTTTACTGTTCATGTTCTGTAATCACAGGAACCGAACACTGGTAAATGACAAGGAGTGCATTGTGAAAACAAGTCACTAACCTATGTGCAGCACACAATCAAATACATTTATGCAATGTTCACACAAAAAACTGTAGGTATTTTATAATAACAAACAACCTTTATCTCAACATTTAATCAATGTTGCTTATTTTGACAACATTTTGATGTTTATAAGTATCTATAGAATTTTTATTTTTTTATTTTTTGTTTAAAAACAGTTGACCACACTCAACCACTGCCATCTTCAGTTCCTTTCTCCATATGTTTTTGTGGGTACTGGTTAGGGGTCGGGGGTGGAGTCCTCCAATACTCTGACAAATCACTTCTCTGTGTTCAGTCTAGTTCTTGTTTGTTTCAACATTCCCCTGCTGTAAACTGTTTCAGCATTCCCCTGCTGTAAACTGTTTCAGCATTCCCCTGCTGTAAACTGTTTCAGCATTCCCCTGCTGTAAACTGTTTCAGCATTCCCCTGCTGTAAACTGTTTCAGCATTCCCCTGCTGTAAACTGTTTCAGCATTCCCCTGCTGTAAACTGTTTCAGCATTCCCCTGCTGTAAAATCCAGTGGAAAGTTTGAGCTGTTCCTCTACTTTTGGATTTTGGTCTTGTTCCAGAACTTGAGTTTTGTGGGCAAATTTGTTTTACAGATCTTGCTTATTTGTATGAGGACTGTTGGTTCCTAGCCTTTTAGGCAGATACACTCTGACTTTGAAGGAAACACCCCTAATTAGTCGCCTTTTACGACATGCTTGTTGGGGGCATAGCGAACGCACATTGTAATGCTGGGGGGGCCAGTTTAATCATAGCTGCAGGAGATTTGGCAGCCGACCGCCTTGTGCTGGTTTCAACAGTGGTATCGAGAGCCACCGTTCAGAAAGAAATGGTAAACTAATGAATGTAAAATTTGCCTAGAAAACCACAATAGCCAACAACAACAAATGCTGGGGTTGGTTCTGCAACGTCCTTAAAGGACACACGACTAACTCGTTACAGGGCAGTGGGGCTGTTATTTTCCCCCCCACAGTGAGGCCCCAGAACTGACAAGTAAAGGCCCCTTTTCCAGGCCTTTAGGCATACTGAGAATAAAGGGCTAGACCTATATTTTTATAGACCAATCAGCATTTGATGGGTGATGTGGTTAGCATCACATCGCCCGCTTTTACCTCCCAGGACTACACCTGGTACCCACTCAAGGCTGGGTCGACCTGGGAGTCAATCAGAACCCACGAGGGAAATTCTAGTTTCTAAAGAAAAATATGAATCACAAACCTACTGCACCCACCTGGAGAACGAGGACTTCTGCGTGTGGTATAGTTTGATCGAAGCTGAACATCCTCACTCCTGTTTTCAATCTCCCTTTCTCTTTGTTCAATAGCATCCATCTTTTTCAGAATGTCACTGATGCTTACTTCATCTATCAGAGAAACCAACCTGCTATCTTCATCAACAATCACAGGTAATATGAACAGTGGTGCAACATCAGCAAACAACTTGAAGTGAAAAATCCTGAGAACATGCATCTCTCCTATAGCAACATACATAGATGACTAACGGACTGTTTCATAAGCACAAAAGACGACAATCAAGGCTTCTGAACTTCAATCAAAGGTCCCTTTTCCATGCCTTTGGACATATTGGGAATATAGGGCTTGCCCTATATTTTTATAGACCAATCGACACTTGTTGGGTGATGTTGTCAACACCATGCAGACTGTCTACACTTTTAGACCCACTGGCAATCAGTGGGTGATGTGGTCAACATCATGCCAACCACTTTTACCTCCCAGGCCAACCACTTTTACCTCCCAGGCCAACCACTTTTACCTCCCAGGCCAACCACTTTTACCTCCCAGGCTAACCACTTTTATCTCCCAGGCCAACCACTTTTACCTCCCAGGACTTTATCTGGTAACCACTTAAGGCTGAGGGTATGAACACAAAAAAATTAGGTTCTCTGCAGACACAGGACAATTGGATCTGCAAATGCTACACTACAGATACAGATCATTTCTAGAATTTTTAGTGAAATGTCAGGGTAGGAAAGGTGATGAGGAAAGGAACTGGTCACTTGCCACGTCACCACATATGTCATAGCACAGAATGTGTGAAGGCCTAACAACTTTGCATCCCAATGGCTTTATCTGTTGCCTTTACCTTTACCCATAACTGCACTGTGTAATAAGCTTGAACAAGAACTTTTGACAAGGCAGAGGTAATTAACAAGCTGTGCTTGAAGAGAAGTATCCCAGTACCACCTGGACTCAGATGGCTCTGCAGCAGATGCAGTCAAAAATGGAGGTTGCGGAATACATACCAAACATTCTCTCCAGCAGGTGATAATTGAACAAACTACAGAGCTGTCATCCTTTCTACAGCCCAGCACCTCATCATTCCAGAATACATAGGGCACAAAACTGCAATACTAAATTATTCATTGTGTTTTCCAAGCATTATCAAACAGAAAACAAGGGCAAACTATTTGCGCTTTGAGGACAAGCACTGGCTTGCTTCCTTAGAAGCAGAACTGGCTCTGCAGAGAATACCAGCTCATTGTGGTATTCAATGAAAATGAGAAGGCAATGAGCTAGCAAGAGCCCAAGCAAACTTCCAAAACCTCATCCACCACAGAGCTACAAAGAAATCTAAACAGTCATAGAGCAGTCTTTCGCAGGGGAATGGAGAAGACAGAATGGATATTACTGACAGGAGAATTACAGCATAAACCTACCTTCTCGCTTCTCAGTGGTTGTGGTTTGGTAGCTTTTTTTGCCAGTTTGTGGGCGTGAGTCCTCACCATAAATGGTTGATGTTCCATCAGCCACCTGCAGCACTTCCTGTAAGTCCTCCATTTCTCGACTAGTGTTTGTGCCCATAAAACCTAATGGGAAAAGAAATCTGCTGTCATCACTACCAAATGCCTTGTTGACTGGCATGGACACTTCTCCTTGTATAGTTATCTCCAACAGCAAATGACAATTCTTGTGCTGACAACTTCTCATGCCCTGACAAAAAAGGTTTTCGAGAAAACTTTCTGTCTTCTTCTGTATTGCTTTCCATAAAAATTGCTATAGTAGAGTAGAAGTAAAAGTAAAGGACCCTTTCCCAGGCCCTTAGACACGTTAAGCAGTTAGTGCTAGACCTGTTTTATAGACCAATCGGTACTAGGTTGGTGATGTGGTCAACATCAAACTGGCCACCTTTACTTCCCAGGACTATATCTGCTACCCATTTAAGGCTCAGTCGACCTGGGAGATAAGGCCATTTTTGAAAAACGTCTGGCTCCTTCAGAAACTGAACCCACGACCTTCTGATCTACAGATGAGCATTCACCTGCTACACCTCAGCAGCTCCCCAAAAACTGCTATAGATTACATAAAAGAGACACTCTATTGCTTAGACACCTAAATTTTTCCCTTCTAGCCAACCAGCAACTGATTAATAACATCTTCATCCCTTCTTTATGCTATCAGTGCCAGGCATGGACAATGAGCAGGGTACTAGAACAGAAAACTACCTGTGAAATGTGCTGTCTTCATAAGGTCACTAACAACACACGACGGGAGAGGGTTGCTAATACCAGCATTAGAGAGAAAGTTGGAACAAGACTGCGTCTGAATTATACTGACAGACAAAGAATGAAATGGTTCGGCCATCTAATGAGAATGTAACCACCCTGAGACCTTTTACAGCAGAAAATCAGGGAGAAAGGCGTTGGGAAGACCAAAAAATAGGTAGATAAATGGTGTAATTGAAACATGCAAACAGAGGAAGAAATCCAGGACCCAAGCTACCTGACAGGTGTAAGACACAAACAGAAAACCAGGACACTGGGCTACAACATGGTATCAGTGAAACGACAAAAGAAAAAAATAGCGGCAGAGTGGTTTCTTGGAAAAATGCTGAGAATATCCGCTAAAAAGAAATTAAAACGTGTATGTATGTATGTATGCATGTATGCATGTATGTATGGTTATGTAAGGAGTGTCTGTGCGCTCTTTTCAATGTGTAAACATGTCCTTTAACACTGTTCTTGATGAGATTATTTTATATTTTCCCAGGTCTTCCCATTGCTGTGTTCATTATATCTCTTGAGCATGGTTTTCTGTGGCAGCTGTAGCAGGGCATTCTCGTCAAATGGCCAAACCATCTAATCTGTTGCACTTTAACGAATTGTATGAAAATCCAGAAGTGATAAAAACAGAGGTGACTTTATATTGTGTTTCTCGACAAAGTCTCCCTGCCTTGTAACACACGCAGTCCACCCATTCAAAAGACGGGATACCATCCAGGTAGAAGCTTTTGGGTGTGGCCAGTAATCAAGTTTGCACCACCAAGATACCCCATTGTCATCTGCAAATTTTGGACCCCGCAAATTGATTTTGCACATCAATGCTGATATCTCTTGTGGCAAAAGATATAAACTGTGAACCTTTTACAGGTATTAAAGAAGAAAATTTAGGCTTATGAATTGTTTATTTTAGAATACCATACATCAAGAATTTTTTTTTTAATCACAATAAAATAAAAGCAAATCATAATAACATAAAAGCAAACCGGTTAATACAACTATACATTTTCTGCAGCTTCAAATCTTTGGCCACATCAGAGTCATTATTATTATAAAGCTCAGAAATGGACGTATAGGAATAAATACTAGATGGTGAGATACCGACCAACATGAAGATGTATGCAGGACATTTAAGACATTCTGGGCATTAAAATTCACGAGACAAGGAAACTGGTGAAATTTGAGTCTTTCCAATGGGCAGTTTATGAAAATGTGTGTATTAACCAGTGTGCTACTAAGTACAGTTAGCAGCTACACCTTAAGACAATTGCTGTGGGAGACGCAGAATTTATGCGTATGCCCCTATGGTGTTGATTTTCAAATCAGTAATTAGTGATATTTTACCCATTTCAGGTGTGGAGAGAGATGTGAGGGTCGGCTTCTGGCTGCCTGGGCTACAGACACACCGTGCCGTTGTAGTTTTTCTGATGTTATCATTCCATCATGATCAAGGTAGACAAAGAACAAGGTGAAAAGATAATAACAGAGAAACTCTACAATAGCATGATGTGTCTGTAGTCCAGGCAGCCAGAAGATGCAAGAAGCAGAATCTTATATCTTCCTCGACACCTGATGCAGTAAAAGAGGAAATGAAGAGAAAGACGAACCAGTAATCTATTACAAGAACAATATTCTGCTCAGAACTCTTACATGATGCTGATAATGTTAAAAACTATCATGAAAAGAGAAGAAAACAGCTGCTAAGATACTGAGAGGTATTATATTATTGCTTGGTAATTTATCAAAATCATTCAGAAAAGGCGTATGAAATTTATGTGGAATAACAGAAAATGTGATATAAGGAAATTGCATTAGATAAGAAAAAACTATGCAAGAAAAGCAAAAGGAAGACAAAGACATATGGAAATGTGATGCTAGTAATAGCCCAGCTAAAAACAATAGCAATAAATACAAGCAACATCGACTTTATAAAATGTCACATGATTTTAGAGACATAGACCAGGATGGGTAACCCAGAAAACAAATGTCAGATGAAATCAAATGTGTCAGCTCAAAGATGCAAAAATCACAGCTATGCTGTAAACAGGCATAGTACAGCTACACCATTCCTACAATTGATGAACAAGAAGAATATAGGAGTGTAGGTAGTTTGTGTAGAGAACACAATTTCAAAAATTAGCTGGTTAAATGTAATGAAAAGAAGACGCAAAAGTTATTGCTATGCTCCAAAAGCCAAGAGAACCAGATTTTATGCATTCTGATATTTTAAAATATGGAAATCGATGCTGAAAATTATAAACAATACATAAGACTGCTTCACTGACCTGAAACTGTTGGATTTCTCAGTGATTCTGGTAAGGTGGCACCTAAATTATCCTGTGTAGTGTCTCTGGAATTGGCCATTTTTGGTGACTGGGTAGTGTTAAACGTTGACTCCAGTGAGTCCAGCAGTGCAACTACCAAACATAGGATGACACATTAGTTTAGTCAAATGTGGATATGAATGGTAGTTGCTAATTTGTTTGTTCCTTTAAATCAAAAATGTTTAAGTCAGTATTTTTTTCCCCTTTACTTTACCTGTCATCATCATGAACTGTGCCAATAAGCATATGATAAGTCATGATTCGCCATCTCACACAATCACCAGAACCATGAATCAGGTCAGTGTTCTTGTCTTGCCCAATCCATATGGCCAGATCATTCATATATTTACCTCTCTCCTTCCCCTTTGCTCTGTTTCCATTCATCTTTACTTGACATAACATTTGTCGTTTTAATTATTATTATTAATCTCACTTAATAACTCGTAGCAAGTGGCTGGTCGAGAACACTGTGCTCTAATTCTGGAAACCCAGGTTTGAATCCTTGGTATGATTATGGGCAAAAACATCAAATCCTAAACCTGCACAGTCAGTGGTGACACACTAGCCATGCAACACTAAATCCTCAGGTTCAAACACCCCCCCCCCCCCCCACCGCCACAAAAAATTGGTAATAACAGGCTTTTTTCTGTTACTAACTCAAAATGCGTAAGTTCTACGTATAATCTGACATTTACATTTCTATGAAATTCAGTGTATATTTTGAGGTCACATTAAATAACATTTTACACTAAATGTAAAATCTTAGTGTCTTAATTTTTACTTACCAGAAATATCTATCCAATGCTGATTTACTTGAATATGCTACAGAAACAATCAGTACGATTATGCTTTCACATGCTGATGAGCAAGATAGAGCACATAAGGGTGCATGCTATATGCTAGGACACCAATTCTAATTAATTATTCAAAGAAGAAATGAAATGTTTACGATACCTCGTGACAACATGCTTGGCTTCTGAGGTGAGCACTGCTGAAAGAAGATAACAAATATCCATTATGTGAATTTTTAATTAGAGAATTTATCTGGTCATGAGGCTGGAGTCTGTTGACCCCCAAACTGGTCAAGGGGGCTGGAGCCTGTTGACCCCCCCCCCCCCCCCCCCCCCCCCCCAAACTGGTCAAGGGGGCTGGAGCCTGTTGACCCCCCCCCCCCAAACTGGTCAAGGGGGCTGCAGTCTGCTGACCCTAAAATGATTAAGGGGACTGGAGTCTGTTGACCCCAAACTGGTCATGAGGCTGGAGTTGGAACTGCAGTTACCTAAAATGGTAGATGGTTTGGTATAGAATCAGTTAAATTAAGGTGATCTATCTAGCTCCTATCTGTAGCTTGCTGAACAAATGCCACCTGGTACTGATAAGATCTGTGCAGTCTGAAGATTGCTATTTGCTAATTTCTGATACCTTTATTTCAATGATAATCAACAAAATTCTTTAATGTTATTCAGCATCTAAATCTGAAAAACTGTGAACACTGACTACTAGGAGAAAGTCTGTCCAGATATTGAACAATTCTCATTGGAATGTTGAGTACACAGAGCAGCTTCACTTATCTGTTATTTGTGTCCTTAAGCTAGTCACTGAATATAGTCAGCTGTTCTCCACCAAGCAATGTATGATGTGTTGTTGTAGTATCCCTTTCGTCCTTCTTAGGACGTAATCTTTTGTTATTTGAAGCCCCACTCTGGCTTTTGCCAGGGGCCGCAATATAGGCAGGCCATCAATATGGTCAATTGTCTGAACGCGGTTTCTGGGACCTCTCCACGGCGATCCTCATCCGCATGGTGGCACTTTGTGTCATCGGGTGTTTATCGCTTGTGTGATGTCCTGGTGGGGTAGAAAGTCAGTCAGTCAGTATGATGTGTTTCTGGACTTCTAACATTTGGCCTGAGCATGGTAAGGAATGTGGCTATATATTTTACATACAACACAACACAGTCTGTTTTGTTCATGGTATAAATCATGTTGCCTTTTTGGAACACATGCACTGTGTCCACTGTGGTTATTGTTATGTCTGATAATCTTCCACACAAACTTCTATAACTGAGGGAGTTAAAGCTCTAGAACAAACTTATATTCATATTTAAAATAAAATTCATTTGGTTGGTGGCCAGAATTCTCCTGCCTTTTATTGGCTATTCTTTTCTCAACGATAGAACTTACTCCCCACCACATCCCCCAAAGATTAGTCCCCAAAAATGTGTATTTTAAGCCTTATTCCAACATGCCAAATTTGTTTAAAAACAAGACACTGGAAAAAGAGACAGCAGATGACAAGATGCAAAGGTTCTTGACAGCTTTTTCTCATAGCATCAAGGGATGTCAGCACACAAACTGATACATGTTGTTGAAGATTGCAGATTGTGGAGAGGCATGATTGCCCACGCCAGGTGGCAAGGCACTTGATGATGATGACTTTTGGCAAGGAAACTGGGTAGGAATTCAAGACTGCAGATTGTGGAGAGGCATGACTGCCCACACCAGTTAGCAAGGCACTTGATGATGATAATGACTTTTGGCAAGGAGACCAGAGAGGAATGAGGTTTTAGTTGTTTGTCAATCTTCTAACTGACAAAGGTGTAACAAGTACAAATACTCAATGTACCCATGAATTACTTCATAACCACATATATTTCCTACCAGATCATCTAAATTCTGCTGTTTTGCTGGTGTTGTGTCATGTTCACCCAGGCCAGTGAGTACGGAGTTATCAGCCCTGGTGCCACCGGTCTGACTGAGGTCGTGGTTAAGTCTGCCGTAATCAACTGTACCATTATGCTCATTCTCCAGCTCCTGTGGAAGAAAGGTTGGTAAATTATATTTTAAAACAACATGCCAGGAATATTGGTTAGTGGATGTATTGTTAACAACCAGCAATATGCTGACGATACAGAAAATGAAACATAACTGCAAGAAACTATGGATATAATTGTAACGGAAAGTGAAAACAAGGATCTTAGTTTAAACAGTAGAAAAACAGAAACAATGGTAATTACAAAGAAAATCAACCCTCCAAATTGCAACATCAAAGCAAATTAGACAAACCTCAAGCAAGCCGATATGTTTAGGTACTTAGGTACCCTGATAACATCAGATGGAAGATTTATTAAAGAAGTTAAATGTAGAATAGCTCAAGTAAAGGCAGCATTTTACAAAATTAATATTTTATGTAGTCTTTTGTCAATTGAGATGAGAAAGAGAATTCTTAAAAGCTATATAAATCTGATCTTGATATATGGAAGTGAATCATAGACAGTTGGTAGATTAGTGAACAATTATTTGTGGAGATGTGATTTTACAGATGAATGATGAGAATACCCTGGACAGATAAAAAGAGTAATGAAGATGTCTTGAAAGAAACTGACTCACGAAGAAAACTGACTGCCCACATCAGAAAGAGACAATCTACATTTTTTTTTGTCATGTGATGAGAAGGAAAAAACTGCAATATATCGTGACAGTGGGAAAGTTGGAGGGGAGGAGAGACAGAGGGACACTGAGAGAAAAGATGCTGAACAGTGTGACATCATGGCATAGAGGATCATCTGAGTCAGAGTTGATTGAAAAGTACACAAGACAGAAGGCTGTGGATAGACATAACTACCAATGCCACAGCATGGACTTTAAGAGGAAGAAAACATAGCCAGATTAGTAAATTACATTATCAAAAAGTTTTCATAAGTTACCTTGTTGTTGGGACCTTAACATCTTTCCGGATGACAGTGTTACCCTGTGTTATATGGGGGCATGGAAATCACAGCGTACGGCCATAGCAAGCATGACCAGCAAGACCCACTCGGGCTAAAAATATTCTTCCACAATTAGAGAATGGGATTCCAGGGCCAGTGTTGACAAAGCAGGTACTGAACATGCTCCTTCTCAAGCATAAGGCCTCTCAACCTATTTGCAATCATTTTCTCCTGTATTTCCTATTCACTTCCTGATTCTCCCCTTCTATACAACACGATCCATGGCATCCTCTACCCACAAATCCACCTCAACAGCTGTACCATTTATGTCCTGCTTGCACATATGTTTTCATCATAGTAAATGCCAACCTCAACATCTTCTTTAGAAAAAAAAAAAAGAAATATGTGCAGTCTCCACAATAAAGGTTGGCTACAGTGTAAAATTGTTTTCTTTGTGAATGTTCTGTGGCGAGGCCCCAATCTCTTCTGTGGTGCAACTATCACACCAGTGTCACAACTCCATCGGAATGGTGGGTTCATTTTAACCTCCACCGCAGAAAACAAACCCTAGCCCTCAAGTATCACAAAATTGGTAACCACATTCACTAACCTCTGAGCCGCACAACATCCTCTACCCATGTGTAATTCACTATAGAGGATGTTTTGTGTGACCACATTATTCACAAAATATGGTAACTTACAAACAAGAGGAGCTGTAGCAGCACAGTAGCTAGAATATCTGCTTGCCACCCTGGTGCTCACAGGACTGATCTGCACTGACAGATTTTAAAACTGACCTGGGTTCCCAGGCTAACCAAGCCTAAGTTGAACAGGCAGACAGATTGGCTGGATCGGCAACGCTGGGTGGTAGATTGATACGTGACAATACAACCAGACTTTTTGGATACAAGCATATAGATACAACTTTCTGATTCTACTGTTTGTTTCTCAATGAAACATAGGCTCTCAACAAACGCTTTTAGATACAACTTTCTTATTCTACTGTTTGTTTCTCAATGAAACATAGGCTCTCAACAAAAACATTTAGATACGACTTTCCTTTTTTACTGTTTGTTTTTCAATGAAACATAGGCTCTCAACAAATGCTTTAAGATACAACTTTCTGATTCTACTGTTTGTTTCTCAATGAAACATAGGCTCTCAATGAAAGTTTTTTCTAGGCAACTGTCATTTACTTCAGCTGTATAAACCATAGAAAACTTTATTTATAGAAGGCATATCTCTGGTACATAACATAACCCTTGACCCATTAGGGTCATGGAGATGTACTGATGAAAGCATTAGCACATAAAACCTGCCATCTTTCTCTGTCTTTCTCCTAATTTGTTCATGAACAGTCAAAAGATGGAAATGCAATGGTACTGACATGTAACAACAATACTGGCCTCTACCACATACACAAATAAAAAAACAAACTAAAGGCATCACCTCTTGTCAGTTATGTATCAGCATTAGTCTTCTACTACTATTTTCTTCAGAATACTTATTTTATTATAATTAAACAGATTACCTGGAAAAACCTTTCTTTGTCTGCGAGCTCATCCAGTGTGTCAAATCCTTGATTGTCATTGTTTCTGCTGGACTCTGCTCCTTCATTGCTGGCTGGGAACAGATTGACAGAAATAACACATAGTAATTTAATGTTCTCAAGTTAAATCATCATCATCACTAAGTGCCTTGCCAGCTGGTGTAGGCGTTCATGCATCTCCACAGATCTCTGTCTTTGGTGTTCTGAATCGATTCCACTGATATTCCTCCATGCCGTCTAAAGCCATCCACAATCATTTCTCTTGGTCTGCCTCTGCCTCTTCTACCAGTGATCTTTCCAGTCGTCACAATATTTTCTAGTCTCTTTTGATGTCCCTCCCATTTATTTTGAGTCTGGGAACATCCGCTCTAACAATCCTGTTGTCCAAAGAACACTACAGGACGGTTGCCTTTTCAGGGCTGATTACAGCACTCCTCTGTACACCAGCAGATCACCTTATCTACTGGTGCCTGTAACTCTTGAGCTATTTGATCCCAATCTCTCCCCTTCCTATATACGAGAATATCATCTGCAAATGACAATAGTCTGCCAACTCCAGGTGTTTCCAGGTATGCAATTTTGCTCTTAAAAACATTGAACAGCACAGGTGAAACTGCAGGTCCCTGTGGTAGTCCTGAAGCTATAATACATGGTTCAGAGGTCCATGAACCCAGGCGGAGAGCTACCTTTTCAGAACACGTTTTACATCTTCCACCTGTACGATGTCTTCATAAGGTTTGTTCTTTAAGATGGCTGCCAGATCTTCTCTAACTTTATCTCTGTTATCTCCATCAATGTGGTTTGTCTGTGAAATTAACTTTTTCAGGAGAGCCTTCCCCCTCTCTTTGTCTAAAGTTAATAGCACACAGTCATCTCTATGAATTGCGCCTACTAAGCTGGGCCGATGTTTCTTGAGTATTTGCCTATTTAGCCTCCAAAACTTTCCCCGTGTCTTATCGCTGCCAAACTCCTCAGTAAAATGCTCCCATTTAGCTTTTTTTGGCCTTTACCGCACAGCGCTTAAAAAACTCTATCTTATCTTTCTTATCTCTTTCCGCGCACTCCAACACCTCCTGTGCGCTTAGGGCTGTCTGTCACACTTTCTTTAAACGCTTTACTGCAGCTCTTTTTAACTTCTATGTCTGCTAAACCTCTGATGTACGCAATAGAGGCTGCACAAAAGTACATCTGCCGGCCCACTTACTTGCCCTCTGTCGGAGTAGTCCAAGAAGGATGTAAGTCTGCTCATATTTGAAAGGTTCAGAAGCTCTTAAAGCCTTGACTTTCCTGGATTTTGAGATCAATGCCGAACATGGCAGATGGTCACGTCCATGATCGCTCAGGACAGTCCATTCGGTGTTCAGTACTGCTGACTGGGTAACCAGAGTCAGGTGAATAGCCGTGTCTACATCGCCGGGCCTCATTGCCATTTTAGTTGGCGTCCCATCATTTCAACAGACAAGGTATGAATAAACCATGTCGTCAGCAAGGGCAACTCCCTGTCGGTTTTCACAGTACTGTCCTATTCATTGTTCCGTGCATTGAAATCCCCACAAATAAGGAGCCTATTTACAGGGATCCCCTCCAGGTCTTTCAGTCAGTCCCACTGCTGTTTTGTAACTAAAGAGCCCATGGCAGCATTTACATTAATTATGTTCCAACGTAGGCCAGAAACCTCCATCTGTATTCCCTGCACATCTCTAGCATCATTGTTCCAGAGAATTAAGTCAAGCGCCACATGTTTCAAGCCCTCCTTCACCAGCAAACATTGCCCATGTCTCCTATGATGCCCAGCAGGGTTAACGTAGCTGCCATATCCAGGGCAATGATATTTGTCTGCATTCAGCTCCTGAAGCATGATTACACCAGAGTCGTAAATTAACTCTCTAGTACTGGCCCTCCCTCTCTGGCACTACGACAGTTCCAGAAGCATGATTACACCAGAGACATAAATTAACTCTCTAGTACTGGCCCTCCCTCTCTGGCACTACGACAGTTCCAGAAGCATGATTACACCAGAGTCGTAAATTAACTCTCTAGTACTGGCCCTCCCTCTCTGGCACTACGACAGTTCCAGAAGTATGATTACACCAGAGTCGTAAATTAATTCTCTAGTACTGGCCCTCCCTCTCTGGCACTACGACAGTTCCAGAAGCATGATTACACCAGAGTCGTAAATTAATTCTCTAGTACTGGCCCTCCCTCTCTGGTACTACGACAGTTCCAGAAGCATGATTACACCAGAGTCGTAAATTAACTCTCTAGTACTGGCCCCCCCCCCCCCCCTCTCTGGCACTACGACAGTTCCAAAAACACACTTTCACATGATTAAACCCCAGCCGTTCTGTTTTTCGTCTAAATCTCCTATCTCCTGCCCTTTCATTTCGCTGCTTAATTTTCTCACCTTTTCTTATTTTCTCCTCTTTATCCTCTCTTTGCTGCTTGCTAAAGATGACGTCAAGTTCAGAGCACATGCCCGTAGCTCCGGCGACAATTCTTATAAAATAAAATGAAAAATCCATATGTTGAAGTTGTTTTAGAGCAGGAAGTAACCGGTCACCTTAGTAGCGCCTGCCTGCTAGGGAAAAAGCAATGGATGTCCTTGTGGAGTCCATTCGCCTTTCGTTGCCTCTCCCGCTGACAATAGGTCCACGTTCACTACTGCCTATCCCACAGCCATTTAGTCTCTAAGCACATAGATCCACCTAAGGCTCTTTTTTTTAAATCGAGGTTGTCTCCTCTAAATCTGTTGTATTTTGTCCTAGGACCGCGAGGTCCTGGTTAACGGGGTCACCTTGTGTAGGATGTGACTTTTCGGTCACGCACAACGGTTTTGACTGTAGAAAGGTTTACCAGGACAGAGGACTTACCACCTGAATGCGCTTTTTTCACCTATAAGAATAGACCCAGAGACTAACAAAGGAAAAGCAGCTGGTGTGTTCCACTGCCTGAGAGTCTTAGCCACTACAGCCCTGAGTCTCCATGACCCTTGACCCACTGTTAGTTTGTTGTTGGTGTGACGGCAGCTCAAGTCAGTTAGACAATCTTGATCTCTGTTGCCACCCACTACTTTATCTTCCGTGAAACTGATAATAACACCTTATTCCACTTCTCTGTGTGTAATCTCTTGTCTTGTATATTCCATCAGAATGACATTACGACTTTCACTGATGTAGACTGATCAGAGATGACCAGCCGAACTCACCCCAGGTTCACTATGCATGTATACCAGACAGATACCAATGAATGTCAAGGGTCGTGCTGTATGTGAACTACTTTTACTTGTTGGAACAGATTAACATTTTTGTCTGAGTATGGCAATGTCACGTCTTTAAGCCGGCTGATTCCTGTTCTGTCACTTTGGCTCTGAACAAAGTACTAGGAAATGATTCAATCCACTTCATCGTAACCTGTGTTTATGGAACAATCGAGATCGTGAAACGTTTCAGAAAATAGTATAAAAGCAAAGAATTCTCTCTGCTCTGGGAATTTCACTGGTTGAGATGTTTGTGTCTATATGTAATATATGTTTTCTTTTGCTAACATTGAAGAGTAAACAAATTTCTTAATGATGTATTTTTATTGTTAGAAAGGAGCTAGTCATGTGTGGTCTGTTTCATTGTAAATAAAACTGATAGCCTTATTTTATCTTATGCACATAAATAATTCTGTACTGTTACAATTGAACCATGCAAAAAATGCTGGCCCATAACAGTGAATAATCTAAACTTTCTCAAAATTTAACAGACAAAATTTGCACCTACCAGAAATACTGATGCTTGAATCATTCAATGGATTACTGTAAGGAACAGAATTAAAAACACAAAAAAATTGAGCAAATGTCAAGATACTAGTGTGCTAAGACATGTGACAATAACTATGTTACTCAGTATTTTAAAATCTACACTGCTGTTCAGAAATAAAATAAGTCTAAAGAAAAAAGGACATAAAAATGTTGCACATTTGTCAATAGAATAATGATTTCAATATATATGCATGATAAGAAATAGATAGCTATTTAAATGAACAATTAATAAATGCTATAGTTAGCAAGAAATTACATAAACAGCTGTTAACAAAAGACAAAAGGTGTCTCACAGTTATAAATGAATGACAAAAACATCATTATTATACAGAAAGCAACTGTTGTAGAGAAAGTCACAGCTTTAAGCCTGTGACCTAATGCATAATACTCTGATGTCCTGTGCTCTTAAAGAAGTATCTATATATATAATGAGAATACCAGCAAAGACTGGAAACTTAATGAAAACTGTCACTACTGTCCATTTTACCACATTTTAGGGTGGCGTAGACAATGGGGTCATGAACCTGATGGCTAGTGCTGTCACCATAGACTGTGCAGGTCAGGATGTTTAATTCTGCCCCGGACAGAAAAAACACCATCCCCTTACTGGTGGTCGAACCCGGGTCTTCGGCATGGACCAATGTGTTACGAGCATGTTATTTCTTTTTTCCAAAACTTCTTTCCGTGTTAGTACTGGAGTTCATTTCTTCACCTTCCCTGTGTGGATTGAATAATCCCATTTTGGAGGGGGAGAAAAAAAAGAATAGATAAATAGTATGTCATAAATGGCAACTAATTAGAGTTGTTTCCTTCGAAGTCGGAGTGTTTGTGCCTGAGCAGCGAGAAACTAGCAGTCTGCATACAAGTAAGCCAGATTTGTAAAACAGATGTACATGCAAAATTCAGGTTCTGGAACAAGACCAAAGTCTAGAAGCAAATAAACAAGCAGAACTTCTGGCCAGTGTTAATAGGCAGTAAAAACCAAGAAAACGAATATTTCTTCAACTAAAAAACGCACCATATATTTTATTTGTAGAACTTACATGTTGTTTGATTTGTCACGTTGCTGATCTCGCAGATCATGTTCTTCTGACCTTTCAGAAACTAGAAATATATGCAAATATAAATGAATATTTGAACAAAGAAGGCATAAACAAATATTCCACAATTTGCTGCCGGGTACATTTTGCTGTATCTCATGAGATGTGCCCAACAGAATTTAAATAGATATAGCAACAACAACAACAAAAAACATTAAAACTTAACATATTAACAGAAATACAAATATCCAACATACTCAAATGTGTACTCCCCATGTGGGTTCTGGGGTCCCAGAGTAGAAGAAAAAGTATGGACCAACTGCTCCCCTAATATCATATTGTAAATATGCAATCAGACAGTTACTGATGCCATCGGAATTGGAACTCTTCACTTACTGCGGAAGATGGGGACGGAGCGCTTATGGGGTTGGCCTGAGTGCCATGATGTCGATTCTTAATTTAACATTAAACTTTCAAAACGTAAAATCTGACTAATTAGGGGTGTTTACTTTGAAACAGAGTGCACCACGGATCAAAGCCCCCCCCCCCCCCCCCCCCCCCCCCCCAATGCAATGAGGTGAATGGAGTCAGAAGAGAAGAAGAAGAAAGAAAAATGACAGTATGATACATGACTGACTGACTGTTTTCCCTGTTGGGCTACACGATGATATAACACCCCTGCAACCCAAACATATGCATCCTTAATGTCAATTCCATGTAACAAAACTCAGAAAAACTTCTGTTCAGCCTTATAAAAAGTTACCAGTGTTTCAATGAGTATGCTCAGGAAGACAAAAAGGCTGGATCAGAAGACAGTGGCTGTCATCTCTAATGCAGGCGGGGCTGGCATATATCAGTTTCATAATTATGCCAGGGCATACAGGCGTGCAAGGAAATGAGCAAGCTGATCGGCTCGCAATTAAAGCTACTGTGGAGGGCAGACGAGCCATGGACCATGCTGATATTCTGAATACCCTAGGAGAAGTATGACGTTTGCGCCAAGTGATGACTGTGAATCTGCGACAGCGACCAGACTGCATGAACAACATGTTAAAAGAGGTGTGGCCCGACAAGAGCACAATGAAGGAAGCCAAAGAAGAATAGGAAACCTATAAAGAACTTGTGTCCTGAGCTGCTACATGCTGTGGGATTTACTAAGGAGGGTATCTGAGCACTTATGGACTGAATGGTTAGATGTGCAATGAGGATAATTTGATGACTAGCTAACTAACTAAGAAGTTACAATTAGGCTTCTGCAATATCTTCACCAGGTATTATCCTGATGTACCCAGATGTCCTAGATGGACAAGAAGGGTGAACTGATATAAATCTTACTCCCAGATCACTTGGTCAGGCATCATCTTCCTGTCATGGCATTATGCCACATAGGGCTCATAGTCTAGTTCTCTATTCTGTTTTATCCTGCAAAACCCTTTCAACATCATGGATGAAATCTAGTCCAGCATCCTTGACTTCTCTCAGCAACTTTCATAACTGAGTTTCTCTTGGACGTCTTCTTTTTTTTTCCACAATCCATTTGGACATCATCCTGTCATGTTGTTTTGTCTCTTAGGGCTCATAGTATATTCCTCTATTCCATTCCATCCTGTTCAATTCTTTGATAACATGGATGAAATCTAGCCTAGCACCTTTAACTCTTTGAGTCCCAGGGGGTTTAGCAGCACAGGCCAGGGATTAGTAAAGAAAGTAATAAAATCGGCGCATCATGCGTTCATTGGGCTTCTAGGTAGGAACCTATGAACGTATGATGCGTTCCTTGGGACTCAAAGAGTTAACCTCTCTCAATAATGTTCATCTTGAGGGTTTCTCTGGGACGCCCTCATTTCCACAGTCCATCTGGGCATCATTAGATCATGTTGTTATGTCCAAAAAGTTCATAGTCTAGCCCTCCCTTTTGTTCTTTCCTGTGCAACTCTTTTGATATCACAGACGAATTCTAGTACAGTAAATCTGACCTCTCTCAGCAGTGTTTTTCTTAGGGTTTCTCTTTAAAATCCTTATTTCCAAAAATCCATTTGTTTCCCATCTGAGGGCCTGTTTAATGATTCCCTGCTCACATCTCCTGATGTGCCCAGTATACTGCTATCTTGAAACTTTTAAAACAAGCGATTATGCTAGTTCTTTTATTTTTTCACCTTTCTCAAATTCATCCCATTTAATGTTAATCAATATTTTTAAATAAGCATTTGTTTTTAAATACCTTATACTTTTGTTTCATGTCTTTAGTCGTTCTTCAGCTTTCATTGGCATATGTTAAAACTTAAATAACATTAGAATTAAAAATATGTAATTTGGTTTTAAACCAGCATAGCATTATCAATAGTTAAGTTGTTTGCATCAAAGATCCCTCAACTCTAGCCATATTTATTTATGAGTTCATCTACATCAACCTACATATTCCTTCGCATATATTACTTACTATCTTCTAAGTTGTCCTTGCTCCCTGATGTATCAGTTTTGGATTTTGATGTTCTGGTTTTACTAGATGCTGGCTGTAATAAAACAAAATGAATGAAAGGTTACCCATTATCTTTCTTTAAAAGTTCATATTTTTTAGTTTTAAATACTATTAGATGTAACATTTTCATACACAACTATATACATAAAATGTATCTCTCTCTCTCTCTTTTTCATTTGCTTACAGACTCTTAAACACATGTGTGCACGCGCGCACATGTATATAACAAATATATTCAGTATAAAGCTAAAGCTAGCTATGATGTATGGACCAGGCAGGATGCGAAGCAAATGCCAACAATGCAAGCAATGGACAGAGGGAATAACAGTGTCTCTGGGAATTACCATTTACGAAGCACGTAGAATGGAACTTTCCCATAAATTATACTTCACCTCAACACTGCAAGGTACCAGAGGATCAAGATGAGATGAGAAAGTATTTTTAAAATTTCTGCATGTAATAAGTTTAATATATACACAAATGAATAGATAATCAAGAGTGTTCAGTAAATGGAGCTCAGGAATTAATGACACAACCCAGATGTTGAAGCAGCCAGATGTAGTTCCTGGACATTACATGAGTTAATCATTGGAATCAAAGGGAGCTGTGGGAAGAGAGCATGTATATGATTAAGAGATCACTTATCCCAGTTCGTAGGTCACTGCTCCCCTCAGTCCATAGTGATTCGACTGTGGTTGACTCAATAGATAGCTATGCCTCGGTTTGATCTGGTACACGATGACTGTCTTAAATGTGAGGACACAGGAACTGCATAGGAGCCCAACAAAGCTCTTGAAGACTGATTCTCTGGATTGATGACATAGGTGTCTGCAATTGTCTACTAGTCCTGGAACTCACATACAAGCTCCTGCCATGTTGAGATAGTGGCAACAATAGGTAGGACTATTGGGTATGCTTGGTGCCCAGAATGGTATGGGTTCGTGGTTGTTGGCTGGACAGTGATTCGTCTGCCTGATCTCTAAGGAGGTATCATCCCAAGCTTAGGAATTCTTCAAAGATAAAACTCGTACTTTGAATGCACCAATTTATTCATAGACTGTATACACGTCTTGACACTTTGGAGATCAGGCTAAAGAATGCTGCTCAAAACCTTCGCTAGCGTCTCTAGGAAAGAAGTCCCTGTATTCATGTCCAAGGAGTAAACAGGCTTACAGGAGTTTCTGAATTATACACCAGAAACATTCATCCCACAGTTGCAAGTTTGAAAAGGTAGACTTCTCAAAGCAACTAGAGGGTCTAGAAATGATTATTTCACCAGATAAAGGTATATATCAATATAAGGGACTATATACCCCCTTCCCAGGACGGGTTTAAGTTTGAACTGTGACGTGCCCGCTTAGGGATGTCAGCGTCACGACTCGTCCATAGTGTAGGGTTGGCTGTTCACTCCACGACAGGAATGCTTCTTCAATATCCTGTATCCACCTTCGATGAGGTCTGCCTTTTCCTTGTTTCTGGAAACTGTACCCTTCGTCACTATTCTCTGCAGACCACCATGACATTCAACATAGCCAGAATATCTCAGCTTTTGTGACGGGGTGTGAACATTTAGGATGTCAGTGTCATAAAAGAAGATAAGAGTTCAATGTTACTAATACAGCAAAAATCCACAGGACAGACTGGAGAAGAGTATGGCCAAAATACCTTAGCTTTTGTAGCAGGATGCTATTTATGAGCCAATTCTCTTTGATGTTCAGATCTTTAAAGATGTCAGTTTCAGAGCAGTTAGTTAGTTGCATATCCTTTACAGGATGTTGCAGAACCAACCACAACATTTTTTGGCTGTTGTGGTTTTTCTAGGCAAATTTACATCCAGTAGTTTGCCACTGCTTTCTGGACGGTCGGCTTCTTGATACCACTGTCGAAACCAACGCTAGGCACAAGGCCTGCAGCTGGGATCAAACCCGGCACCCCAGCACTACGAAGCGTGTTTGCAACACCTTAGCTACAAATGCCGACAGAGTCGACAAAAGTTAGATGTCACTAACATAGCAACAATTAACAGGACAGAATGGATAAGAGTTTAATTCTTTTTACCTAACCAATGTGCAGTGCAATTAAAATTGCAATCAAGCATGTCGTAGGAGTCAACTAATTGGGGGCATCCTTGGAAACCGGAGTACTTCTCCCCAAGAGGCAAGAATGGATGAGTCTGCATGCAAATGAACTAGATCTATGAAACGGATGTGCCCACAACACTCAGGTTCTGGACCAAGACCAAAGTCCAGAGATGGATGAACAACCAGAACTTTCCACCAGAGTTTACAGCCGGTGAACATGAAGAAAAAGAAGAATATGTTATTTTACTAATCAGCTATACTAAGGTCAACAGCTGTGTAACAAATTACCTGCCGCTTTGACTTTTGCAGCTCTTTGTCTCCAGACTTTGTTGGTGACAATGCCGGCTTATTTTGAAGTAAATATTTAGAGGTTACACTCTTTCCTTTTGTGGTGGTTTTGTTGTCGGTTTCATGTGATGATTTTGCAGAATTCTTGGTCTTCAGGAAACTTCTGCCTTTACCTGAAATAAACAGGTGTTGCAATATTAATACACACACCTGAGCGTACGCACACATACACACACGGGCATGCACACACATGTACGCACGCACATATGCACCCTTCTTCATCTTCCTCTGCTCTTTAACCCTCAAAAGAGCATAACCCTCAATGAAGCATGGGCACCAACTCAATTCAAGTTGTACCATCCTTTTCTATCACACACAGCTCATCCGATGTTCTCCCAATCTTTTGTTCTCTAAATTCCACTTTTAGTTCCCTTCTCCATGTGTTTCTAGTGATTCTATCATACCATTTAACTGCCTCCATTCTGCGCAGGCATCACTTTATAGATGTTTCCTATACACATTACAGAACTTATAATTATAAAAACACGTTTATCAAATTAACACAAATAGGTTGTGTTGCAACTCAGCCAGAAAAATTGAAAGGACGTGGTTTAGAAAATTAGAGATTAAAAAAGATGGGGAAGACTGAGAGGGACTGCAGGAGGTGGCAAAAGATACTATTGCTTGGCAAAAAATAGAAGGGGGGTATAATTTCATATGTGGAAAACACTGCAAAAAAAAGAAAGTCATGTTGTAAGAATTTATCTGATGAACAAGTATATACAGAACAAATCCAAGCACAAGATGCAGAAAGCACTGAAAGAGAAGACTGAAGGATAAATTAAAATGATATGTCTCTCTGCACATGTGAAGTTCCAGTATCTTTTCCCTGCCTTCACTTCTAAAAGGCTGGCTGGGAAGCTCTACTATGGATGACAGATAGGTTGTGATATAGGTACCTTTCTGCCCAACACATCTGATTTCAGTGAATTCCTAATTAGTTGCCTCTTATGACATGCTTGTTAGGGAGCAGTGGGTCTATCCCCCCCACCAAATGGGGCATTAGAACCCATGATGGTATTTCAAGTACTAACTGGTGAGAGTAAGAACAGCTCTGCAGTACAGGACTGCTACTTTGGCACTTGGTCAGAAGAAAAGTTTCTATACAAACCTAACTCAAAAGATTGAAAGCCAGCGGTTCTCAATCTGCCGGTCATAACCCTTTTTGGGGCCGAATGACCCTTTCACAGGGGTGGCCTAAGACCATCGGAAAACACATATCTATTGAAGTTAAAAAGGAAAATAACTGTCTGGGGATAATTGTCTTAGGGTCGCCACAACATGAAAGAAGTATTAAAGGGTTGCAGCATTAGGAAGGTTGATAGCCACTGCTGTAAGCCATTTTCAAGACAGAAGACCTGAATGGCAATTGTTCTGATGCAAAGAGTTAAAACTCTGTCAGCCAGAGCTGGAGGTAGCTTACTTTTCTTTACAGAGTTACTAGAAAAGGCAGAATTTCTAACCTATGCTGCTGGCACAATTCCAACAGGTCAAAATGAAGTATCGATTTGTATGCAACTACACAATTTTCACTCAATAATTTTCCACCCAAAGTACAAATGAACTGGCAACTATGAACCTCTTTTAACTACAGTGAAAAGGCGAAAAATGCAATGGCATGGACATGTTATAAGATCTAACGGCCTCTCAAAAACAATACTGCAGGGCCCAGTAGAGGGAAAGAGGAGTAGAGGCTGACCAAGAAAGACCTGGTTACAGAAGCTGACTGACAGGACAGGCCTCAGGCATGCAACCATGAAGTTCATCCAAACTGAACAGAAAGGTAAAGAGAGCTGATCAGACAGTCAACAGAAACTGGTGACCCAACGTCACGTAGTGTTACAGGATGATGACAATGATGAAAGTTCAAATGCATTTCTCTGAAAACAAGGATTTAGCACTCAGGAGACTTTAGCGCAGCGCCAAAGATACTGTCCATCATAACTTAACTAATTTGTATTGGAATGATATATGAATATTTAAATCACCTTTACCAACGCTGTCATCTACTGAATCTTTATCCCACCATAAAGATGTAGAATTAACACTGCTGCTTTTGGCTTTTGCTGGTGATTTTAGCAGTTGTTTGATCTTCTCTGTGTCGTCTTCTGATGAGAATGACTGCAACAACAACAACAAAACAGAATGAATGTACTTAGATGATATGGCTTTGTCAGGGGTGAACCTGTTGAAATTATTTATTTAAATGAAAACTTTCAAGTGACTTTTCCCAGATTCATATCAATAACGATGCTTCTGTAATGACAGAATTCTTCAGTTAACTCTTAGTTTCAAACATCACATGATGTGTTAATGACTATTCCCCATATGCTTCAAATATCACATCAAGTGTCTTCTGAAGTTCTGGTCAGCATAGTTCCTGGCAACTGCAATAGTCATTCAGCCTTAAATCCTCAGGCTCATGACTATCCTGTCCTACACTACCTACCCTAAACGTGGTAAATACAGGCAGTAAAGAGTTTTATGAGTTATAATCTCTGTCTGTGACTGCAGCTACCTCATTTTGTTTTGCCTTTTTTTTTGTCTTCATCTTTTTTTGCTTTATCTTCTTCTTTTTCCTCTTGCCTTCTTTTTTTTATCTTCTTGTCTTCTTTTTTTCTTCTTTATTTCCCCTTTTTCTTCACCGTCTTCTTCTTCTAGTCTTCTTTTTCTTCTTGTCTTTTATTTCTTTTTCTTCTTCTGCATGAGTTTACTGGTAAGGTAATATATATATATATATATATATATATATATATTGACAGTTTGTCATAAGGATCAAGATCACCACTCTCTACAGGTTAATGTGGCAAGCTTTTAACTTCTGCCTTAAACAAGTATGCTCCGGATATAGTGGATAAAACAGTTGGGTGCAAAGGCAGTAAATTAAAAAAAAAAAACTATAGGCTCATTATATTAAAATTTCATAAGGCATAATATATGTACTGTTTGTTCATTAACAAGTGCTTAATTTAGCAGAAAAGCAAACATTACTGTCACACAGACACAATGGAAGCAGAGCTAGAGTTTGCCCATGCAAGTAATGGATAGATAGAATATCCAAAGTCATGAATACAAGCATCTGTGTAACACACATCAAGGTTCGCATCCGATTCCTCTTCAGAAATTGATGCCAAAAGGCAGAACAGGCTGTAGAGATAAGAAGAAGAGGCAAATATTTTTTACAACAAACTTACTGTCTTTAGAAATTCTTCAAAGGCACTTTCCAAATCGTCTTTTGACCATCTGGACTTCGCCATTATTTCAGTGAAATATGTGTCAAACCTTAGAAGTGGAAGAAAACTGACGTCAGATATATTTTTTTTTATTAACCAAAGTGCAAAATGTTTAATAGGGTATTTGAAGACCTCAATGTGTTGCATAAATTATTTCATAAATACCTATTCAGAGTATGATCTTGGTAAAATACAAACTCCTTTACTTTTTATTATGCCAGGGATATTAATCTAGAAAAATATGTGCCAGTACTCACCACAAAGCGTCTGGAAAAAAAATCTGCGGATACTCACGATAAAGTGTCTATTACAGTAGTGGTGAAAACATGATGGCTAAAAAGGTGCCAGTCCTCTACGATGAAAAGAAAAAACCTGGTTTTTGCCAAATAGCACTGCTATTCAACTAAGTTTACTAAGAGGCCAAAATTTTCAAAATCGTCCCGGGTCAGAGGTCTAAGCATCAGCATAGAAAAAAAATAATTAATACGATACAACTGACAATGATCCATGGGCCACTGAGTGGACCCCTGATTAGGCCTCCGAGGGCCAGATTTGGCCCAGAGACCGCCAGATAAATAGCCCTGCCATAGAGCATTAGATACCATGTCTGCCCATGGCATTCTGTCTTATACGCTGCTAATAATTCCTGATACAGATAAAATCGTTACATTTGCAGTTTCCCAATACTAAATACTTAAATACTGTGGACACTGAGCTCTCAGAAGTAACATATTATATTAATAATACTGAAATTGAAATATGAAATCAATATTTCGCACTTAACGTTTACGCATTTAACTCGATTCCTTATTTATGTCTAGTAGTTTAAGCGTGTCGTCCCCTTGTGGCATGTAGGATGCAATTTTTGTGTTTAAAGTTTAAAGCCCTCCCTACCCTGGCTTCCTTATGTCTAGTAACTAGTAGTATAACCATAACTGTCCATAACCATAGACAGTCCAACAAAAGAACAATGACACAATGTCTCGAAATTCGCAAATTTTATGTATATTCAAAATTATGCATTGCTTAGATAGCTCTCTACAAAATTTTACGTCGCGTCACATTATTTTAGCGTGTATTAACGAGTAAAACAACACACAAGTATGTTCGCCCTGCACTGGTTACCGATACGAGTCAAAGCAAGTCAAATCGCCGCCATTTTTACACAAACCCGTAGGGAAGGAAGGCTAAGTCGATCACCATCATCATCATGTGTGCCGTGCCGATTCGCTAAGGCCAGGACTTATCAAATAAGTGTACGGCACCTCCTTTTCTAGGTACAGGGGGCCGTGGTTTACATTTACTCAGGCGCCAGTATGTTGAAAATGGTTATCTTCCTGAACCAAAAGCGTAGAAAGATCATACATACAATACATCTGGCAACGATCGGTGGGCTACTTGCTAGGGCTAGCCTCTGTAGGCCGGATTCGGCCCACGGGTTGCCGTTGAACAGTCCTGATGTAAGCTGTTGTGTCGCCATCTCATATGATCACAAGAATTATGAATCGGGTCAGTGTTTTTGTCTGACCTCCAACCATGTAGCCAAGCAATCTACGTGTTTATCTTTTCTCCCTCTGCTTGCTATTCTGTAAAACCTAATCTCTAAGGTCTAAAAATATTGCCTGGCTTGTTTATTAATTGTCTATTCGAGGCCATATGTTCAACCTCCCCTATAAAAAGGTATCTTATCCACTCCTTTAGGCACATTAGCAATATATATATATATATATATATATATATATATATATATATATATATATATATATATATAGACCACTAAACATATGGTGGGTAATGTGGTTAGCATCACGCCGGTCGCCTTTACGCCACAGGACTGCACATGGCACCCACTCAAGCCTGAGTCGACCTGAGAGTTATGGTCAGTTGAAAACAAAAACAAAAAACAGGCCGGCTTCGTCAGGGCGCGAAACCACGACCTTCCGCTGGTGGGTGTCTAGCCACCAACGCCACGGCGATTTCCAAATTTCCCTGTATAGCACGCAAATAATTCTTTTTTCTTTACTCCTATGGGAGATATTTCTTGCTCGGTGCGATTTTGTTTCTTTCTTGCTGCTGATGAAATCGGGAAAAGGTGGGGGGGGGGGGGGGGGAGGGGGGTGGGGGGGGGGGGGGGGGGGGGGGGGGGGGGGGGGGGGGGGGGGGGAGACCAAGTTCAATCAGCTTCTTCCAAGGGGTAGCTTTAGGTTATATCGTGGTCTGGATTATTTGCTCCTAATTCATTGTTAAAACTGCTCGGCTCCAAACAGCCATGGAAAGGACTCCTGTAGTGTTGATGCGATGGCTCAAACCACTTTCCAGACCCAATAGCCAGCCATATTACCAACAGTCAAGTATGGCATTATAGAGAAAAAAATAATGATAAAATGCAGTTTTTGCTGTCCTTTTCTATTCTTTTTCTCTTTTATCCATCTTTCGTCGGATACAGCCTAGCATACGACATCGCAACACCTAAAATGAGAATGGAGGTGGAGGCGGTAACTGCAGCTCTCCGGTAGCTTGAGAACAAGATGCATACACGTGTCGTGATTGTAACAGATTCTGAAAGAATGCTGAGTAAAGTGAAGACAGGGATGCTTCGAGCAGAGTGGCAAGCTTAACTGAGACGGTCACAGGTAGTGAGCATACTTTTAATCTTTTCTCCAGGCTATGCCGGCATAGTGGGTAATGAACAGGCAGAAAGATTGACTGGATCTGCACCACTGTGTGGTGAATTGATACATGACAAGGCAGATGTTGTCAATGCCTTTTGGGAACAAGCAACGGAATCAGCAGAGAAACAAGATTATTATGGCCTGGAGAGAATGAGGCACCTGGGTGTAACCTGAGGGCCTGGCCGGCTTACTACACTCAGAGGAAAGGCAAGACGTACATATAACCAAATTGTGACCGGTATCATCAGTATTTAAACTATGCGATGGCTGCTGAAGATGAGGACGGTGCACGCATGGGAATGCCCTAAGTGCTGTGATTTAAATTCTTGACTCACCTCAGCTTAACTTGTCGGATATTACTTGTTACTTGTTGCGCGTATCGACATCCTAGCACATCGGTCCGACACATTCATGCTCCGTCCTCCGATACAGCAGTCGTCTCATTTTCTCCATGCTCAGCATACCCAACAGGAGTTGGCTAGCAGACCTTGTGTCGTTGCTCTGCAACAGGTTTCTGCAAGCGTGTCATCGTTTCATAGCCATCGCCAGCAGACGGTTCATTGTATCTTAAGCCTTCGTCTCAAGCTCTCTAGACCGCATCGCATTTAGTATGTCTGCCTTGTCCATACTCCTTCACCAAATACTGCAGACATGTCCAGTCTGTGGGCTCTTTTATCATTTCCTTTCACCTCGGCGTACCCCGATGTGTACAAACATGACAGTTTTTGTGTGTGTGTGTGTGTCTGTTCCTTCTATTTCTTTGGTGGGGGCAAATAACAACGGTTACATAGGGGAAAGCGTGCAAAAAATAGACCTCATAAACTCGTTAATCACTACTTTCTGTTCCTGCTAATTTAATCTCTATCATTCATGTCCTGTTTGTAAACATCTTTTTTTTTTTTTACTGCAGTAGAGGCCAGCCGCAATATTCACTCCTTAGTAAAGATGACGTAGACAACGTTAGCATCCTCTCTCCTCTAAAAGGCAGACATATATCCAGAATAAGGAATATACACCCGAATTATAACACAAGAGGTTTGAACAGGAGGATATCGTTGATCAAACTACTACTACTACTACTACTACTACTACTACTACTACTACTACTACTACTACTACTACTACTACTACTACTACTACTACTACTACTACTTCTATTACTACTACTGCTGTTGCTATTACTACTACTACTGCTGCTGCTACTACGGCTGCTGCTACTGCTACTACTACTACTCCTACTTCTACCACTCCTGCTGCTGCTGCTACTGCTGGTACGCTTTGATGTTGCGAAGTCTTAGGTTGTCACATCTTTTTCATCTTTTTCTAGATCCCCTCTGCCCCTGTTTTTCATTTTTCACACAGGCGCTTTCCCAGCTGGCGAATGTTGGATTAGATCTCATTTGGTGCCAAACCATTTTAGTCATGTTTCTCAGTAAAATCGATAAGGTACCTGTGGGGGAAAAAGAAGGGAAGGGGGGGGGGGGGAATGTAAAAGAGTAGTAAAAGAAGGAGAAAGACGAAGAAAAAAAAAGATTTTGGGGGAGGTTTAGGATTTATTCTATGAAAGTTTTCGGTTTGTTTCGTGAGTGCAGCCTTTCGGAGATTCCTGAATAGAGTCGCTGGGGCGGTTTACCGATCTGAGGAAGGAGACCTAGCCATATGCACAACCTCTGGTCTTTAAAAAATACATTTTAGTAATGTGACCAGGGCCAGGCAATGAATGCACTCAGGCCAAATAAACGTATACCGTTATATGCTCTAGAATGTACTGTCTAAACTCTAGACAGTCGAAAAGAAGCGCGAAGAAACAAAAGTTATGCGCAGGTGAACAAAATCAATACTTCAAGCAATGGACTAGAAAATTCTGTACCTGTAGGTTATAAATATACGTGACCGACTCAGTGCCCTGACACATCTACAAAAGGATTGACACATCTACAAAAGCAGGATTGACAAAGGTAATACACTTTGTAGTAGTAGTGTGCCCTGAAATAACCATTTTAGGAGGCTGAACGGAGTAAGTGATATTTGTTTCTTATCTTTGACACCCTAACAATGACTCTTTGAGTCTAGGTGATGTCAGACATTTAAAAAAGCAAAGTTGATGTGGTGTAGGATGCATAAAAGGGTACATTTCCTAAGACCTTCAGTGCGCCAATTACACTTGATAGCGATGAGGCAGTAGCGATATATAACCGTGTGTTAGAGGACACGCTATACAACAAAGTAATAGTATAAATAGTATTGATGATTCGAACCTCCACCTCCTCCTCCAATCTTGATATATTCTCCCCTGACATAGTAGTATGAATTTAACCAACGGTATGCAGTTCAACACATCTTTGTTAAAACTGGGATCTATTTAGCTTTTTAACTTCCAATTTGAATATTTATGATTATTAATTACTTTGTTGATTAAATATTGTATATAGTATGTATACATGTTTGGCATATGATATAACAACGTCTAGTGTGAGAATGTTAGTGAAGGCAGTCACTGCTGCCTTCCGCTGGATTTAGAATCAGCTGTACACACATGGTGCAGTTGTAACCCACCCACAAAGCATGATGAGAAAGTTGGAGACAGGCATGCTCAGAAACGAGCAGGCCGATGAACTTGGTGGTGAATTGATGTATGACAAGCTAGATGTTGTGAGGGCCCTTTGGGAGAGTGTGGACTGTGAGGAGTAACAAATAGATCATTACGGTCTGAAAAGAATGGCGCTACGGGGAATTACCAGGGGATCTGGCCGACGCTCAACACTAAAGGGAAGGGCGAGTGCATGTACAGACAGTTACAGGAACCATCGGAATTGGAACTCCTCGTTTGCTGCTAAAGATGAGGACGGAGTGAATGTTCCCCGTGCTCTGATGTCGATTCCTAATTCAACATTCAACATTTATATTATGTATTAATTGTAACAGACTGTAGGGGTATGGATTAGGTTAGTTGCGTATCCTTCATAGGACGTTGCAGAACCAACCCCAATAGCCCCTGGCTGTTGTGAGGAGCTGTTGTGTGGTTTTTCTAGGCAAATTTACGTCCAGTAGTTTGCCATTTCTTCATGGACGGTCGGCTTTCTTGATACCAGTGTCGAAACCAACGCAAGGCGAATGGCCCACTGCTGGGATCGAACTCAGCATCCAGACATTACAAAGCGCTCGCATCGACTTAGCCACAGAGCCGACCAGGAGTATGGGTAGTTAAGTTTAATACATTTTCAAGTGCACTTAAAAACAATTGTGATCATCATTTTCTGTAAGCTGTCTATGAGAATATTCAAAATGAATGGGAGGCCATTATTCTGCCTAACGATATATTAACACCCAGTGTTGCATTTGTGTAAAAGCTAAGTATGCTACAGCTTAGTGACTTCGGTCTACAGAAACCTGAAAAATGCACCCCTTTCATCCAACACAAATACAATTTTCTTTGTATATCTTATATATGAGAAAATTTCTTATTGTACTAATATTGTTTTGGGTATATTATCTCAGGCTCTTGTGTATTTTAACTTTTTGTAGCCTATTTACATTCATTAAAATAGCCAGCATGATATGCGTCATAAATAGTAGTAGTAATTTTTCAAAAATATATTGTTCAATCGTCAGGGTAATAAATGGGATATGTAGTGTTACTTAAGTTCTTATAGTATATTTTTTTTGCAGTATTTTTTATTTTTTATAGTGTTCATTGCTGTCAAGTTATTTGCTTGCTTGTTGTACCCCACCAGGACATCACACAAGCGATAAACACCCGGTGACTATATTCAGGGGCCCCGGCAAAAGCCAGATTTTGCTGTCTTGTCAAGTTATTTACTACATTATTTTGTATCAAATTATGTACCCTCATCATCACGTAGCAGGTCCCTTGCAGAACGTCGCTCTCATCACAGTCTGCCTGAAAGAAACTCGGTCTCTCGCCAGTTCTCCCGCCTCATGCACTTTCACACTCAAGGAGTCACTTATATCCTGTGCCCATCTTCGTGTCGGTCGGCTTATGTACCCTACTGTATTATATAGTACAAATTATGTGATTTCGCAAACACATTAAACGACAGTTTATTTCAGTAGAAGAGATTGGGGCATCACAACGTAATTGTCCCAAAGACTACAGTGGGTATACTGTAACTGCAACCAGTCTAAGGGGGTTGCGTGCGCGCGCGAGCGAGCACACACACACAGATACATACAGTTATATTTTAAAAGTACGTTTACTCCAGTTTGTCATTCCGTGTGGGAACCGGGGTACCGTTGTGGGAGAAAACAATAAAAGACCGACTGCCTCCCCACAAAGCATACCACAAAAGTCGACTAATTGGAGGCTTCCTCCGAAGTTGGAGTGAATCTGTCTGAGAGGCAAGGAATAAACAGTCTGCATAAAAATAAGTCAGATCTGTAAAACGGATGTGCACGCAGCACTCAAGTTCTGGAACAAGACTAAAGCCCAGAGGTGGACAAACAACCCGAACTTTACGCCGGAATTTACAGTTGGTGAACGTGAAGAAGTAGTAGCCCGTGGCGAAGTGGTCAAGCCGTTTGCCTCGCGCTCTGAATGTCGTGGGTTCACTTCACGGCTACGTCGTTCAGTTCACGAGTGCAACTTTTACAGACATTCATAGGGATCGTCACCGGAGCGACGGAGTTCTGCGGAGGAAGACCGAGTCATATGAGATACAAACCTAGTACAATGAAGTCGACCTTCTCTGTTTTAACGTTCGCGGCGACCGGGTGACGAACTCTTTTTGGTCCGGGTTCACGCCCGGAGGTAGGAAAAAAAACAAACTTTTGTTGTCATAAGGCTGATTGCAGCAGGTCACATATTTATCAAGGTGAGTCCAAGGCACTTACATCTGATGGCGATGAGAGACAGATCTAACTACTTATTAGAGGACACACTAAACAATACTTCAATACAGTATAGTATTCATAACTATAAACTTTTTATCTTATAACCTTAACATACATTCCCCTGACTGACTTTCTATCCCACTAGGACATCACACAAGCGATAAACACCCGATGACACAAAGTGCCACTATGTGGATGAGGATCACCGTGGAGAGGTCCCAGAAACCGCGTTCAGACAATTGGCCATATTGATGGCCTGCCTATATTGCGGCCTCTGGCAAAAGCCAGAGTGGGGCTTCAAATAACAAAAAATTACGTCCTGAAAAGGACGTAACGAAATATTAACATATATATACCTCTGCAGTTCTTATGCTTTTAAACAAATAAGGAGGTAAGGGGATTGGATTGGATTTTTTAACCCACCAGGACATCACACAAGCGATAAACACCCGATGACACAAAGTGCCACCATGCGGATGAGGATCACCGTGGAGAGGTCCCAGAAACCGCGTTTAGACATTTGGCCATAATGATGACCTGCCTATATTGCGGCCCCTGGCAAAAGCCAGAGTGGGGCTTCAAATAACAAAAAATAACGTCCTAAGAAGGACGAAAAAAAAAACTGGTAAGGGGATGGAAAATTTCTACTATTAATAGCTGCTAGAAGCGTCAGTTTAAACGTCACTTCCGTAAACAACGTTGATCTACTCTTTGTTTATATTGAGGGTCATAGAAGTTGTACTTCTATCCCCAACCACTTATCTACTTTTAACGGCGGATATACTGCATTTTGTATACGCTTTTCATTAAGTTTAACTCATTTCTTTCGTCTGTACATTACACCTTTTGGAGTATATGCAGTTTAGAGACGAAAAGCGTTGTTTTTTTTTTTTTGATCGAGTTGTTCGTTTTACTTTAGTAGGTCAGCAGCTGATTACAGAATTATGGAAATATGTTGTAAGGCGTCGTTACGTTTAGTAGAGTCTTCGATACAGTGAATATTTGTTGTCGTTTTTATTTCTGAGACCTGCACAGTGCATATTATGATACGAAGATGCCCTGTGTCAACAACTGTGTTAGTTCTAAGAGATATTCCATTAGTTTGTGTACTATTTAACAATAAAATAATTAAAATCGATAATATTTACATTAATATATTATTATTAATCATATAAATAAGTCGTCCTCTTGTGGGATGCAATTTTTGTTATTTTGAAGCCCCACCCTAGCTGTTGCCAGGGGCCCTAATATAACCTAACAACTGAACGGGGTTTCTGGACCCTCTCCACGGGGAGTCTCATCCGCATAGTGGAACTTTGTGTCACTGTGTTTATCCCCCTATGTGATGTCCTGGTGGAGTCAGATTAACCTCACCAGGTGTTTGAGAGACAGCACTTCTAGTTCTAATCAGATTAGTAATCTTAAATCTACTTCTAACAATTTTGCATTGCACTCGTAAGAAAACATTTAACACACATTTAGTAGTTTTAAGTCTGAGTAGAATGAGTTCCACCAGTAAATAATGGCACCAAAATAACACTGAAAGATGTGGTCTAATAGTAAATTAGGGATTCGTACAAGATAAATTGCATTTTAAAAGCTGTGTGATAAGATATTATTGTCTGCTGTGTCATCCAGAGACATTTGGCATGTTAAATTCTTTTACATTTGGTCTGAGCATGGCTAAGAATTCTGGCTAGATATTTTAATTTGGCTTGATATTTAAATCTTTCAAATAGAAGTTTAAAGATTTACCTTCTGTTTTGATTTAATTTAGTTTTTAACTGTTAAATTTATTTTTTAAATCTAAATAGAATGTAAATTTCCTAGGCCTACTCTCTTGACAGACAATTGTCTGCATCCTTGCCTGGGGGAGTGCCCAAGTTCTGAAATAAACACAAAGAAGCTTACTCCCCCACCTTCTTCTGGGACTGCTGCTTGAAACATTGTCACCAAATGGAGCCACCTTTCACATATGAACACAATCAAAGCATTTTTTAGAAACCCTGTTAGCCATATAAAACAGTTATATTTTAACACTTTAATTATGCAATGTACTGTCCTATGAGTTAGGTTGACATGGACAAATAAGCTTACTATATTTTCCTTATAGAGCACCAAAAAAAACCCACATGTGAATAGACATTGTTCACACATTTATTTATTTCTGATAGCAATTAATACATTTTGTTCCACAGACCAAATAGGATGATCAGTAACAACAATCAACGTTTCTGTAGCTATGGTCAGTGAGAATGTCAGCTTTGTACAGGATCAGAGCAGTGGATAATGAGCCTCTCATAATTCATTACTTGACTCTGAGTTTAGACAATTTCTGAACTGTCTCATCAGATGCCAGAAAGTGCCTCGTGATGTTTGTCATTAGCTGTTAATAAACAAGGACATTTGTAGTTCATTATTGCAGCAGCTGTTCATATTTCCATTTCTGCTTGAGATTGAAAATGTCTGATGACAGTAATAAGTTAGTTAAGCCGTCACAGTCAGATGACACTGAAAGGCAGCGTTCATCGCCACGACCTCCAAGTATTCCAGAGGAAATGATCAATATGGTTGGAGGTAAGACTGTTGGACTAACTTCTTATTTATTTCCACCCAGCATTTGGTGATGCAAATTCCTCATTTATGGACCAGGAATCCAAAGTTTTATCACCCAGCAACTGAATTGAATGTTTGATGTGACACTTCAAGCTTTAGATTTATTCTTCCTCTTTTGTGTGTGTCCATCAGCTGTAAACAATGGCGGAAAGTTTTTGGTTGTTCATCCACTTCTAGAATTTAGTCTTGTTCCAGTACTTGAGTTTTGTGTGCACATACTTTTTACAGATCAGGCTTATTTGTACACAAAAAGTTGGTTCCTTCCCTCTCAGGCAGACGCACTCTGACTTAAAAGGAAACCCCTAATTAGTCAACTCTTCCAACATGCTTCTGTAAGCAAGGACCCAATAGTCTGCATACAAATAAGCCAGTCTGAAACAAGATGCAGAAGTGGACGAACAGCCAGAACTTTCCATGACAGTTTATAGCCGGTAAAAGTGAAGAACAAATGGTGCTCAGTTAATGATGGGTTCAATATTATACCGACCACTTTTACTTTAGAGAAAATGTTGAAAGTTCCCCACTGCACCAGGATTTAAATGCATAACTACAGGATTGAAACATTTTAGCTACTTAATATTTTTACAGACCATCAGCACTCTGTGGGTAATGTGGTCAGCATTACGCCGGCTGTCTTTACTTTCCCAGGACAGCCCATCCTGGTATCCATTTTAGGCTGGGTCGACCTGCGACGTCCCATACCACGACAAAAATCCACGCAGCCTGCAGTGGCTTTCGATCTCGGTATGCTGGCTCACGAGTCGGACTCGCAACGCCTTGTAATGCTGACCACATTACCCACAGAGTGCTGATGGTCTGTAAAAATAAGGGACGCTCTGCCCATATGCCCGATGCGCCGAAAGACGTGAAAAAGGATCTTTACTTTTCTTTTTTAATACAGGAGCCTTTTCCTGATTTTGGTGTATTGGGCATATAGGGCTAGACTTATCTTGTTATATACCAGTCAGTACACAGTATTCCCTAGTGGGTTCTGGGGCTCCATTGTGGGCAAACCTACTGTCTCCCCCCCCCCCCCCCAATCAAGCATGTTATAAAAGGTGGATAATTGGGGTTATTTGTTTTGAAGTAAAGTGCATCTGGCTGAGAGGCGAGGAGTCAACAGTCTGCATACAGATAGGCCAGATTTGTAAAACAATTGTGCATGCAACACTCAAGTTCTGCAAAAAGACCAAAATCCAGAAGTGGACTAACAACGAGAACTTTCCATTAGAGGTTACTGGCTGTGAACGCTAACATTACGAAGAAGAAGAAGAAAAAGCACTCAGTGAGTGATATGGTCAACATCACACCTGCTGCTTTGCTTTCCAGGACATTAGCTGGTACCCATTGTAGGCTGGTGGACCTAGGAGCCAATGTCAGTTTTGTAAAACATCCACTTCAGCGCAGATTTGAACCCTAGTTGCACTGCTAGCATAAGGCATTTATAAATAAGTATGAAATCATTACCATGAGGCAGGTAGGTCAGCTGCTAAGCTTTTGCAGTTCCTATATATAAGCGTATGCCTGCTATTTAGTGTACAGCTATAAAACTGCCCCTTTATCGTGTTATTTCAGCTTCACCGCCTAGATTTGTGACCTTTGAGCAGCTGATGTCAGCAGCAAATGGAATGAAAAACATGACCCTCGCCCATGAAATTGCAGTCAATGACAGCTTTGAACTTCACAAACATGATGGTCCATCTAACAGGTAAACTGGTTCTCCTGCCTTTCATACCTTGATAGAGCAAGCTCCTCAGCCAAATCACGGTACCCTTCCTATCCTTCGCTTTTTCATACAACTCATTTAACTCTTTGAGTCCCACTGTGTTTAACATCACAGGCCCAGGGAGTAATAAATAGAGTCATAAAATCAGGGCATCATGCGTTCATTGGGCTTCTTGGTAGGAACCTATGAACGTATGATGCGTTCCTTGGGACTCAAAGAGTTAATCCTTTCCCACTGTGAATACTGAAAAAAGTCCAGAATCTTTGGGAATTCCCATAAAAAGCCTTTAGAAAACTTTTTACATAGGTCACTAATAAATTAAAAAAAACGTGTATATAATTTTCGGAAATATATATAGATATATATATGTGTGTTAAAAAAATGAGTGAAGCATTTGGATGAGTACATTCCCTGGGGCCTAAAATAATGTATATTCGGCAACTTATTCCATGATCCCTTGACCTATTTCACTCAGGCTGAGAGAAAATTTGATGTAAACTTGGCTTTAAAAATGCCATTTTGTTCACAAGAAAATACCCTAAATGCTATTTTAAGTAAATAAATGAATAACCTGGCCTCCTAAACACTGCCCAAGCATAAATACAACCAGTGGTGTCTGGTAAAAATGTCACTAAATGGGGTTAAGTGTCGCATACATGATGGATTAGACCCAGCTTGAAGTGCTGGGTTTGCAGAGATGAAATGGTTAATGTCCTTCTCCTCTTTTTACCACTTGTCTTAAGTTAACACCTCACCTTATCACCAAAGTATCACATGAGGTTTGTATTCCTATCCGGCTCTTTCCAAGAGGTCAGATCATCTAAGTATCTATCTCTTTGTCTTCTGGCTCTCTTCCTTAAGTTGTCATTAAGTTTTAAAGTTTATTTCAGTTTATGTCCATAAGTCTCCATGCCACATGGCGTTGGTAGTCATGTCTACCTACACAACCTTCTGTTTCATGTACTTTCAGTCACCTCTGACACATTCACTCCTTTATGACATTATACCATCAATCTAAACTTTCAATATCTATTTCTCTCAGCAGTTTATGATTTTGATTAATTTCTTTGAAGACTGCCTCATATGTTCTGTATGCCTGTGTGTGCGTGAGAGAGAGAGAGAGAGAGAGAGAGAGAGAGAGAGAGAGAGAGAGAGAGAGAGAGAGAGAGAGAGAGAGAGAGAGAGAGAGAGAGAGAGAGAGAGAGAGAGAGAGAAGCCTATTGTAGAATATAAATTATTTCCTCATGATGCATCTCACCGTATCACTGGTCTACTGTTTTCCTTTTCTTACACAGCTGGGAGAAAAAACTTGCTGAAACTGTTCATCGTGCATTCTGGGATGCTTTCCAGGAAAAGTTGAACCAGGATCCCCCAGATTTAAGCTTTGCATATGCCATGTTGCAGGAGTTACGAGAGGTGAGCATACTTTATTCCACATGTTCACCCCAGTACCGGAAAATGTCATTTATGATAATAATAATTAAAAAAACAAAATACAACTTTGTTGTTTCTACAGTGAAGATTAGCTGCAATGCGCCCATTTTGGTCCTTGGGAATTTTACATGGTGAGGTCCCAGTATCTACCAAAGCATGGCTCTCGTGCCACTGAAAAACCACAAGAATCGTCTGGTTAAATTAAAAAAAAAATCCTTCGCAGCTTCTTCTTCTTCGCGTTTACCAGCTGTACACTCTGGCGGAAAGTTTTGGTTGCTCGTCCACTACTGAACTGCAGTCCTGCTCCAGAACCTGAGTGTTGCGTGTGCATCAGTTTTACAGATCTCATTCTCTTGAATACAGACTGAAATTGAACACTAGAAGTGTGCAATTGTGTAACACATTCACTAACCTCTAAGCCACAGAGTTGCACTTCTGATATTAACTGCAGTTCACACGAGCGTTCTACCATTGTTAATTTAAATACGGAGGTCAGAAACAGTATTGTTTCTGGCCAGCTCTTCTGCATCATGCACATTCCTACCAGAGAGGTCACTTACATTCTGCTCCCATCTTCGTGCTGGTCAGCTCTGCCCCTTGGTTTTGTTGTTGTTGCTACCTTGACTTCTGCTATTTGTTTTTCCAATCCACTTTGGCACATGAAGTGGCCAAAATATTGCAGTTTCAGAGACAGGATGCTGTTTACTAGCCAAACTTCTCTGATGTTCTGATCCTTTACAATGTCAGTATTTCTGTTTTTCTTCCTTATGTTGTTTATAGTATTTTTAAAATTTTGTTTATCATACTTTAATAATTACAATTATTGAATGTCCTTGCCCTTGGAACCCACAACGTCAAAGCAGTAGAGGCATTCCAAAAAAGATATGGAGAATGTAATTGTAGAATTAGTTAAAAAGGATGGGGAGGACATGGAGTGAACTGAATTAATGTTTAAGGACACAACGACTTGAGGATAAAACAAATTGACAAAATATGGTTGTGGATAAAAAGTTAGTAGGGGATAAAAGATCAAGGGCAGAAGCAGAAGAATAATTTTATAATTAGATAAAAATGTGAAGTCATATAATTTTCTTCATGAATTTTACTTTCATGTGATATTCTATTGCTTTTTTTTTAGACACTGCTGAGGATAAAAAGTTAGTTAGTAGGGGATAAAAGATCAAGGGCAGAGGCAGAAGAATCAACTATAATTAAATAAAAATGAAGTCCTATAACTTTCTTCATGATTTTTACTTTCATGTCATATTCTCTTGCTTCTTTTAGACACTGCTGAACATATTATTGCCACAACACCAGTGTCTGAGAGATCAGATTTGTGAGGTCCTTGACCTCAGCCTTATTAGGCAGCAAATAGACAATGGAGCCTTTGATTTTGATCATTATGCTAAATATATAACTGACACAATGGCAAAGCTATGTGCACCTGCTAGAGATGAGAACATTGCAGAAATTAGAGCACTCAATGATATTGTACCAAAATTTAAGTAAGTTGCTCTTCGTTACGTGTGTTAACGTTGTAAGTGGCTTTTATTCTGCAGGGCTTAATTTTAATAAGAGGATTTGGTGGATGAGTAATTAAAAACTGGTCTATCAGATTGAGAATTGTGGGTTAGAATTTATTTTAAGGCAATAGAATTGTAGCCTGTACACTTTCTGAAAACAGCAGAAGCAGGTGACCCTAATGTTCAACCTTCAACAAATTCTAGCATACTGTCATTGACTCAGAATATTGTAATGTAACTTTTGCTTCCTTTTATTTTCTTTCCGTCTTTGCTATTTTAGTATTAGTTAATTTTTCATCTTGAGCCGAGAGCGGCCAGTGGGGCAGAGTTCATAGCTTTCCATATCTGGCAGTTTATTGCCACCTGTTTTAGGTCTTGGATGTTTGTTAGACGCATGGTTGAGCCTTTCTTCAATTAGGGTTCTACGCAGGGTCTCTCTTGGTCTTCCCCATTTTCTTTTCCCTTCTGGTGTTAATATGAGGGCTTGAGTGGGGGTGGGGGGGGGGGAAGGTGGGGGGGGGTCTTGTCCTAAACTTTCTGAGTACATGCTAATGTAGTTAAACGGCACTTTCTTATAAAATTGGATACATTATCTTTATTTCTAGATGAGCTCAGATACCTTATACAATGTTGGTTATGGCTGTAGAGGAGTGTTTTTTCAACCAGTGGGCTGCACGAGATGTCTGCCTAATCATGTAACAGGATAGGGTACATATGTTTTCTATTTCAGGATTGCAGTCTGTTGGATAAACATCTCAAAGAACAAATGAACAAACTTTTTTTTCAAAGGGTCACACTTTGGGCACACAGGCCTGTCTTACGTTCAGCCCTTTCAGACACCCATCTTTCACACAGCAGTAGTATTTTATCAAAAAAGCATGTTGTGTTTATATTATGATATGCGTATTATGAATATCAAGAAAAAACACGAAAGATTGAGTGGTAGACTGCATGCGCACACTAGCACGTCCATACACCCCCACCCATTCATTCACTCACACATACATATATACATATCAGCATAGCAAAAAAAAAACAACGAAATGCACACCAGGCACATTAGAGGACTAGTTAATCAACATAGATCTGGTACTGTGAGCCACCTGACGCTGGGATTCATACTGAGTTGAGTATAACCCAATTAACTAACTAACTATATATATATATATATATATATATATATATATATATATATATATATATATATATATATATATATATATATATATATATATATATATATATATATATAGACACACACACACATACATATACATATATATATATATATATAGACACACACACACATACATATACATATATATATATATATATATATATATATATATATATATATATATATATATATATATATATATGTATGTATATACACACACACACATACACTCACACTATATACTCACATGCATGCATACATATGTACGTACATACATACATACATACATACATACATACATACATACATACATACATACATACAGACAGACATACATACATACAGACAGACAGACAGACAGACAGACAAACATGCAGGCACACACACACGCGCAGACATACACACAGTGGATTCATTTCAAAGATTATATGACCAGATGAACAGATTAGTGAAATCAAATGAAAATGTTGATTAGTGATAATTAGCTGCTTTGAAATTCCTATCTTTTTGCTTTCCGAACAGCTACAACTAAAATAAAAAACAAATACTGTTAGTGAAGGGTTAGTAGATCTGACCTGGCTCCCAGGCCAACCTGGTTATCAGGTAAAGTCCTGGAAAGTAAAGGCGGCTGACATAATGTTGACAACCGCGTCATCTATCGAATACCGATTGGTCTGTAAAAATACACAGGTGTATAAGTCTAACATAGATTGTAATATGTACGCTTTTAAAGTATGAGGAATTACTAGTTTGCTTGACAGATCTGTATTGTAATTTTATGTAGCAAAATTTAGTTAAACTTTTCACATTTGGCATATTTAAAATGTTATCTTCGCCAGGTGGATTCTAGTGCTCCCATTTTTAGAAAAAAAAACACAAAAAGGCCCACTGCTCCTTAACAGCATGTCGTAAAAGGTAGCTTGAGAATTTGCTGAAATCAGATGTGCTGAACTGAGAGGGCACAGATATGCAGCTGAGCTGTAAACCACATACATGCCAGCTTATCTTTTTAAAAAATGTAAATGGACATAAAGAAGAAGAAAATCTTACCTAACACGTCTTTATTTTTTGAAATTTTTGTTTAGAGCTATTATGGATACTTTGGAATTGATGCGTAGGGACATGGCCAACTTTACCATTAAACAGATCAGGCCTTACATACAGCAGAACTCCATAGAATATGAAAGAAAGAAATTTTCAGAATATTTTGAGGCACAGCAAGGTAGGTCAGCTCAACTTTTGTTACAGTTATCATCAAAAAAAAAGTGTGTAGTGTTGTCTGTTGACTGCCAGATAAAAGTCTCTAGGCATATGTAAAAAAACATTGTTAAAAAAAAAGGAGTTAAAAAAAGGACCATTCACAGGCCTGTGGTGTATCGGTCATATGATATAAGACTCAAATTTTTGTGTGTGTGATGTGGTCAGCGTCACACCTGCCCCCTTAACTTCCCAGGACTTTACCTGGAACTCGTTTTAGACTGGGTCAACCTGGGTGACAAGGTCAGTTTAAAAACAAAAACAAAACAAATCACACTCAGGGGTAGATCCAAACCCAACATCTTCAGGTCAGTAGGCAAGTGTCTAGCCACTTTACTGTTGCAGCTCCCCAGGTGTATGTTGCTAGACCCATATTTCATAGATAAATTGCCACCTGATAAGTTGTCAACATCTGTCTGGCTGCCTTTGCTTCCCAGAACATTTCTCCAGTACTAATTGTGGGCCAGATCAACCTGCAAACCCATGTCATTTATAAAAGTCTCCCTTGCTATGGATTTGAATTAAGACCTTTAGGCTGGTTGGCAAGCATCTAGTCACAGAACTACACTACCAAGGCTCCCAAACTCTCAGCACCTTTAGAGTTCCGTGTGTGGGTTCTGTGGCTCCATTTTAGGGGAATCAATAGACCCACTGCTCCCCTAACAAGCATATCGTGGGGGTGTCTAATTAGGGATCTGTCCTTTGAAGTCACAGTACATTATGCTGAGTGGCAAGGAACCAACAGTCTGCAAACAAAAATGGAGGTGCATGCAAAACTCAAGTTCTGGAACAAGACCATAGAGTTCACAGTCAGTGAATGCCAAGAAGTAGAGGAGAGTGCCTTAAGAAAAAAAAACAGTCTATAGTAATAGTAACATACAGTTACAATGAATACAGTATATACAGGGGAGTCACATTAACAAAACAGCTATAGACTCAGCTGGTCCAATGATCTAGTGTTCAAGTCTGAATCAAGGCAATATATTTTTTCAGAATTGATCTTGGCTCCCAGTTTGACCCAGCGTACAGTGAATATCATGTAATCCCCTAGAAAGTAAGGATGGTTTGTTGTTTGCATTCACCGGCTGTAAACCCCGACGGAAAGACCTGATTGCTTGTCCATTCCTGGGCTTTGTTCCAGGACCTGAGTTTTGCTTGTGCATCTGTGTTACAGATCTTGCTTATTTGTATGTAGATGATGGTTCCTTGCTTCTCAGGTTCCAATTTTGAAGGAAACCCCCAATTAGTAGACTCTTACGACATCCTTGTTGGGGAGGCAGTGGGTCTGTTTTTGTTTCCCCCCACAATATTGGGATCCTGGAGCCCACACATGAAAGGATGGTCTGCGTGATGTTGACCACTGCACCTACCGAGTGCCAGGTTATCTTGAAGATACAGGTTTAATACAATATACCTGGTGCGTTAAAAGCAAAAAAATGGGTCCTTTACTTGAAACATACACAGTTATGAATTGAATTAATTTTGTCTCAAATGATTCCATTATTATTTATTTTTCACTGTGGCTGGAATTATTTATCAAACTAACAAAATATTGGAACACCCATTTAAGAAGGGTGAAGCAATGAGAAAAATGTTGTACAACAGGTTGTAATTAACAGTTATAAGATAAGGAACATGGCAATATACCGTGCACATCATGAGGAGAAGTTGGCAGAGAATACGTGAACAGGCAGTGAAATGAGAAACATAAGGACTGAGTTAAACAAGGATATCCAAGAAAAACCCTCTGATGAATGTCAGTGCTGGAATAGATTTTATCCATGAATTCAAAAGAATTGCACAGGATAGAAGGAAGGACTTGTCTGCAAGTTTTTTTGCTTTGTATAATGGCACAACAGTATGAGGATGATGATGATTACTAAAGTTCCCTTTTTTTTGGTTCTGGGACCCCATTTTGGGAGGATTAGGGAGGGGGGGGGGGGGTAGACCCACTACCCACCTAAAAAAACGTTAAAGTTGACAAATTAAGGGTGTTTTCTTTGAAGTCAGTTCATCTGCCTGAAAAATGAGGGACCAGCAGTATGCATACGAGTAAGCCAGATCTGTAAAACAGATGTGTATGCAAAACTTAAGTCCTGGAGTAAAACTGAGGTCTAGAACTGGGCAAACAACTAGAACTTTCCCCTGGAGTTTACAGCCAGGGAACACTTCAAAAAGAACAAGATGACTAAAGTAGCACATAATATTGGCCTTATTAACACGTCTGATTTCATCAGATCCTCAAGTAACCAGTTATAAGATGCTTGTTGAGGGATCTGTTTGACCCCCAGTCCCCAAATAGGGCCTTGGAACCTACACGGAGGATTTACAAGATCATAATCCTCGAGTTTCCTACCTTTCAAATCAAAAGATGAGCCACACAGAAGGAAACAAATTATATGCATATTTTTTTTAAAGATTCAGTGATAGCTAATTTAGTTTATATGATTTCCTTTTCTCTAGCTGTGGGGATTAATGCTCTTCAGTATACTGAAGTCTGGTTGAAAAGGAATTATGACAAACTGGCAAAAAGTTCCAGTAATTCTACAGATTCTAGTGGGTCATCTGGAATACCAACACCAGCAAATGTCATGACTGAAGGTTTTCTTGAAGTTCTAGAATGGCCAGATCCAAATAATTTTCCAGAGGTATGAAGTTTCATAGATAGGCTACTGTGTTTGCCAAAAGTTTAAGACCACAAACTAAATAATTGTTTTTTCATATTTTTAACCATCAGTATTTCAGGACTCACAATAGGCAGTCATTACAGTCATCATTCAGCCTTAAGCAGCATTTGATTTGGTGCAATAATCTATAATGTTGGGGAAATATAAGATTTCCTGGTTTTTCTTAAACTTTTGGCCACCACTGTAGTACTGGTGGTTTGATTCAATGAATGGAGGAAAAAATGAATGAATGATTCAGGAACTGACATAAATATATTTGAGATTCCCACATATACCCTGCCTACTTCTTGTGTAGCCAAAAATAGTTCCAGTACTGATTGCAATACAGTAAAATCTTGTTAACATGAACTCGCTTGAGAAAAACACTCAGTTAAAAAAAAAAATTTTTTGTCTTAGCAGGGGCTTATTATTGTTAGTCCCCAGTTTGCACAAGTTTTTTAAACTCGGTTTTCGATTTCTTTGAATTGATAGTAATGAGGTTTTACTTCAGCTACAGCCTGACTGACGGTCTGTCTTTTTTCCTGCATGTTGAGTATCTTTATTGTAAATAAACATGGTGGTTTTAATGCAACACATATCAAATGTCTTCTTTTCAGCATTTTGAGCCCTTAAGGTTCACTGATATAGATATCTGTTGCGTGCTGATTTGGGAGAGTGTAATATTTTGTGAAGGGACATAGATGTATGATAGTACTTACCGGGAGTTCAAGGGAACAGTGTTAACATTGGCTCGAGTAGTGAGGGGGAGAGAATGTTGACCAGTGAGATGTGTAGTGTCACGAGAAAGTAGACGTGTGGGTTCACTGTGTAGGGGCTGACAAGCATGGTTAACGCGGCGCACAGAGAAAATTGGAATTACATGACAGCGTGATTCTCATGTAACATCAGGCACATAAGCGGGATGCTGGAGAATGCCCACATAAGCGTGAGTCTTGAGAACGCCCACATAAGCATGATTCCTGAGAACACCCACACGAGCGTGCCTCTCGTGTAACATCAGCCGCCCACATGGGTTCGGCAGGGATATATTGGGGCTGCGTAGACAGTCCAAGTCAGTGAGCTGTAGCCAGAGAGCTAAAGCACTGGGGAAGTGCAGGTGTAGTACAAACTTAGCACGAGAGTGCTGTACATCAGTAATATGAGAGTCCAAGTCAGAGTCCAAGACACAGAGAGAGAGACCAAGTCAGGGTTTCGTGGAGGCAGACAGAATATTGAGAAAGCATCAGACAGCCAGGTCTGTGTAAGGGTTTCGTGGAGACAGAGGGAGTACCGTGCAACTATCAGGCATCAAGGTCTGAGTAAAGATCGTGATTGCACTGCATGTCGAAGGTATAGTCCCGCTGGCGAAGTAAGGCCAAGGGAACTGGATTCTCCTATAGTGACTTTTCTGGGTGATGGCGCAAGGAGACGTAGGATCACCATGGAAACAGAATAATAGGGATGCCGACGAGAGCTGTGTGCTAGAGGGGACTTGTGTTAGAATGTTAGAAGTCCTCTCGGTCATTGGTGTCCTTCGATAGGTGGATGTGCTGTGTGCGCATGCTGAAGAACGAGCAAGTGAAGTCCGATTCCAGTTAGCCGTTGTTGTCTGCTGAAGTAATATTAAGGTCCAGTTGATAGGAGAGTTTTCCTATTCTTCTGTACAGCGATCCCCAGAGTTGTTGGAAGTTGTAGACCTTCCAAGCTGTAGTGATCAGAGAAAGAACACTACAAGTTAAGAGAGAGTGAGGACTATGTAGACTAGGTGTGAATGCCAATTAGGATCAATATCTACGTCTCTGAATAAGCTGTTTTGTTGATGTGAGGGCTTGTGAACACCCTTTTGTGTTCTGTTGAATAAATATGCTATTTCTTATGGAACTACTCTCGTTAAGTCCCGCTTCGAGAGTGTGGGAGCGAAAGTTATATCTATAGACACTTGATCGTGTGCTGATTATGTTGTAAAACAGATAGCACACAAAAATATCACCCATCTCTTCAGTCCTCACTCTGATAACCTTTTTGTTCCAGTTGGTGACTTTAAGTTTTAATATATATATATATATTATCTCTCTCTTTTTATTCCAATTGGAACTTCAAGTTTTTGTACGTCTGTATATATATATATATATATATATATATATATATATATATATATATATATATATATATATATATATATATATATATATATATATATATATATATATATATATATATATATATATATATATATATATATATAATCTCTCCACATTTATCTTGTTCTACCTCATGGTCAACTTCTGTTCATCTCTTTTTTTGTACAAGGTTTTTGTCTCTCTGTTATCTGCCATTCTCTCTGTTTTCACCAAACATTGCAGTCTGTTGTTGTTATGTTGTTATCGATCCAGTGGCTCATGAGCTTTCGCCTTTTGGTCCAATGCCATGTAGTGGAATTTACATATTTTCACAAGCAATTTTTTTCCTCCATACAAGGTGTTTCACTTGTCTGGTCTCTGAAGAAGTAGCATTCTGTTCTGCATCTGAAGAAGGTAACCTGGCCCCTGCTTATTAGATGGTTTTGCAGTCTATATTAAATCCATCCAGTGTGTCTATCTTTTTTTTGGGTTCTCTACCCTTTAAACCACCCAGCTAGGTAAATCCTGCTGCTATCTATGCTACCACCAGCAAAGCTCTCAGGGTAATTGAGAAACACAAGCTGCCCACCTCGGCAAGGTGGAGACGTCTCAGGGAATATATATGAAACTGTACATGAAAAATAGGAGCTGAGTTAATGGCTGGGACAATATTTATCAGATGTAGAATAAACGAGAAGAATACAATTCCATAACCCAAGAAGTGCTAGACAGACACAGAAAACTAAGACACTGGGCTACAACCTGGCATCAGTGAGACGACACAAGAATAATAATAATATTAATAATAATAATATTAATAATAATGACAAGGAGAAGAAGTTTGCCTGCTTGTATTGAGATCAACGAACTAGAGTTTATCTAAATTCTTATCCACTAACAAGTGATAAATCCTGGAAACTTATTGCATTACTAATTTCAGACTAAGATGAACCTTTCTATACATAGAGGTGTAATGATTATATTGAAGACAAGTTAAAGTAAAGGATGTTTCTTAGTTTTCAGGTGAATTGGACATAACTTTGTGATGTACTTCCTTCACAAATTATCTGGCTTATTTGTTTGCAGACTCGATTCCTTGCCTCTCAGAAATGAGAAATGGAAACAGGGATAAAGAAGGAGAATAAGGAGACAAAGAAGTTTAAACCAAGAGGGATTGGTTATGAACATTTTAGCTTTGTCAGCTCTGAATAAATGAGATAAATAGCTGCTAATAAGGTGGATAAAAAAAGGGGAATCTAGGAAAGAGTCCCTTTATTGAATAAAGTTACCAGTTGGACATTTTTATAGATCAGTTGGCTCTCATAAAGTCTTGTATTAACTGTGTGCAGTAAAGTATTACAGAGAGGAGGTTAGGAGTTAGATGAAGTATTCTGAATAATTCAAAATGTGAAGTTCTTCTTCTTCTTAAAGTCCATGCAGAATGGTGTTGGTAGTCATGTCTGTCCACAACCTTCCCTCTCGTGTACTTTCAATCAATTCTGACACAGATGATACTCCATGCCATGATGTCAGACTGTCCAGCATCTTTTCTCTTGGTCTCCCTCTGCCTCTCCTCCCCTCCAACTTTCCCACTGTTACAATGTACTCCAGTTTTCATCCTTCTCATCACATGACCACAGAATGTGGATTGGCTCTTTCTGATGTGGGAAGTCAGTTATCTTTGTCAGTCAGTTTCTTTCAAGACATCTTTCTGTGTGTGGTCCTAGTACTGTAAATTGAACTTGTTTAATGTCTCCTTGGCCCTGTCCAGTCGACTTTTCCTTGGTCACAGTCTTTTCTTGCAATCTGTTGTTCCCATGAAATATTTGTCTGATGCATTACCCACTGGCCTGTATACTCACTGCCAGGCCAGAAGGTCTCAGATTTGAATTCAAATAGGGTCCCTTTAAAAAAAAAATACCAGCTTAAATTGGGTACCAGGGAAAAGTCCTGAGAAGTAAAGTTAACCAGCATGATGTTGACCCCATCACTATCAAGTGCTGATAAGTCTATAAACTATGAGTCTGGCTTCAAATACTAGATACTCCTCATGTGGCTTCTGGGGCTACATTGTGGGTGAAAACAAGAATATACCCACTGCCTCCCTAAAAGCTTGTCATAAGAGTCAACTAATTGGGACCTTCCTTCAGAGTGGGTGTGCATCTGCCTGAGAGGCAAGGAACCAACAGACTGCTTGCAAATAAGCAGACTTGTGAAATGGATGTGCACACAATACTCAGTTTCTGGAACAGGGCTAGAGCCCATAACTGGACGAACAACTAGAACTATCCCCCGAAGTTTGCAGCCGGTGAACGTGAGGAAGAAGAAGAAGAAGATATACTAGATACAACCCTGGCATAAAAGGGGTCTTTTAATTACTTACTCAGTTGGTATTGTGATCAGTATCATATAGCTTTTATATCCTGGAATTTTTCCTGAAACATGTGTTAGACGGAGTTGACCTTGATGTCCATATCAGTTCTTTTAGTGCAGCTAATCAGGAACAAGTCTATAGAAGTTTTTGAAATATATTGGTTGAGATCCTGTGCTCCATTGGAAGATGAATAATAAGAAGAAAGTAGCAGATCCTATCATAAGGCACAGATATCACATCTACACTAACATTTTCAACAATGGGATTACAATTAGAATATTGTTAATAGGTATTTGCGGGATCCATGGTTTAGGCTTTGCAAGTCTGACTCGTAATTCCAACGTGCCGCAATCGAAACCCACTCTGGCTGAGTTGATTTTTATCATGGTATGGGGCGTCCCAGGTTGACCCAGTCTAAAATGGGTACCATGATGGCTGTCCTGGGGAAATAAAGACGACTGGCCTAATGCTGACCACATTACCCACCCAGTGCTAATTGGTCTGTAAAAATATTGAATGCTCTTTCCGTATGCCCGATTTATTACTAATTGATGTTTCCCACAACTGACTACAGGTTACTTCTCAACATTTGTGTGTTCAGACGGATTTCTAGAAATACGCACATTTTGCCATTACTTAAGAAGGCAATTTTTTTCTTTGTCAGTACATGTACTCAATCAATCAATTGCCTTCTTCACAGTGAAGGCTGGTTGCACTGAATCTACAGCATGCTCAGTCTCTCATCCTTATTGTATTTTTTTAGAGTTTGCTGTTCTTCCATCTCTTGATATTGTCACCTCACTTGTATTACTGTCCACTTTTTGCTCCCTTGCCTTCAACCTTTCCGTCCAGTATGGTTTTATTAAAAGTGTAAATTGTGCAGCGTTACAGTGTGGTCATGCTGCAACATCTTTTAATGTAGCAGAAAATTTGTCTCTTTTGTTTCGGCTTTTTTTTCTTCTTCATTCCAACTCTCACCAGAACCTTTGTGTTTGTTTGCTTGTTTTATTTTCTGTGAAATATTATCTATTATTATACATTTTTTTTTACATCCATATCTCCATAGTAAAACATTGGAATGCGAATTCAGGCCTTCTTTAAATGTAATAAGTGATAAAAAGAGTAACACATTAATGGAAACCAAAGACATATTAGAAAGATGGAAAGAATACTGTAGAGAAATGTATGAGGATGTGACAAGTAATTCAAAAATGACTTGTGAAAGTTATGAAAAAGAACCAGAGTCTTTACTGGATGAGGTACGATCAGCAATACACAGCCTGAAGAAAGGAAAGTCGCCAGGTTGCGACGAAATACCAGCAGAACTAATTCAAGCAGGAGGAGAGGCCAGCATCCGAATCTACCATGCACTGTGCTGGAAGATCTGGATTGGAAACAAATTATAGCAGAAGGCATGGTACCAGGAAGGAGGGGCAGGGGCAGGGGCCGACCGACACAAAGATGGGCACAGGATGTAAGTGACTCCTTGAGTGTGAAAATGCATGAGGCGGGAGAACTGGCAAGAGGCCGAGTTTCTTTCATGCAGACTGATGAGAGCGATGTTCTGCAAAGAACCTGCTACATGATGATGATGATACCTCCAGAGACTCAGTTCAACTTTCTAATTGTTGTCCAGGTGTCGGCACCATACAGTAGGTACATAATATGCATACAATTTGACAGTTTTTTTGTTTATTGCATTGTTTATCTCTAGCTGTCAGCAATTTCACATGAAAATAATTTTGGCAATTCATTTTCTCAGTTTGAGATAGAGGAAGGTTGTTAGTAGTCTAAGTACCCTCTCTTCACACCTGTCACACTTAAGACATATAATACTAGATTTATAGTTTTAAAGACCAACCAGCTCACAACGGGTGATGTGTTCAACATTCTGCTGGCCACCTTTACTTCACAAGACATTACCTGATAACCATTTTAGGCTGGGTCGATCTAGGAGAGAAGCTTGTTACATGTTCTAATATATCTCCACTTACTGTGATAGTACTGATAATCTTTGATAGAATTAGCCTTCATTATTTTTATTTTGCAGACACTGATGATGGATCAGTTTCGCTTCATGGCAATGAGAGACAAACTTCATACTCTTGGTTTAATCACATCAGTACAGCTGATTACCTACAGTGTTGTTGGACCTTCTGTTGAGGGAGTGGAGAATCTGAAGAAGCAGTTGAAAGAGCATGTGGAAATTTTGCTTCAGGATGTTGGCCAAAAGTAAATTTGTTGAATTCATAAAACATATACACTTATTCATTGACAGTTTTGAGAATCTCATGGGTGAAATCATGAAGCTGCTTGCCTCTTGTTTTGAAGATTGTAGTAAAATCTTGAAGTGTTGTTTTTATAAATTTAGAAACCTATGGACTATTTTATCTTTTTTTGCAAAGCTGATGAGGTTTGAGGTTTAAACAGCGGACCAACATCAAGGCACATGGGTAGTAACCCATAATTGCTCCATTCTTTCTTCTAAGAAACAGGCTCTGTAGCACCGGTAAGGATTCTGAAATACTTTCAGTTGATTTTCAACTCCACATTTTTGCCCGGGCAGTGTCGTTAGGCTACTCTTTATGATTTCCAACCAAGAGATTTTTTTAACGTGCGCAGTAATGCACACAGTTGTCCGCTCTCACTACCCAGAGACCACGGGGAAATACTAGAAGTCCGAGTCCACGTGAACATATCACAGCCCCCCTGGCAAAGCTGATAATCTGTAATTCAAAAAGTTCTTTATTTAACATATTTTAATTTTGTGAATCATTAGGTGACATTTTTCAAATTACATTAAGGAGTTTTAATTTCTGATTCCTGCCGCGAAAGAGCTCTTGTGGTTTCATTCTGATATTTGAATGTAACTTTCATTGCTAGTAGGTCTCTTTCAACAGAGATGGACATAAATAATCTCAAATTCTACACGCATATTTTTCTACAATGAGAAACTAAAAGTGCTGGACTGGAGTTTCATTCATGGTATCAAAGTGATTGTACGGGAAAGATTGAAATGTACGAATAGACTGCAAGCCCTAGGTGACATAGAATGGTACGAAACGACTGTGATAATGATTTTCTACAATTAGCAAACACCCCGCCCCCGAAATAAGTATCCACCGGCTCTTAATCACTCATTTCTTGTATGCACATATCATTTTACAGCGCAGTAAATTAAGTGAGTCAAGGATTCTTTTCACACCTTTTCTACAATTAGCAAACCCCCCGCCCCTGAAATAAGTATCCACCAACTCTTAACTCTTTGAGTCCCAGGGGGTTTAGCATCACAGGCACAGGGGTAGTAAAGAAAGTAATAAAATCGGCGCATCATGCGTTCATTGGGCTTCCAGGTAGGAACCTACTAACCTATGATGCGTTCCTTGGGACTCAAAGAGTTAATCACTCATTTCTTGTATGCATGTACTATTTTACAGCGCAGTAAATTAAGTAAGTGAAGTAAGTGATTCTTTTTACACCTTAGCACATCAGACGTACAGGGCTGGATCTATATTTTTATAGATCAATCGGCCTTCGATGAATGATGTTGACAAAATCATGCCAGCCGCCTTTACTTCTCAGGACATTACCTGGTACTTATTTTAGGCTGACTCAGCCTGATAACCAAGGTAAATTTTGAAGAAGAAAAATTCCGCCTGGATACAGATTTGAAGTCTAGACCTTCAGGCTGGCAGGCGAGCATCTCTAGCCATCACACTAATACTGCTTCTCATTGGTTTGAACTGGAAATTGGTCAAGACTGTCTGTACGTGGGTGTGAGAATAACTGTATAATTTGTGTTGTACTAACTGAGGTACATCAGAAATCAGGACAGAAATATACTGAGAATTGTCTCTCCCTCTCCTCCCAGCCTTTTCTCTTTTTGTGTAATAATCTTCCTAATCTCCTTCGTCTCTCTCTCTCTCTCTCTCTCTCTCTCTCTCTCTCTCTCTCTCTCTTTCTCTCTCTCTCTCTCTTTCTCTCTCTGTCTGACCATTTGTTTTCAATTTCAGTGCCTGTTTTGTAATTCTTTGGTCATTTTGTCTCAGAGTGTGCCCAATATTTCTCTCTACCTTCTTTGTCTCATTGCAGTCGTTACAGGTATTTGTCCAGACATTTTTCAGATCTCTTCACTTTTATTTGTATTCACCCCATATTATGTTCATGATTTGTCTCAGACATTTGTTTTATAAATGCATTTAACTTCCATTCCATATCTTTCATGGTTCTCCAACTTTTGCTGGCATATGTTAGAATTGAAATAACATTAAAATTGAATGGGGCTGTATATAACACATCCTATCAATAATACATACAATCGTTACTGCCTGTTGTACCACTTTCTAGGGCAGCGTATGATTTGGCAGGGTGTGAGTGTGGTGAGGATTTAAGGCCGCATGGCTAATGATGCAGTCACCTCGAACTATGATGATATTTTTTCCTCCTGATAGAAGAATGTCTGTAACCTTACCAGGGATTCAAACCTGGATCTCCTGAGAGCCCACTGTTCTACCAGCTGCTCCTCCTCATATGAATACGGGCATAGAAAGTTTCATCTATCCATTTCCTTCAGAATCTTAATCTGTCTGGCAAGCCAGCAGGGCAAATCCTAAATACCCTGTTCAATCTGTAAAGAAGTTGTAATTGAGACACCCTTAGTAACTACACCTGTCTGGTGTAACTTTCAGTCCTGTGTGGGTAAAAATGAAAGTTAAACAAAAAGTTCTTGGAGATTTAAAAAAAAAAAGTAGTTTTTTTACTAGATGTTGCAGAACCAACCCCAGTATTTTGTGGCTGTTTATCATTTCACCAGGCAGTTTTACTTTCATTAGTTTGTCATTGCTTTCTGAGCAGTCAGCTCTCCATACCAAGACAAGGCAGTCTGCTACCTTCTTCACTCACATACTCTGCCCCAGTTAATACTTCTACTCTACCTGTCTCAAAAAAATAGTATTTTAAGTCTTAGGATCCCTAATACTGTTATTGTAACCAATAGGATCCAAACAATGATTCCTTCAAGTAATAAATTCTTAGAACAGAAACACCTGCTTGGCACCGAAAGTGTTAATGGTGCATTTAAGTAATCTGGTTTTGTGTGATTTGCAGAGGTATCAAGCCAGTTCTTGAGTCTGTGGCTGAGCAGGTTGTAAAAGATGTCAATGACAGCTTGGAGAACCGCAAGTTGACTCCTCTAACTGATGATACGAAACAAACTCTCAAAGGCCAGATAATGAACCTTGGTTCAAGGGAGAGCACCGTGAGGAAGTTGATGCGTGAGTTTTCTTTGCAATAATTCATTTGCTTTTATTTTAAAAAAAAAATCAAATGCATCATTATCTTCCAGTGTTTTTAGAAGAAAAAAAAGATGGAAATTCTGAGTTATTTGTAGGAGGGGAAGTCATCAAGTAAAGGTAGCATTAATGAGTTGTTTTATTTTGTTTTTTATTTTTTACAAGTGACCAGAAGAAAATTGTTTGTTGTCCTATTTCCTGACAAAGCCTTCGTGCCTTGCAACACGTGTAGTCCAACGATCCACAAGACTGTGGATGCTCACCAGATCGAATATTTTGGGTGTTCCAGTAACTAAGTTTGCACTAACGACATCATCTTATTGTCCTCTGCAAATATTTGACTTTGCAAATGTTCTTTCAATGGGCCAAATGAAAGTCTGGAGGTCACAAGTCTGGGCTATGTGCTGGATATTTCAGTACTTCAAACTGCAGTCTATAGTGTGTCCAGTGTGTGCACAGCTATGTGGGGACAGGTGTTGTCATACAGCAATGAAACTACTTTTGATAGAGATAGATTCACTGCCCACTAAAAAGCTGCTGTTTCACTGCCATGCTGACAGGTCTCCCACTGCGCATTTCATCACTGATGTTATTCCTTCCATTTTTAACTGTTTCAGGCCCATGAATTTTGACAGACAATAATTTTCTTTTACAAAATGGCAGAGAGGGTGGTGTACCAAAAAGGCAATAGAGAATGTAATATACTTCTAATCCCTACAAAAATTTATATATTTTTAAAGAGAAATGGATGTTCATTTTGAATCTGATGATAAGTGTATGTTTAATAATATTATAGTTAGTAGGATAGAAGAATTCAGCAGGTGTTAATTTCACAACAATATAATTTTACAAAAGAATTCTTCACTTACCATGGTTTTGCAGCCACAAGATCAGTGCATATCCAAATTTGAGAATAATACTTCAAAGATTGTCCCTATTAACCTTCATTCTTCGATAGATTTAAGAGGTTTAACACCCTCTGCCCAGAAAAAAATGAATAACATCTTGTTGCTCTTCCATAGTGCATATTAACAGTGATGCGGCCATCTTGTACTAACTGTTGCACATGCACATACTGCTAAATTACCACGACACATACTATGGGTATTGCAAGCCGATCTGTGTCCAAAAATAATTTCTTTTTTCAGTCTACATATGGAGGAAAATACAATGGCTAACAATTGTCAGAAGCAAAACCTTACCACGACTAAAAAAAACAGTAAGCCTATCAGCCATGTTGACCAGAAGGCATCTAACATTACATTATCCCGCCAAGCTGTTTATTCATCATAGGTTTTACAGATGATTCCTTTATTTCATTATGTTTTTTATTATATTGTTTATTTTCTAAAGACATGTACATTGCTCATTTTGGCTGTCTGTATGTTTTATATTTGCCACTCTTCCTCATCTTAGTTAGGTGTTCTTTTGCTAACTGGACTGTAGAGAAAATGCTTTTTAGTTATACGTTGTGATTCAGAAAATGTTAATGAAAATTTGGGTAAGTTGAAAATTTGTTATTTTGTAGTATCTCTCTTGATTATCTTTGTTTAAATATGTTTGCTTTTATTACAGATACTCGCCTAATGGAATTTCTGCGTGAAGGTATGACAGGGAAAAGTATCAACAACCTGCAATTACCTAAAGGTTGTACAGTGGTACAACAGGAGCTGGTACAGATTCTTGGAAATTTCCTTCGCCTTAGCTCACACAACCGCTCGGTGTTTGGAGAACAGTATTCACAAATACTTGAGAAGCTAATGCAGCGCAGAGAACTGCCACCTTCCACTAGCCCTTCTGTGAATGCTGCTTGATTTGTTAATTTTTTTAGCAATTGATTAATATGAAGTGTATCAACTGCTGTAAACTTTAGAAATTTATTAGTGAGACTAATATTTATAAATCACTATTTTCTTGTACCATAATGGTAAATGTGGTTTGTTATCTTGTGTGATCACTGATATTGAATCAAATCTGTGTCGTTTTTTCTGTTATATTTTATGGTTAAGCCATTCAGGTATTTTCTATATTGCCATTTATTTCCAGTTACCAGTACAAGCTTGCCAATTACCACTAAAATTTCAAGACTAAATAAATCTTTTGCAAGATTTAAAAAAAAATACACCCATAAACAGAAAGCGGTCAATCATTTGGAGAAAAGTACTTATAAAGAGTGTGCTTCTGTATGCACTCAGGACCTTCCCCCCAAAACATGACAGTGAGTCGAATTACCATATCTGATACCTTGATTCAGTTTGTGTTTTTCTCATGATTTCATTACACTCTTTTCATGTTCCTCATAAACCAAATATCTGCTGTTATCAGATGCTTCTTAGCTTTGACTGTATTGTTCAGGTCCCATGTGCATACAGCTTTACAAATCTTTATAGCACTTTTCTCTCTACTTTTCTCCCTATGAATGACAACTTTCTATCATAAAAGGTCACTAGTTAGGGGTTTGTTCTTCTTCTTCGCGTTAACCAGCTGTACACTCTGGCAGAAAGTTCTGGTTGCTCGTCCACTACTGAACTGCAGTCCTGCTCCAGAACCTGAGTATTGCGTGTGCATCAGTTTTACAGATCTCATTCTCTTGAATACAGACTGTTGGTTCCTTGCCTCTCCGGCAGATGCACTCCGACTTCAAAGGAAGCTCCTCAGTTAGTCGACTCTTACAACATGCTTTTGGGGAGGCAGTGGGTCTATTCTTGTTTTCCCCACAATGGGGCCTCGGAGCCCACACGGGAAAGGGGTTTGTTGAAATTCGATGTGTGGGACGGAACAGCACAGATATCACAGCCTAGCTGTAAACACAGCACAGCTTCTGCGAATACTGAAGAAGAAGAATTGTCCATAATCAATACTGTATCACCTGTCTAACAGATAGTGTTGATCTTATGTCTGGTGAAAATTCCTCTTCTCTTTAATTTGTAAAAACCATAGAAATATACCGCTATTTTTAGGTTATGACTGATATAAACTTTTTTCATAAATATTTTTTATGTAGATCTCTTTAACAGGTACTTTTATTGCTTAATAAATTGTTTTCTCTTGTTGAATTCAGGAATTGTGTAGGAACCATGATGTGCTGACTTGAAATGGCTATTCTGTATACATTGCCTGTAGTATTAGAATATTTGCAAGGATTTAACAGTGTGTTCGTAATCATCATTATGATGATGATCATCATTATGATGATGATCATCATTATGATGATGATCATCATTATGATGATGATCATCATTATGATGATGATCATCATCATGTTTTTCAGTTTCACAATTGCTGTGCAATCATCTGAACATATAGCTCAACTGTACCTTTTTTCCACAGTTCTCTTTATCTCGGTGTACATCTTAACATATCACTTCATTTTCAATTACATCTCAACTGTCCCTAGTTCTTATCATCTGTTTTTTATCTCAATGTACATCTGAACATCTCTCTTCACCACAGTGTACATCTGAACATCTCTCTTCACCACAGTGTTCATCTCAACTGTCCCTAGTTCTCATCATGTCTTTTATCTCAATGCACATCTGAACAAATCTCTTCACCACAGTGAACATCTGAACATATCTCTTCACCACAGTGTACATCTAAACATATCTCTTCACCACAGTGTGCATCTAAACATATCTCTTCACCACAGTGTACATCTGAACATATCTCTTCACCACAGTGTACATCTGAACATATCTCTTCACCACAGTGTACATCTGAACATATCTCTTCACCACAATGTACATCTGAACATATCTCTTCACCACAGTGTACATCTGAACATATCTCTTCACCACAGTGTACATCTGAACATATCTCTTCACCACAATGTACATCTAAACATATCTCTTCACCACAGTGTACATCTGAACATATCTCTTCCCCACAGTGTACATCTGAACATATCTCTTTACCACAGTGTACATCTGAACATATCTCTTCACCACAGTGTACATCTGAACATAACCATTCACCACAGTGTACATCTGAACATATCTCTTCACCACAGTGTACATCTGAACATAACCATTCACCACAGTTTACATCTGAACATAACCATTCACCACAGTGTACATCTGAACATATCTCTTCCCCACAGAGTACATCTGAACATATCTCTTCCCCACAGTGTACATCTGAACATATCTCTTCACCACAGTGTACATCTGAACATATCTATTCACCACAGAGTACATCTGAACATATCTCTTCACCACAGTGTACATCTGAACATATCCATTCACCACAGTGTACATCTGAACATATCTCTTCACCACAGTGTACATCTGAACATATCTCTTCACCACAGTGTACATCTGAACATATCTCTTCACCACAATGTACATCTGAACAACCACAGTGTATATCTCAACTGTCCCTAGTTCTCATCATGTCTTTTATCTCAATGTACATCTGAACATATCTCTTCACCACAGTGTACATCTGAACATATCTCTTCACCACAGTGTACATCTGAACATATCTCTTCACCACAATGTACATCTGAACATATCTATTCACCACAGAGTACTTCTGAACATATCTCTTCACCACAGTGTACATCTGAACATATCTCTTCACCAAAGTGTACATCTGAACATATCTCTTCACCACAGTTTACATCTCAACAGTCCCTAGTTCTCATCATGTCTTTTATCTTAATGTACATCTGAACATCTCTCTTCACCACAGTGAACATCTGAACATATCTCTTCACCACTGTGAACATCTGAACATCTCTCTTCACCACAGTGAACATCTGAACATATCTCTTCACCACAGTGTACATCTGAACATCTCTCTTCACCACAGTGAACATCTGAACATCTCTCTTCACCACTGTGAACATCTGAACATCTCTCTTCACCACAGTGAACATCTGAACATATCTCTTCACCACAGTGAACATCTGAACATCTCTCTTCACCACAGTGAACATCTGAACATATCTCTTCACCACAGTGTACATCTGAACATATCTCTTCACCACTGTGTGCATCTGAACATATCTCTTCACCACAGTGTACATCTCAACTGTCCCAAGCTCTCAGCATTTTTATAATCTCATTGTACATCTAAACCTAGCACTCAGCTGTCCCCATGCAGTTCCCTTTATCTCAGTGTACATGAAAACCTTGGTAGCCACGGTGGCATAGCGGCTAGATGCTTGCCTCCCGACCCAAAGGTCTTGTGTTGGAATCCGCATTGATTCTGGTCTGTTTTTCTAAATTGACTATAGCTCCCACGTCGACCCAGCTATAACTAGGTACTGAAGGCTGTCAGTACATAAACTGAAACATGCTTTAAAAATTGCAGGTTGTTGAGAGGCATGATCACCCACTTGATGATAATGATGATACATTAAAATACCACTCGAACATTCTTGTCTTTAAGCTAGCAGTTTCACAATTGCTATAGTCGTCTGAAAAATCGCTCAGCTTTTTCCTCATCTTGGTAATTCTCTTTAGCTCTGAGTACATCTAAGCGTATCACTCAACTGTCTATTCTCTCAGCAGTTAAAGGTATCCCAGTTAACATTGAAATCCCCATATCTTTCATGCTTGCATGATATAATCACTTCTTGTGTGTCTGTTTTTTCTTCTGCCGTCCAGTATTTTCAGTAACAGACTTCCAGGCCTCATACTGGCTGAGTCAAGGTATCCTTTTTCTTTTTTAAATATCTTGTTCATTAGTCGTATATTTTCCAAATTATCTTTTAAGAATTTGTTTATTTCATCACATTTATGTTCAGATACATTCTTTGTATCCTGTGATAACATTACATTTTTATTTCTGTGATAACATCACACCTATTTTGTTGTCGTCAGTGTTTCATATTTAGATATCACCATTGGCCAGATAATTGTTATGAATCAGCACTTTTTGTTTCATAACAATTTGAAATTTTAAGAGATATAGGTGAAAATAAAAACACATGTGGCAATTGTTTTTACTCATTTTAAATAAAAGGCTCGAATGTAAACTCAGATTAAATAGATGTAACATTTATGTTTATTTTTCATGGTAAAAACCTGTGTTTTGAAAAAGCCCCTGATCATTGGTCATTGTTAGCATTACATTATAATTTAGCATTTCATCTGTATACAAGTTAAAGACAAAAGATTGAATGTTAAATAATTTTGGAATTTTCATTTACAATTCAAGGGAGGGTTAGATTAAGGGCATTTGTATATTAAATTCCCCGTAGGTGGTCAAAGGCTCCATTGTGGAGAAAACAAGAATAGACCCACTGCCTCCCCACAAGCATGTAGTAGGAATCGAGTAATTTGGAACTTCCTTCAAAGTTGGAGTGCATCTGTCTGAGTGACAAGGAACAACCAACTGCACACAAATAAGCCAGTAAAACTGATGTACATGTAAAACTCAGGCCCTGGCACAAAGCCAAAGTCCAGATGGACGAACGACCAGGACTTTTTGCCAGAGCTTACAACCGCTGAACAAAGAAGCTGTTTTGTATGCTGAAGCGACCAATTTAATTTTTAGCTGCAGTATAATTTTGACAGGATGAGCTTTAATATTGCTAATGGTGGTTAATGAGCTTAATGTGTTTGCTTACCACCACAGTGGTTTTGATTCTTTTCTGCATTCACACCTAGAAGAGCGGTTGATACATGATGTATAGTTGGGCTGCAATTTATATATTATATATATATATATATATATATATATATATATATATATATATATATATATATATATATATATATATATATATATATATATATATATATATGAATGACAAACATCCCTACCAGAGCATTACCAAAACAATGTCTGAGGTATAAAGAGCCCT